AGGATGTTTTTCTGAGAATCTCAGGAAGAAATTCAGGCTGACTCTCCCTGGAAGAAGAATAGTGCAAATGCTTGAGGGAAGGGAAGGTTATTCTCAGGAAAGGTAATTACCGAACAATTTTCCAGTAGCTGTCCTTGCAGAATGGTAATCCAGCCATTGTAAGCTTCCTTTTAGGTTCCTGTTTCCTGAAGAGAAGTGAAGAACTGAACTGTGCTTTCGCATGCATAGCTCTAAGCTTTCCAAGTAGGAAAGGTCATACTGTCTGAAGGGGCTGTCACCTCTACTTCCCTAACTTCTGAGTGTATGCTAGTGTTTCCATTCCAGGTGCCTAGTGTTGAGGAAGCAGGAGCTTTGCAGGAGTAATGCACAGCTGCTGAAGTAGGATAGCGGTGGGGGGTGAGTTGCGGGTTTCCCTTTATCGTCACAGATTTTAGACTGTTTTGTGTGAATTCCTGGCAGAGCCCCATGCGATGTACAGTAGCTGTCACTTGCCAGGACTGTTACTGGTGTTCTGGCAGTGTTAGGTTGCTGACTTGGGCCTCAACGAAGAGATTCCTCCTTTTTCTGCTTTTACCTTTCAGCTTTTGGAATACTTTGATAATGTTGTTGGGCTTCAGGCTGTGTTTCTGAGGCAGGGCTTGTTCTGGGAGATGACTTGTCTGTCAGACAGGAGCATCAGAGAGGTCAGTGGGTATAAATTTCTCCCTTTTTTTTTTTTTTTGTTTCAAGGAGCTACAAGTGTATGCAAGGGTCCTAGGGTGCCTGTGGGCTTTCAGCTTGGCTAGAAGCCTGAAAGCGGAAGTCTTGCACATCTGAAAGATGCACCCTTTGTACAGGAATTGCATTTCTGCGCCCCCTTCTCCTTCCTCCTCCATTTTCTTTCACTGCTTAATTTAGGGAAAACTTGGTGGAGCAAAGGCTGTTTCTTCTGAAATTGAAGAAACCGCATCTTTGAAGCAGTTCAAAAGGGAGCAGCCAGTGAAGAGGAGGAGTAAAGAAGCACGCTGGCCTGCGCAGATAAACTTGTTTGGCGCTCTAAAAATAGCAGCTTGCAAGAACTTTGGGGAATGAGTGGGCATGATGCATGACTGTTGAGAGCTAATCTACAGAGAAGGGAGAAACCTATTTAAAAATGGATGACTTTAGATAAAAAACAATTTATAAAATAAAGGGATACCAGAGATAACAAAGAAGGTAATCCCGCTGGGTTTGCCCAGGGAGCATTAAGAGTTCTGTGAGGTAACTGACAGTGCTTTGTTTTCTCTTGGGTTGCTGCTGTGCTGGGGATGTGAAATACCATGTTAGCAGCTGAGGGAACAGGCAAGATAGCTGTTAAGACTCAAAACTGTTCCTTCTGTTGTGAAACAGCATAAGGTCTTAACACACTTAACTGGCATATTTGCTTTTGTTGGAAGTTAATCTAGGAGGAAAAATGCTGTTTCATAATTAAATAGGAGAACAAGCTAGGGGGAAAAAATAATGGGAATAGTAAAGGATTTTAGACCATTTTCGTGACTCTGTAAGATCTGAATTAGTACAGAGTTTTTTTCGTTTTTTTCCTGGGACATTCAGAAATGGAGGGTGCATACTGTTGCAATGAAGGTGCATCCTTTCATGTCAGACATTGAGTTACATAATATAAATATTGCAACAGAATATAGAATAAACTAATACCAGCTTAACTATATTTAAAATCATTGTGGAAGATGGAAGAAAAGAAGTTATGCTTAGTGTGTGTCATCTTTGTTCTATAGCTGTTCTCTAAAATGTGCCAGGGATGTGTGGCCCTAAAACAAATTTGCCTACTCACCATTTGACCGGAAAGATCTGTACTGAAAGTATCAAATGTAGTTGTCTTCTCAGAAGGAAAGAACTTCCCTGGTGTCCTTTGTAACTAAAAGGACACTGCTGTTCCTCTGTTTTCTGTAGATAAGTGTTTGTCCTCATGGCATAGCTGATTCAGGTTTCCTCAATCTGTTGGCTTTTATGATGGAAAAGTTATGTAGGTAAACTGGCATTTCATCTTTCTCTAGTGTTGTGTGGGAGGGAGGACTTGAAATGATACCAGTGGGAAGGTGTTTGGGGTGCTTACTTGCACCCCAAAACTAGTTTTCAGTGTTCATGAGCTTATGAACAGCTTGATGCCTTTCATTCTTCAAGGTCCCTGCTGGTCTTGAGCTCTTTGGCTCACCTGCAGAGGATTGCAAATAACATTAGTGTCCTTTTTCTCAAATTCAAAGTGACTGTGTGCTCAGTGGCAGTGCTTTGGGCAGAATCTGAATGAAATATGGTTGTGTGCACCTCTTCTGAGTGATTACTTTTTTTCTTCCAAACTGGTGGGATGTAACGCAGGAAAGCAGCGCTGAGGTGTTAAGTAGTTAACATACTGTCAAAAAACAATCAAATCTTAAGACTTTTCTCCTTCTGAGCAGATTTATCTGCAACCTGTAGTCTGCTCACCTCAAAAGGTCATGACTACTGCCTTCCTCTTTCTTCTGTCTCTGTGATGTAACCTGACAAAACCCTGCTGACCTACAGATACCCCTTGCTGTGTCAGAGCATTAGTGACTGATTCTGTGTGAGCATCTGTTTGGTAAGAAGCCATGCATCAGAGTTTGTTAAAGACAGCCAAAAAAGCATAAATCAGCATAGTCTTTCTAATGACCAGGTCAGAGGCTATGAGGAAGAAGGAACAAGACCAGCTGTTAGGCATTCTGCAGAAGCTGGTATGGATCTGAAAAGTCATACAGTGACAGGCTCTTAAAGTAAAAAGTCAAGCAAAAACTGAAAGTTCATTAAGAAATAGGTCAAACCAAGGCAAGTTATAGCATGAATTCCTCAGTTTGGGTTTTAAATGGCCTTCTAGATCAACAATTTGAGAAACTGTGTGGAATAACTAGTACAGTTTTATAGTTTAGTTTTGTAGTTCTACAGTATGTTTCAAACAGAGGAGGAGTAATGTTCTTTTTACAGAACTAGAGGCATAGGTTAAAACCTATACTTGCAAATAGTTGGAAGCCCGTAATTCCGCTGTTTAAACTCAGGGTCTTGCTTGACTTTAGCCAGAGCTTGACTCTGCCTTGCAGGACCCTTCCTACAACTGTTTGATGCCAGTATCTGAAAGTGAAGAGCAATGCTTTCCCTCAACCAAGTGTATACTTGGTTATTCTCATCCTGCCAGAGCTGACAGCTATTTGGCTGTGCAGTCTGACTTTGAAACTTAACTAATAGTGCTTCCAGATCAATGCTATAATTTAGAATAGGCTGGCTGTAAATATTTTGCTCACCATACATTATTAGAAGCTTTGAAGTCTTATTCGTACAGTGTTATAAACAGTCCTAGTGTGCGGTCTTGCTGAAGAATATGCAATCTAGGCTTTTTGCTGGGAGAGAAGGTGGCAAAGTTCAAGCTCTTGTGTAGAAAATTAAGCATGCAAAGCACACTTTTCTTAAAATAAATGGGTCATTCCTCTGAAATCCAGTGTAAACAGGCTTTGTAAGTCAACAGCTGAGAAGGCTGCAGAATGCCACCTATAAAACAGTGTTTATCTGGCTCTGTGTTGTGGCTACGTACCTAGAAGATGCACTGGTAGTTCAGCTGTTGAGCCTCTCATTGCTTAGAACTGAGATGTGAGAAATGGAAAAGTGGTTGTGATTGTTCATCTGTCAACCTTACTAGAAGCTTTGTAGGAATCAAACAGTTTAATTCCTGCTGCTTGGTTGACAGTGTAATTTTACAGCATTTTGTGATGTGATAATGGCTTCTAAATACCACCTATACAGCTAATAGGTTTGAATGAACATTCGTGGTTTTTTTTTCCTACAACTTTGACGACAATGCCTTGTAGACTTAGACCAGGGCAGATTTCTTTGGAGCCTGTCTGCTGTAGGATTTTAGGAATTGTTTCTTTATAGGTTAGTGCAACAGAGGAGATTGACTGCTGAAGAAACTGAGCGCACCCACGGACAGCATGGTTTTCTAAAACTGAGATAAGTTGAATGTCCAGTCCAGACAGCATAAAAAAAAAAAAATCATCAAAACCGCTTGGAAAGTCAGCTGGAAGGTGTGGTTGATTAGTTTTTCCCATTACTCACTGTTAGTGCAGATCTTTTACGCTTCTTTAGGAAGTCTGTCCAGAAGTGGTATTCTGTATTTTACTTCAAAACTTTATAGGTTGTAAGCCAGTTCCACCTGGGGTGGGAGGTAATGTCTAGGCAAGGATTTATACTCTTTTTTAAAAATTATTGTTCTCCCACATTTTTCTATACACAATTGAGGAAACAAAGTCTAAATAGATTTAATGGCTTTAAGAACTGTTTGACAGAATATGTCTCATTGTTTTCTGTTGCTCTTTCATTTGACTTTCGTGCAACTTCTGTTTATGATCAGTGTTTTGGTCTGCATTTGCATCTTAAATCCTCTGTGTAATGTGCGTGGTGTGCTTTGTAATCCAGCTAGTTCCCTACCTCTCACAGTTGCTCTGTGAGAAAAGGGCGGGTCACTTGGGGGAGGGAACACAGACAGCAATTTCAAGCTGGATGTGAGGGCTGGTTCAGAGTTGAAGTGAGTGCAGGGACTGTAGGACAGGAGAACGGGTGGGGTTGTAGCTTTGGGAATCAGCTGTCTGAAGTGTGGATTTCTGCAGCGAGCAGTTTGTTTCAAGTCATCTGGGAGTTCTTGTGTGCTAAGCAAAGCGGGGGGTTTGGTTTTGTCTTTTTTAAGGTGCATGATGGGGTGATGGACTGCTGAGGTTCTTGGGCTTGGTCACTTCGTTAGGGAAGTTCAACTGTGTTCATTTTTCTGGAGTTCTTTGGCTGGGTGATCAGTATTTGGGACTTAAGTTTCAGGCAGAAATTGCTAGATTGAAATGTGCTTAAAATGTTAGTAAACCTAAGTGGCCTAATGGTTGTGGCGGTATTGTACAGCATTAACCTGCTTGCTTTGGAGTGGAAATCATTCAGACGTGCAACTGCGAAAGGACAATTCTTTCTTTTGGCAGCTGTGGCAAGCCCTGTTTTGTGGCAGAAGGACTGTGTGAAGGGTCCAGAGGTATGGTGTCAGAGTATTCGGACAGCATCACAGTGCGGAGCGGTGAAACACTGCCAGCAGAATGTCTGGAACAAGCCTACTGCAGTAAGTATCAACTACTGAGACTTCTTCCCACCTGTGGTTGAGGTAGCTGGCTTCCATATGCTGATGAAGATTTTTTTCAGCTCTCTGCTGGGAGTTAAGTGCTGCATCTGATTATTCTTTGGTTACTATGCGTTAATTTAGGTGCTAGATAAAGGTTGCTTCCCATGTCTCTGCCTTGCACAACTTGTCCATTGACTTTTCCTGTGACCTGTTGCACAATCACCGAGCAGTGTGTGGAATGGAGCTAGTGGATTTGTTCCTCTTTATTAAAACGACTCCTAATTCTTAGAGCCTTTTTTTTTTTTTAACTTGAGCAATGCCAACCTGATGAGCTTATTACAAGAAAAGCTGTGTGCTTCTTTATATCTTTCTCATAAGTTAACATTCCACAAAAGATGCAGCATATGCTAAATTATTTAAGGTATGGCAGTAAATAATGGTACATTGTTGCTTTTCAAGTTGCATTTGTACTAAATGAGTGCTGCTTTACTAGATGTAACTGTAGTTTGTGGTATTGTTTCACAATTTTCTAGGGGAAAACGGCATTTCACTTAGATGCATTCAGTCCACCTTGGCTATATCTGTGCCAGGATATGCTTCAGTTTGTGAAAAAGCATGGGAAGGGAGGAATGTCAGGATGGCAGAGCACAACTAAAATGAGTGAGGCTGCTTGAAAATTTCTTAGATTTGAAGAGTAAGGTAAAAGAAGTTCAGGAGAAAGCTTCTCAGGGTGAAATACTTCAAGGGAGGTGGGACTAGGTGAAATGAGCAAGTGTTAACATGCCTGTGTGTTCATGCTGTGTTGATTTACTGAAGAAACTGGAGCCGGAGGTACTTGGAATAGCCTCACTCTTTAAAAACACCTCTTCCCATCCTGGTTTCAGCCTGCGTTGCTTCCTTAACTTCAATTTCGAATGTAATACTTGTTCTTCAGATTGTTTGCATGCTGCATTTATAGGCACTTAATTCTGCCTCAGAGTAACTCTTTACTTCTCTCTCCAGAACAGTATTCCCTGTGACTTGTGTAAGGAACTTGTGACAGTGGTTGGCAAGGTTTTGAAGGATAATGGCACTGAGGTAAGCAGAGCTCCTGTCTCCTTGCCCCAAGGCAATATTTGATTTCATTCTGTTAATGAGATCACAAGGTGAGGGAGTGGAAGAGTATTCTTCCTGATGTTTTCCCAACCCAAGCAACAGATGTTGAAAGGGGCCAGAGTACATGGGAACAGGCTTTTAAACAGCCTCTTCTGGGTTAGAGATTAGCAAATTCTAGAGCCTATCATGCTCTAAAATATCCTTGAATGACTGTAGATGCTTAGTAAAATTGTCCTTGTGCCAGTAGGCCATTGATATTGAAAGGTGGGATACTGCAGTCTCTAGAAGTGGATGATTACACCAAGTGGACTTTATTTTGGTTGTGGGCACGTCTTCCCTTTTGTGAACCTGGGAGTACTTTGTATAAACAAATTACTGTCCCACCAGTCCATAATTTCACTTCCTCTTCTTAAATGTAAATGTTCTGTGCTGGTAAGACTGTTGTGCAGGCCTTGCAAGCAGTATTTCATGTTTTCACTTTGGCAGGGTCTCATCAAAGGTCCAGGACTGGGGAAAATAGATCTGTAATTTGAAACCTCATTCTAGTTTTGCTTGCCAACAGCCTGGATCTGCCTAAGTCCCAGGGGCTTTTTTTAGGCTGTTGTGCATTTTGGGAATGGAAGGAGCACTTGAAAAATGGATGTTTTGATAGTGAGTAGCCCTCCTCATCTTTTATAGGATGAGATCCGCTCTTACTTGGAAAAGACATGCGAGTTTCTTCCTGACCAAGACCTGGTCTCTGAGTGCAAAGAGATTGTGGATTCCTACCTACCAGTTATCATGGATATGATCAAAGAAGAGCTAGTAAGTAGATAAGTTTGCAACAGTTGAAATTAAAAATTGTACTCCTGCTGATGCCTGAATTTCTCTTCTACATAAGACTGTGCATATGATCCTTTAATCCTGTGTGGATCACTGGTGTTGCAAATAATGGTGTAAATTTGAAGACTGCTTCCTTGCTGTGAAACATTTTCCCTTCTTAATGTGTGAGTTGAATGACTCTACTCTGAACTCTACAGAAAAGTGCCATCTGCCATCAGTCTGGAGCTTTATGCATGTATTTTATCTCCCCTAGGATAAACCTGAAGTTGTATGTAGCGCCCTTGCACTGTGCCAGTCCCTTCAGAAGCACCTGGCAACAGTGAAACTTCAGAAACAACTCCAGTCCAATAAGATACCAGAGCTGGACTTCTCTGAACTGGCGTCCCCATTCATGGCTAATGTGCCTCTTCTTCTTTACCCTCAGGACAAACCCAAGCAGAAGTCTAAGGTGAGGGTGCACTGCTATGCCAGTATGCCGAAGTGCATGTGTTGTGCTCCAGAGCTTCAGTTCTCCTTTGCTTAAGAATTTATTGATGATTCTTGATAAGGGATTGTTCTACTGGGCACAGATTAAGCTGGTGTGTTTTGCCTGGGTGACTTTCCTACTGAATTTTGTGCTGCTGCATATAGGCAACTACCTTTTTCCATAACCCGTGAGCTTAAAGTGAAAAAAGGTGATAGCTGCAGCTTCTGTGGACCATATGTACAGTCTTGGATTAATAGCTGCAGTCTGTAAAGACAAGTCTTGTGCTGGGCTGTTCCCATTCAGGACTGTAGTAGTCAAGCAGGTCTTACTGGAAACAGTTTCTTCTGAGAACCACATTTGGCACCAGCGTTCAAAAGAAGAATAATTCTCCCACATTCAGAGGAATCTGCTCGCTGTGCCCTTTAGGGGAGGTATCCTCCTCTGAACGCAGAGGTGATGGACTGGATCAGAAAAGAACAAATAGATGACAAAGGGGCGTAGATGGGACAATGAACTTGGCAGTAGAGGCTGAGTCTTGATAGCAAGCCTAGATACGGGAGTTAAACAGTTGCATCAGTGGAGAGCAAGCTGCTGTGGGTGTGAAGCAGGTAAGATCTACCCCAAACTTAGAAACCTTCCCACTGTGGTCTGTAACAAAACCAACAGATTTTGGAGATTGGGTATCTTAACAGTTATCTTGAGTTTCAGAGCCAAGTAGGTACCTAATCTCCATCTAGTGGCCGGTGCGCATACTGGCAGTAGATTGTCTGTATTAGCTCAGGCTTTTGAATATTCTAGAGTATTTATTCAGGTTTATATATAGTTTACAAATAACTTTTAAAACTTGGTAGTAACGGAAGCTTCTAAAACATGTTATGTGAAGATATGTCAACTTAAGTTTCCTTTCACTCTGTCCAGGGAAATGGGGAGGTATGCCAAGATTGCATTCAGCTAGTTACTGATGTTCAGGAAGCTGTGAGGACAAACTCATCTTTTGTAAAGTCTTTGGTTGCTCATGCCAAGGAGGAGTGTGACCGTTTGGGACCTGGAATGTCTGATATGGTAAGATATTTTTTGTTTAGAAATCTGTTCCTGTATACAAACATAGTTTATTCAGTGCTTTAATCCTTTCAGTGGACTCTGTTTAACAAAACAGTGTGTCCCATGTAGGATGTGTTACATAGTGTAACAATAACACTGAAATCATAAACTTTCTGGTAAAGAAAGCTGGGTGGGGTGGTGTGTATGGGAGTAGGGAAGAGGAAAAAGACTCATGATTGCTGCTAGCTCTTAAAGGCCTTTTTCATAAAAATGATCTGGCAGAATAATGTGCTCGTATCAATGAGGGGGAATGCTTTTGCCTTGAGAAGAAAAGGGCTCATCAGATAAGCAGTTGTGTGCAGTGATTGTGTAACCTGAAATGTCATCTTATATTTGGGACAAGCTCTGAAAGACAACAGAATAGTTAAGTAGAGCAGGTCAATTAATACCTTGATGTACTAGAAAATTCTAGATTAACTCTACAGCTTAAGCGGTTTGATCTTTACAAGACTTTCTTCTCCCACTTCCTGCAGTGCAAGAACTATATCTCTGAATATTCTGACTTGGCTATCCAAATGATGATGCACATGGTAAGATCAGTAGAATATAATATTTGTTCTCAGTTCATTTTTCTTGGAAACAGGAAACGTTTACTGCAGTAACAGTCTGGGGAGGGCTCTCACTTTAAGCCTTGGTGTTTAATTGGATAGTGACTTTAGTCTCGGAATGCTTTCTTTAGCACTTTCCTTTCACAACCACTTCAGCAGTGCAAAAGGCACTTATCCTCTGAAACATGGGAGATACATTATATATGTTCCTATATACTCTATCTCAGTCCTGTACTTACACGCCTTTTGCTTCTCCTCACCAAATATTACGCTAAGCGTATTAGAGGCGGTCTTTGTCACGGTGTTGTAAAATTGGTTCATGTGTTAGAGATAATGTATGTGAAGCAGTATTAAATGTCCTTCTGGAATTGCCATCTCAAGACTCCTGCTCCCTGGGCTCTTGCTAGGAGCTGTGGAAAGAGAGTGGGACTGCACCAACTCCGGTCTTCTGCAGCAGTATACAAATGTTTTGCCTCTGACCACCTCCATATCACCTCTTTATCTGGACATCTCAAAGCCTTTTGAAAAAAATGGGTAGGCCTTTCCCTTGAGAATGCAGTGCCACAAGTAATAGAATATATGGCTGACTTGAACCTAAATTTGGCAACACAGCTGCCTCTTTTTGTTTCCAGTTGCTAAAGGCTACTTAAAAGCTCATACTGCTTTTTAAACATTTGGGGGGTGAGAAGCAAATCTTAGTTCCAACAGTTAGTTTCTCATTTTAAGCATTGTAATGCAGTGTGTTGTTAATACCTGAAATTGGAGTATGACCACACCTTGCATCCGGCTGAGTGTTGTTCATACTCTTTGGAGGTAGTCTTGCCCAGGATGCTTTAATAACTTCAGATGAATAATGCTGGTTAGCACTGTGCAATTAAATGTAAGTTGCTGTAGCAATGCTAAGGATCTTTGGGGTGGGGACCATGTCATATTCCATCTTCATGGAAAGAGTATGTGCAGTTCCAAGTGCTTGACTTTTTTTTTTTTCTCTTAACTGTTATCTTTAATTTCTCCTTTCTTCCTCTATCTCCAATCTCCCCTGTCAACAGAAGGATCAGGTAGGTGAGCAACTTGCCTGTGATGATAGCCTGCTTGTAGTTCACTTCTTGCTCTTAAAGGGCTTGTAGTTCACTTCTTGCTCTATTAGCTGTGTACTTGTGTGACTGTACTCAGTGTTGACAGATACAAGGGATATTGATGTGATTAAAACAGAGAAAGACTACAGACTTCCAGTGGATCAATCCTACTTCCAGCTCCAGATACCAGTTCGTGCTACTAAGATTTCAGCTCGATTATGCTTTGGCCAGTGGAGTAGAAAATATGCTCACTTCCATACAAGAATTAGATGTAGAAAAAGCATGCTGGTTGTTCCTGTCAGCTTCTGGTTTAAAGTCTGGGCTCAAAAGGGCTTGAGTGAAGCTGTCCCCGGGTCTTTTCCTGGTTAACCTTTAAATCTAGGACAATGGTATAGATATTTGGAGTGTATGATCTGAAAAGATGATGCGGGAGGCTTTTAGGCTCCTGCTTCCTAGAGCTATTTGGGCTTTTAATTCAACCAGTCCTGGGAGACCTTGTGTCTGTCATCTCTCTATGAGAGAACACGTTGCGTGTATGTGGGTGTTGCTGTAACATTAATACCTGGAAATGCTTCTTACAATGCATGAACCAAAGGGCTTGACTTAAAGGTACTGCCTGGAGTAGTCTGAAGCAGCACTGTATCTTTGAGATCCTGCTTCTGCCTGTGCATGAGGCTGTGGCATGATATATTGACTGTTGCATAAGCCTCTGCTGTAAGAAGCTTGATATCCTGGTGACAGGGTGGGGTATGGTCTTCTAATTACCCATAGCACCAAAGATAACTTTTAGCTTAAGTAGACTTTAGGTGGGAAAATTCAAGTTTTGTATATTACTTTGTGTGGCATCTCTCACTTCATGTGGATATAGTGCTCCTTAGAGCAGCTTGCCTCATGTCTGCCATTTATTTTTGCATTTAGTAACATGTTTCTAAAACCTTTGAGAGACTTAGAAAGCTTTTTTTTAAAGCCTTTTTTTCTGTTTGCTGTTTTCCCTCTTACTGTGTAAAGAGCACCTGAAATACAATCACTGCAGCTACTTGTAAAAAGGCTTAGGCTTAGGTTTTAACATGGTTAACTTTTATTTCTTATAGGCTGTGTTCAGTAATGCGGAAATGTGTTTCTGTTTGCAAAATGTGATGTTACTGGCTGCTTTAAAGAAGGTAGCTTGTGGATGAGGAGGAGTCCTTTCCTGTAGGCATTTCTTTGAGCTTTTGGGTGAACTCTGAAGTCAGGATAATAAGGCTCTTCTGTGATTACTTAAAGCTTCCAGGGGAGGGGCTTTGCGAATGCAGGTCTAATGTGATGCTGGTGGCCTGTTTTGGTGTTGGTAGCTCTTAAGTCAACTCCTTTGAAGGGCTCGCATAGTGTATTAGCTCATGGTAAATGGGGTTTTTAAATGGATGTGGCCTAATCTCTTCCTCTTTTAAAGGAACTGCTAAATTTCATCTGGTAGTTGTCCTGCCTGTAACCTTATCAAATGCTTTGGCAATACTCGAAGTAGAAGTAGTCATGAAACTTCTAGTGATTTGGAGCCTTTAAAAACTTTGTTCTGTGCCTGCTCACAGGCTCCAATAGAAAGGGCAGAGTCTTCTAGACTTCTGAAAATTTGCTTATACATCTCTTTCCAGCAACCAAAGGACATTTGTGCCATGGTCGGGTTCTGTCCTTCTGTGAAATCTGTTCCCCTTCAGACTCTGGTGCCAGCTCAGGTGGTTCATGAAGTGAAAATGGAAACTGTGGAGGTAAGATGGATTTCTTGTACTCAACAGCTGTGCCTTCCTTTTTTGCTTTAGTGTAATGAACTAGGTGAAACAGAAAAATTAGTTCTTCTGCATAGAATAATCCATGTCTCCCTGCATGTAAATTCCTGGCCTCTCTTTTTCTGAAGCTGATCTGTGAAGTAGGAGAGCTGACGGATTTGTTAGAGTAGCAGAGTCAATGCTAAGCTGAAGCTGTAAGGTAATGCTTCAGGATTGAATACGAACTCTTGTTCCAGCAGTGGAGTACAGCAGCCATTCTAAATGACACCTCCAATGTTAGAGGGCAAACTGCTGAATTTGAGTTTTGCTCTACAATGGGTGTTGTGCTTTGATCCCTCTTAAAAAATGGGACAGCACTCTGCGTGTGCAGCTGAGTGATCGGAGTTGGAATGCTGAAGCTGAGTTTGTAGAGGCACCTTTAGCTTCCCGTGGCCTTTGGGTGAGACCTGGGCTTAGGGGTGGTTTTGGTTTCGAAAGGAAAGTCTTTTGAGGACAGTTAACTTCTGATGAACAAGCTCCAATTTCCCTCAAGTCCCTCAATTTCTACGTTTCTTTTGCAAACAGGAGGGTGCTCTCAATTCTAGCAAATTTTGTCCTCAATGAATTTTAAAAAATATTTCATACTTCCCTTGACTCCAGTCTCTGTGGGGCTGCTTGTTTCTCTGTGTCTACTAAATTCAACTCCCCTCCTTATACAACCTGGGGATTGTAGTCTTAGTCATATGAAATGACTATCCATTCAGAAAGGCTTTTTACTGGGACCTTTGAGGTTGGTTTTGGGTTCTGTGTGATCATCTGAATTCAGCTCAAACTGGCCAGCTCTGTAAATTAATTAGTGTGCTGCACCTCCATGTGCATGGTGTTAGACTGAGCTTTTATGAATTGTTCCGGTCAAATGTGGTCAAGTGCTGATTTATTATTTTGTATGTTTCTTCTGTGTCCTCAGAAAGCCTCAGTTCAAGAGAAGTCTCTTTCTTTGTGTGAAATATGTGAGACCACAGTGAAAGAAGTGACTGGCCTTTTGGAGAGCAACAAGACAGAGGTGTGTAAGTGGTAGAAATGGTACTTCTTCCTAGGCTTTGGCTAAAATGGGGCTGTATTGGAGGGGGAGGGAATGTTAATTTTCTCGCCTGTTCTCATGAGAACAAGATTCCCATCCTGGGTGGGATGGAGTAAGAAAAAAAGTACTTTGGAATTGAGTCAGATTTCTGTTCCTCATTTGCCACACGTTCTTTATTGTGCTTCAGGAGGAGATTGTACGTGAAGTGAAGGTGGTCTGCTCCCTGTTCCCAGCAAGTGTCAAAGACCAGTGTAAGGACTTCATAGATGTCTATGGCCAGGCTTTGATTGACATGCTCTTGGAGGCGACGAATCCCGAGGCAGTGTGTGCTATGCTGAAATGCTGTGCAGCCAACAAACCTCCACAGCAGCCAGGTTGGTAATGAAGTGTTGGTGATGTTGCAAAATGAGCTAGTTCACTGATGATTACATCTCTTTTGAGGACATCTGCTTTAGTACTTTGCAGATGCTGCCTCCTTTCTTCTGTTTGGGAGAACTACCTAAGCACTGATGTTTTCTCTTTTATTTTTTTTCCCTTCTCAGTTTTAGTGAAACCTGCAGATGGCTTCTGTGATATCTGCAAGATGGTGGTAGCGTATGCAGACAAAGAACTAGAGAAGAATGCCACAACAGCTGAAATTGAAGCTTTACTGGAAAAAGTCTGTCACTTCCTGCCAGAGTCTGTCAGTGATCAGGTAAAGCGCTTGGGCAGGAGGCAGGCTAAAAAGCAATGGTCTTGTTGGTGGTTGGGAACTGTCCTTGTTGATTTGGGTTTACATAGGTCCAACAGTGACAATTAGACTTACCTCATTTTCTGAGTATTTCACCTGATACTCTGTCTACATGCTAATTTTAGATCCGTCCCTCAAGTGTCTCTACTTCTGCTATAAATGTCCAGGTACTCAGAAGAGATCTCTGTGTTTGGCTCACTGTCTTGATCTCTGGCTGGAGACAAACTGTCCACAGGTGCAGCTGGGACTGGCTTGTGTTCAGCAACCTGATCCTTCCTAGGTTTTTCCCTTTGCTAGTTAGCACCAAAGCGTAGCAACTTCTCATGTGCAGTAGAGCGAAAAAGAGGGAGCGGGCTTGATCTCAGGCAGTCAGATGATGACATGGGCCTTGCTGTGTGGCAGCCTGCCTCCTGCTCAGAAAGGTGCAGATGGAGATGAACAGAAGGATGAAACAGCTTGCAGAGTATTTGGAAAAACTAGAGAGCAGCATCTCTTGGTGGGTTTTATAAGAATAGTCAGTCTTCCTCTGCTAGAGGCTGGAAGGAGTTCAGGGTGCAGGAGGATTAGGTTTTTGCACTTGCCATCCTTGAGGGTTGGCAGTCCTTGGAATAGATGGCAACTTCTTGGGGTCTGAATTTGGCTGGATCAGCAGTCAGTAAGGGTTTGCCTGGAAATCCTGGGAGAACAGTAGGTGGGAGCAGCTGAAGGTTTGTTTTCTTTTTTCCTCAATGCTGATCCTGGTCAGGGGATTAACAAAGTAATTTGGAAGTAGGCTGGCATAATTCCAGTGGGACAGCAAAAACAAACACCAGTTAGGGCCACTGTTAGCAAGATTCACCTGGAAATCTTGTTAGGTGTCCTCTGAGTGTCAGCAAGTGGCAACTGTTTATAAGTTTACCAGGTGTATAATATACAGGCTTAAAGCAGCTATGGAACAGCTATTCCTGCTAATTGCTGTGAGGCTGTTTAATAGCTGTGGTTGGCTTATTAATTGGTGCTGTTAGTCTCTGCTGTGAAGGCTGGTATCTTCCTGTGCTTTGGAGATGGCCCCGCTAGAGGGCTGGCAGCTGCTGCTGCTGTGAAGCGCTTGTGCTGCTGCCTGCTCCGAAGCACACGGTAACTGCGTGGGCTAAAAAGTGCTGAAGAGCCATTCCTGCACAGCTGCCGTCCTGTTTAGGATGTTTGTCTCCAGCTTGTTCAGTGTGCTTTCCTCTTGAGACAGCAGTGATCTTCATGATCAGAGACTTAAGCTTTGCATAGCACGAGTGTGATGTTCTTGGTTCTTTTCTTCTTGACCCTTTTCTCATCATAACCTGTCTGCAGACAGCTGCAGCCAGGTATGAGCTAGCAGAAAAAAATGTAGTTGTGTGATTAGTGTGATGCTGAGTCCTTTTCTATCTGCAGACCTCAAACCTCTGGTTTATCAGTTTGGAGTGTGTTATTGGGGTGTTTGGAGTAGTGCACAGGCCTGTCTGAAGACGGTGTCTTTCTCTAAGTCTTCAACAGGAGAATCTCACAACCTGTGTTTTGTTACAGTGTGTTCAGTTTGTGGAACAGTATGAACCTGTGGTTGTGCAACTCCTGGCAGAGATGATGGATCCCACTTTTGTTTGCACTGTGAGTATTGCGTTTAGTTCTTTTGAGTATGGGCTCTGATACGGTCCTGCCTACTCTTCTGTATGCCTTTCAGTGCCTAGCATGCAGAAACTCTGCTGGAATAAAAATCAGCACCCTGAATACTTGGAGCAAATGGGCGGCTGTGCAAGGCTTGGGACTTACTGAATGGACAGCTGTCTGACTGCCAGCCTTGTGCAAGGAAGGATAGAAGAAAAGAGCTGCCAGTGGTTATCCACTGCTGAGGTTCAGTAACAAGGTGTAGTGTGCCCTGAATGTGATGAGAGGAAGCTAAATGACATTTCTTGAGAGGTCCCTTTCGAGAAGCGCTTTCTCAAAACTGAATGTTGAGAAGCGACTGTGGTGACTTAATTCTTCCTCGTGTCAGATTACTGCTTCGTGTCTACTTGTTCAGCTGCAGGTGTGACTGCAGTTGGCAGCTCTTGAAGCTACCTCAGTGTTGCTTCCGCACTTGATCGGGTGGAAGCTCGGGTGTAAGGCTGGAGTTGAGATCTCTGGGTGCAAATAGGAAGATGCTGACTCTGCTGGTGTTCTTTTCACAGAAACTCGGGGTCTGCGGATCAGCTAAACAGCCTCTCTTGGGGAATGATGCTTGTGTCTGGGGTCCAGGCTACTGGTGTAAGAACATGGAGACTGCTGCTCAGTGCAACGTACGTAAAGCAGGATTCTGCCTCAAGTTTCCCCTTGGTCTTCGATAGCTCCTTGTAAACTACTTTTCCAGCTTCTGTATCGCACTTTGAAGTGGATGAATTCCAGTTGAAGGAAGCGAAAGGATGCTAGCTAGAGGTGGTTGAGTTGGATTAGCAGGGTCTCCCGTAGCCCTTAGCTTGCTTAAAGCAGAGTGTTTCTTCTCCCTTTCGTTCCTATCCCCCACCTGGCTGCTAGCATTTCAGAATCTGTAGTAAGGTACAATGTGAGCTTCAGTCTGTGTTCCTGCAGCCAACACGCCATGTCATGGCCTCTCATCAGGCTCTAAGAATTGGCTTCCAGTATGGCTGTGGGCTGATGCTTTCTTTGCCAGGTCTTAATGGCTAAGGGTCACCAGCATTTTTTCCTGAAGCTTCTGGGTGGGGACGAGGATGTTATTTATTCTAGTCCTCCCTGGAATCACTTACTTTAAGAAAAACAGATTTGCTTCCGAGATCTTGGCTCAGAATAAGGCGATGAATTGTATGTGTAGATGCACGCTTGTTTGCAAACAGGCTTTTTTCCACTAACATACGCTATTTATTTCCCTTTAGGCTGTTGATCACTGCAAACGTCATGTGTGGAACTAGAAGAAGAATTTCCAGTTCTGAAAGTTTGCCATGGCTCTTAAAAAATGTGGGCCAAGGTTGGTGGAGAGCTGTATCTCAAATGTTCCTCCTCTCTGCCTTGTTAACAATTTGACCTTCAAGTTCCTTTATTGTAACTCTTCTGTAGCAGTGCTGCTGTTGAAGGATCAGATCTTCATTGTTGACTTAACAAAGATATTTCTGATTGTACAGTTTAACTCATTATGCTCCTAAAAATAGTCAGTGTGTTGTAGATTTTTTAATTGATAGGCTGAAGTGGTTGTTTTAAGTGCTGGGAAGAATGGCAGAGAAGGTGAAATGAGACAAGACTATTATCTTTTAATTTAAAAAAAGAACAAGATAACAACTAAACTTTCAAATGTCTTTCTGTAGTCAGCATTGGGAAGATTACATGCTTTGCATTTTTAACATCTGGCTGGAATATTAATTTTCTGTGTAACCATAGGGGAACTCTAAGGGATAATGTTGAATCTGGGAATCCCTTTGGTTGGAATTTTCAAAGCTCTACAGATGCAGAGGAGTGGACTTAGTGCCCAGTAAAATTCCAGAGTACACTGGTACCTAGAGATGCATTTGCATTTGAGTGACTACAAGGCTCATGGTGGTGTTATAGCTAAGGAAACCCTCCCTCAACCTTTGATCACGTCCTTTTTATTTCCTTGGACTGTTTGGTCTAAGCATGGGTGTTCTACTGTCAAGCCCTGTACAGTGAGATTTCGGTCTTTAGAAGCATGCTGATATACTTATGGAATGGCTCCCTCTGTTTTTTTTTTTTTTTTTTTTTTTTTAATCCTAGTTGCTCAATTCTGCTTAGTCTTGCAGCTTCCTACATGCAACGAGCTGGGTGCCAAGGAGGTGGAGCGAGTTGGCTTGGTAAAAAATGGAGGGGAAAAAAGTCAGCTGGGGGCCGTGCATATGTCAAAGCGAGTTCAGCAGAGAGGGCAGAATGCATGGAAAAATGTTTTTTATCCCAAACTGCTGGTTTGTTCCTTGATCTTTTTCTTCTCTCGACATATTTCAGTCATCTAAAACTTCAGAGGCGCCATGAGGCTCGGGGGGAGTTTCTGTTGCTGCCTTGCGTTCTCACTGACACTCATCCTTCTGAGTAGATTCCCCCCCCCCCCCCCCCCCCCAGAATTCCCATTTCTGTTGGGAAATGGGTTTGAGCAGCGTGCTGAGATGGCAGATGGTAAGAGCACTGCAGTAGGTATTTGGCAGCTCTGCTGGGGTACCTGACAACTCTGCAGCGTCCCACTGAAACGGCCTGAACTCCCGAAGGAGAGCCAGAAAAGGCAGGCTGCTACCCTGGAAACAAGTCAGGCCCTCGAGGTGCAGGGGCCTCGAGCACGAGAGTCATGCTTACTTTGCTTGAGAGGGACCTTGCATCCCCTACCAGCATTTAGTGTGTAGTTCTGATCGAATTAACCCCTAAAATGGAGGCACCAAAGTAGCTCAGAGGAGCCCTTCGGGAAGGAGGAGCTGGGCAGAGGTGGAGCTTTGAAAATTCCAGTCCTGTTCAGAAAGGTGCCGGCAACTGCTAGTGTTCCTGTGATGCCTTGGGTGAGGCAGGAGCTCTAGTAACCAGGCTTTAGCAGCAAGCAAAGTAATTTTCATGCAGTTTAATGAAAAACCACTCGACTGCAGCTTTTTAGTTATTACGTGTACATACTAAATGTCTGGGCAGTGTTGACAGCAATACTAGTTTGTCTTTCCTTGTTTGCATTTGTACAGAACGCTGAAGCACTCACAGCTTTAGAAAAAAAAAAAATTTCTCCTAAAGATGTAAAATACCTGCAGCTTTGTCTTGATGGGCTTGTGCAGTGGTTCCAGCGATGTGTCCCAGTTGGAGTAGATATGCCAGATAGGAAATGGGCTTTTCAGCTTGGCTGCCCTGGAGTTACAGGTTGTGTTACACCATGGCATGCAGTATGGTATTTGATTTTTTTTTTTTTTTTTTTAAAACTGGATGGCGTTCTCTCAACATGAACTATTTTGAGGCGGGGGTGGGGGGGGGGGAAGTGGGGGATGGATTGACACTTTCTCTTACAGATTGGCAAGGTTTTAATTTTCTTGGGTTTTTAGCCGTGAAGGATTGATGTTAGGGACCTGTTGGGTGAGGAACTGGGGGAAATCCTGTGCTAGGGCTGGGCAGTTTCCTCCCTGTGGACTGTGGCACCTGACCCGCTTGAGTTACCCTGGGGAGGGGGGGGACACACATGCAGCTGCTTTCTAAAGAACATCGTCTTGATTTTTGCACAAAAGCTTCCTTAATGAACAATAAAAACTTCTGTAAACGGTAAGTTTGTGTTTTCATTTCCTTGTTGCGTGCTAGTTAGGACCTCGCTACCTTCCCCTTTGCTGCAGAGCTGGGAGAAGGCATGTCCCAAAATGTCACCGGGAATCTGGGGCTGAATGACAGGAGTTGTAATTGCCTTGCAGCGTGCGTGTCCCATCAAGCCTTTGTTCTCTGGAGCACGGTTGCAGGTTCAGGAGGCTTCCCAGGGATTGCCACCGCCGCAGTGCCTGACGTGAGGCAACAGCCCCGTGTTGCAATTCTGCCTTGCGCAGGCTGGAGGGAGTTCTTGCTGGAGCTGCTTGATACCAGCCTTCAGTGCTGACTTGCATTTAACGTGGCTTTCCTTTTTGTCCTCTTGCCATATTTTGAATAAATGAAATTTTTTTTTTTTAAATGCTTTAAGCAAACTCCTTGGCTGCCTCTAAATATACCATTAATTCGCTTGTCCTAAATTTACCTGCTTTTATATCTGTGCTGCTGACCTTTTTTTTTTTTTTTTTGTTTTGTAAGGGGTGCTGCTCTGCTCACTGAAGAGCACAGCGAATGGCCATGGCCCAGGGACAGATTTCCCTGGCTGTGCCCACCCTTTGCAGCCAGGATTGGTGAGGTTGGAGCTTGAAGAGCAGGAGCGGGGCTGGTTTTGACTTCCCGGGAATACCTGCCTGGCTCCCGTCCCTCCCTCCACTTGCAGGCTGGTGATGATTTTATAATCAAGGCGTAAGGAGAGGGGTGTGGTAATTGCCCTGCGTAGGTGTGGGATCTCACTACTTCTCCCAACCCCTCCACCATTCCTCAGACTGGGAGCAGCACCGGAGAGGAACCAGCCGCTGAGGACTGTCTTTAGGAACGGCATGGAGAGCAAATGGAGGGGCTGGGTGCTGATCCTTTCTATGTGCCTGGGCTCCTACCAAGGTAAGGCCAGGCCTGGGGGTAGGACTTTGAGGGGAGCCCAGGAAACCCCTCCGAACCCCAAAACTTAGTCCCAGCTCTAACGTTTAAGCTCCACAGCGTCCTTCCTCATCCCTCTGCGGGGTTGGGAGTGGGGCCAGAGGAGAGCTGGGGCGGGTGACGCCACCAGCTGCTTTCCCTCTTGCCTACCTCCATGTGAGCGCTGCAACTTCTGCCCTTAAAGATGATCCCGGGGCAAAAAGTGGCCTGCTCCCTCCCCTCCCCTTCTCCCACCAGTGGGGCTTCAGACGGGGCCGGTGTTTTGCTGGGATCTGGAAAGAGGGGGAGGCCAGTCAATGGGGAGTCCTGCCAGCCGGGGGGGAGAGGGGCTGCCCTTGGTGTTGGGACCTGCCCGTGTCCGTGCCAGCTGGGGGGGAAACCATGTTGCTGTTTGGGCACGGTGGGGTGACCAGGGTGCTGTCTGAGGGTGTGCCCCTTCCCTTAGGGGCCTCGTAGGAGGTGCAGGAGGCAGGAAGCCTCCTCTGCTGTGGTGTGCTGAGCTCCGGGGAGGGTGATGGGGTGCAGTGCTGCAGCCCTAGGCACCTTTGGAGACCTCATCACCGGGGCTTTGGCTATCTCTGAGCAAATCTTCCTGCCCGTGAGCTTATGCTATCAGCCCCTGGGCCTCCCCCTTGATAAGAGTGAAAAAGTGATATCTGTCTTACCCCCCCAACATCCTCCCAAGACAAGTTGGGAAGAGCTTGGTTTTGACCCCTGGCCCTTGTTTGATGGGAAATCACTTATTCCAGGGGAAATTTCCATGAAGCCCCACTGTTGTAGGCAAAAAAAAAAAAAAAAAAACCAAACCCAAACATCTCAACTCCCAGAGGGAAGAACCCCAAGCTCAGCCCATCACACTCCTCTGGCGTGACCTGCTCGGGCACAGCCTCTGTGGTGGAAGAGTCGTGACTGCGCACGCTTGTCCTGGAGGTGGGGGGGGACATGACGAGGTGCTCCAGTCAGCAACAGGCAGAGCAAGAAAGTTCACCCACGCTCGGCACGTCCGTGGCACGGCTGTCCTTCAGGTGGTGCCCGCCCTGGGAGCCGGCGGTGGCTCCGGTGGTGGCCGCTTGGCTACGTGACCCGGTGTGGCTGCAGGACTGGGAGCCACTGCAAGCCTTGGAGAAGGGTTTTGATACTGGGAAGAGTGTATTTAGTTTTTTTTTTTTTGCCGTAACAAGGGTGTGCGCCAGGCCAGGAACTGGGGCGCCGGGGCCCACGCCGCCACCTCCGGGGTTTACATCACAACCTGCTCGCCAGGCTCTGCCGGCTGGGCCGGCGTGCTCTGGGGCCGCGCGTAACGCCGGCACAGCCTTGCCAGATCTGGAGCTCGGTGCTCCGTCCCCCCTGAGCACAGCCCACCCCACCCCAGGGGCCTGGCAGCCCGAGATAGAGCAGTCCTGGCCGGCCTGGGGCCACCCCAGCGGTGTGGGAGCATCCCCACCTCACCCCATGCTCTGTGCCAGGGCTTTGCCGAAACTGGCACCGTCCGCTGTCCTGCTGCCTGGGTGCCCGGCAGCAAGAGGTGGCTCCAGCACAGCTTTGAAAAATGGAGGCGAGCTCACAGTTGCCCCAGTTGTTTGCCCCCTGGCCCTGCTTTCCACCCAGGGAAGCTCCCCCCCTGCTCTCAGCAGCTGGGTGTTATGATTAGTATTAATTATTTTTCCGGCCCAGCACTTGTTGCCTGAGTTTCAGCTCGAGCAGAGCGAGGAGGAAGCACTGAGCTGAGAGCCACTGTGAGCCAGAAAGGTGCTGGTCCAAAGCACTGGTGTCCTTTAGACCAGCCAAATCCCCCCATGACAGTGCTGGCAGCATCCTTACACCGCTGCTCCGGTCTCAAGCACGAGGCTGTGAGATGCCAGTGTCCATGGATTAGGAAGGACCAGCTCAGAAACAAACTGTGGGGTCGTTGCCTCCCCATTCCTTTTTTTTTTTTTTTTTTTTTTTGTGCTGCCCCTTAATGTTTCTGCTGCCTTGCCATTCCTGTCTGTCCTGATGCTAGGGCCAGAATTAAAAAAAAAATAAGTCTATATCTCTCAGTTGATGGGGCGACCTCGGCATCATGCTGCTGGAGAGATGTGTGGGAAGCTGTGCATGGGAAACCCGGGGTGGTGGTGGGGGGACGATGGGATGGGACTTGCCCTGCCCTGGGGCTTGCTTCTGCCCTGGTGCTGCTGTCAGCCTGATGGGGAAATCGGGGCTGAAATGCCACCTGGGCCCCCTGAGCTCCGCCAGAGCTTTTGGGAGCGGGCAGGGCTGGGGGTGGGGGGCTTGGGACCCCCCTCCCTACAACCCCCCCACCCCTAAGGACTTGCTGGGGTGGCCCTGGGTATCTCAAGCTGCTGCCCCAACACATCTCATGGATGAGCAGAAGGTGTTGCCAGGATCTGGCGTGCAGGAAAAGCAGCTTTTGGGGAGAAACCTGATAAGGGCAGGGTGGGTGGAAGGAACAGCTTCTGCTTTTGGCTTTATTCCTGCTGTACAAAATCAAATGGCCAGGGCTGAGTGGTAAAAGCTGGATGAAAATGCTCTGAGGGTGGCATCGTGCTTTGCTTAAAAATGCTAGCTGTGAGATAGCAGAGTCTGTCTGTCTGCCCGTTCACGTGCCCCCTGAATTTCTGGAGTGGCTCCTGGCCAAATCAGGGCAGTGAAGGGGCTTGGGTTGTGCCAGCTCCACGCCTCCTCCCCAGCCGCATCCTGGGTGGGCGCAGCCCCCAGTGGAAATAAACACTTGCCCCATCACAAATGACTCCTGACACGCCAAGGTGGCAATTAAACCACCGGCGTTGCGCCATGCCACCGGGCGGCCAGGGCGGGTGGTGCTGATGCTGCTGTGCTGGGGATTTACAGTCAGGAGAAAATGCTGTCATCGGGAGGAAATGAGAAAAAAAAAAAACAAAAAAAACAAAACACCCTAAACTGGGGTTGCTCAATCGTTGCCAGGAGCCACGGCGTGGCTAACTGGCTGCTGTGTGGGGGCTGAGCGCTGGTACCCCCCTGGTTTGCTCGTTTTGCAAGATTTATTGCTGTTTCTATAAGCAGCCACCTCCCCAGCATGTTAAAGGGCTCTGTGAGGCTGAGCACCCAAATTTGCTTTGTGTTTTGATGCTGGACCAACGCTGCTGTGACATCTCATTGGAAAAGACAGCACACACTGGCCTGGTAAAGCCGGCCTTTGCTGAGCTTAAAAAAATCATAGAATCATAGAACAGTCTGGTTTGGAAGGGACCTGAAAGACCATCACGGGCAGGGACCCCTTTCCCCCAGCCCCATCCAACCTGGCCTTGAACCCTTCCAGGGAGGGGGCAGCCACAGCTGCTCTGGGCACCCTGGGCCAGCGCCTCACCCCCCGCACAGGGAAGAATTTCTTCCCAGTATCTAATCTAAATCTCCTCTCTTTCAATTTAAAACCGTTACCCCTCATCCCATCCCCACCCCCTGACCCAGAGTCCCTCCCCACCTCTCCTGTCCCCCCTTTAAGCCCTGGGAGGCTGCTCGAAGGTCTCCCCGGAGCCTTCTCTTCTCCAGGCTGAACCCCCCCAACTCTCTCAGCCCGGCCCCCCAGGGGAGCTGCTCCAGCCCCCCCAGCATCTCCGTGGCCTCCTCTGGCCCCGCTCGAGCAGCTCCGGGTCCTTCTGCTGTTGGGGGCCCCCGAGCTGGCCCCAGCACTGCAGGGGGGTCTCCCCAGAGCGGAGCAGAGGGGGAGAATCCCCTCCCTGGCCCTGCTTCCCCCCCATGCTCTGGCTGCAGCTCAGGCAAAAAAAAAATTTGTCAACCCCAACCACCACACCACCGTTGCGAAAGCTGAGGGTGAATCACAGCGGGAGGGTGAGGAGCATCGCCCTTGGCTCGTGGGGCAGGGCTGGGGTCAGGGTGCTGGTGGGGAAGTTGGTGTGGGGCAGGAGATGGTCTCGGGGTGCCCCAGGGGTTGACGGTCTCCTCTTTTCCCCCCCACCCCTCCACCCCACTGCCCCAGCCGGGGCCAGCCCCCTCCATGAGTGTGGCGAGCGGCCGGAGGACTGGTGCCGCGATGTGGCGACGGCGGCCAAGTGCGGGGCACTGGAGCTGTGCCGGATCACCGTCTGGGACCAGGCCCTGGGGGTAACTGTGCCAGGAGGGGGGATGAGGGCTTGGGGGGTGGGGGAGCGTGTGGAAGGATGCATCCATCATCCTGCCCCAAAATGTGGGGCTGGAGGGAGAATCCCAGCCTGCACCCTCCTCCCCGCTGATGCTGGGCACCCAGGGGAGCATCCGCTGACACTCTCAGGCAGCAGCGTGTCTGCAGGGTGAGCGACCAAAACGAGTGGGTACCCCAGGACGTTCCCCTTGGTGTGGGGTGTTTTTGGGGATGAAGGGTTGGGTTTTGGGGAGCAAGCTGGTGGGGGGGGGGGGGTCTGGGTGCCATGGCAGCACCCCGACAACATCCACTCTCTCAGCAGAAGGGGATCCCGTGTCACCTGTGCCAAGTGGCGGTCTCCGTGGTGGGCAAGATCCTGCAGGACAACCGCACCGAGGTGGGTCGTGGCCGGGGGTGTGTGCGTGTGTGTGTGTGTGTGTGTGTGTGTGTGTGGGCTGACGTGTGTCCCCCCGCTCCACCACGGGGCCAGCCCAGCTCTGAGCTCTCCCCTTATCACCTAGGAAAAGCTACGGCTCTTCTTGGATAAGAAATGCCAGTACCTGCCCTTCCAGGACTGGTCTGTCAAGTGCAAGAGGATGGTGGACACTGGCATCCTCATCCTCGTCCAGCTGGGCAAGCAAGTGCTGGTAACTGGCTGGGAGGACACCCCCACCCCCCCATTACCCCCCCCCCCCCCTCTTGGATTTGCATTTCTCCATGGTTTGGGATGTCTTGGGGGCTCGCAGGGCAAGGGAGGCTTTTGAAGCCTGGGATAAAACCTTTGCGAGATGGAGATGGGGATGGAAATGACCCAGGGATGGAGGGGTGGGGAGCAGGGTGATGGGACAGATGAAGCCCCAAGCCCCCCACCCCTCTGCCCACCCCCTCCAGTCGGACCCAAAGGTGGTGTGCGGGACCATCAAGCTGTGCCAGCCCCTGGAGAGCCCCACGGGGGCTCTGAAGTTTCAGAAGCCGCCGCCAGCCCCCACTCAGGACTTCGCTGACCTGGTTTCCCCCTTCATCGCCAACGTGCCCCTCCTGCTCCATCCCCAGGACCCCCCTCGTGGCGAGGCTCAGGTACCGTGGCACAGGCAAGAATGCCACTGAGGCTGCTTAAGGATGAGAATCACCTAGTTAACAATAACAAAAAAAAAAAAAAAAATTGCCACACAGCTGAGATGGCGTCTGGTTAGGGGTGTCACAAATTTGGCCCCAGGATATTGCAGGATGCAGGAAGAGGGGGTGGTCAGAGACATGGCGGCCAAAAAACTGCCCCAGATTGTGACTGGCATTTCACCCCGGGGGTGCTCGGTTTTATTTTGGCGGGGGGGGGGGTGGGGAGGAAGGTATTGAGATCTCCCTGCCCGTGTCCTCCCGCAGGAGCTGGAAGAGGGGTGTGGGGACTGCCTGCAGCTGGTGATGGCCGTGCAGCTGGAGCTGGGGACCAACACCACCTTTGCCCAGGCACTGGTGGCCCACGCCGAGCGGGTGTGCGAAGGCCTGGCACCCGACATGACACCGTGGGTAAGGGGGTCAGCATCACCCTGGGCTCCTCCTCCTCCTCCTCCATCATCATCATCACCGGGAGCATCTTTTGCAGCTGCCTGCTTTGGAGCAGCACCCGGGGGGGTGGTGTGTGGGATGCTGGAGGGGTGCAGGCAAGGTGGTGGGGTGTCCCTCCTTGGGTGCTGACGCTGTGCCCCGTGTCTCCCCTGCATAGTGCAAGAGCTACCTGGCCAAGTACGTGGACGCGGCTGCCCAACTGCTCCGGTACATGGTAAGTGGGTGAGCAGCTCCCCGGGGTGAGTGGGTGCTGACGGGGGCAAGCGGCATAGCCAAGGGGACCTCATCAGCAAATGTGGGGCCCCACTTTTTTTTTAATAAACCCACTGCTTTACATTCCTACAAACGGTTAAATATTTCCCCCCCTCCCCGCCTTCTCTGTGCCTTGAAACTGCTGCAATCCTTTTTTTTTTTTTTTATTTTCGTTTTTTCATGCCGTTCTCTGGCCCCTCCACTGGTAGCAGGCTGAGGTAAGCGAGACCCATGCTCTAACGGGCTGAAATCACCCTCCATGGGGAAGCAGGGGGGGGTGCAGGCTCACCCTCCCGGGGGGATGCCCACCCGATTCAGGCTGTCTCTCTCCCCAGGACCCGCTGGAGCTGTGTGGCCAGCTGGGACTCTGCTCCTCCGCCTCGGCACTGCCCCTCCACACGCTGCTCACCGAGAAGGTGACTGAGGTCCTGAGCGCCCTGGGGGTAAGTGGGGACCCCCTCCCAGCCCCCCCGACTCTGACATTCCCCTTAAAATCCAAACGCTTGGAAGAGGGAACCTTGTTTTGCTTTTTTGTTTTGATTTGGTTTGTTTTTTTTTTTTTTTTTTCCTCAAGCATCTCTGTTTTTTTCAAGGTGGGGAATGTCTTTTGAGGGGGTTGATGGCTGGGTGGGATGGGGGTGGCTCTGAGGGTGGGGGCTCGGTGTGTGTCCCACTGCCTTGTCCCGACAGGACGAGGAGGGCACCACGCCGCTCTGCGACATGTGCCAGTTCGCCGTGAAGACGGCCGAGAGCCTCCTGGAGAACAACGTGACGGAGGTGAGCCCCGATGCTTAAGGGCCAGGGGGGAAAGGGAGGGGGGAAAGGGCCAGCAAGGAGCCTGGGGGGTGGGTGGTTTCCCCTTCTCCCGCCTTCTCCCCGCCAGGAGCAACTGGTGAACGACATCGAGAAGGTGTGCTACATGCTGCCCCACGGCGTCATCGGGCAGTGCAAGGACTTTGTGGACTCCTATGGCAAAGCCGTGGTCATCATGCTGCTGGAGGCCACCGACCCAGCAGCCGTCTGCACCATGCTGCACTGCTGCCCCCGGAGCGGGGACACCCACCGGGGTGAGCTGGGGGACACACACACACGGAGGGACCAAGACACCAGGTCCCCAGGGAGTGGGGTGCTGGGGGGGGGGTGGTCAAGGCGGGGGGGTGGGGGGGTGCTAAGGGTCTGCCCCACCCTTTCTCCATGTCCTTCAGGGGCTGTGGCGCTGGAGCAGCTGGCGGTGGGCGCCGGCGCCTTCTGCAACGTCTGCCAGATCGTCATCACCTACTTCGATAACGAGCTGCTGAAGAACGACACGCTGGCGGAGCTGGGCGATGTGCTGGAGAAGGGCTGCGAGCTGCTGCCCCCGCCGCTCACTGGCAAGGTAATGGGGGGGGGGGGGGGGGGGGAAGCACACCTAGGCCTCGGGGACACCCCCACCCCACTCCCCGTGACCCCCTTACACTCACTTTCTCTCTCTTTCCCAGTGCGAGGCGCTCGTGATGCAATACGAGCCGGCGGCCGTGCGGCTCCTCGTGCAGATGATGGACCCCACTTTCGTCTGCACCGTAAGCGTCCCCGTGCCACGGGTGCTGCACCCCTGGGGGCAGCCTGGACCGACACGGGCACCTTTTGCCCAAAACTGGGGTCAAAGGGTGCTCATGTTTATTTTTTTTTATTATTTTTTTTTTTTTTTCCCCCCCTTCCTTCTCCCACCCTTTTCCTTCGCAACGCAGAAAATAAGAGCCTGCGACTCACCTGAGGACGATCTCCTGGGCTCGGACCCCTGCGCCTGGGGGCCGCATTACTGGTGCAAGAACATGGCCACAGCGGTCGAGTGCCACGTGAGTAGGGGCCGTGTCCCCTCCCCTGGCTCTGCAGGGTGCCCGGGGGTCCCTGCCTCCCCCCGCCATCCCTCCCCTTCTCTCCCGCAGGCCGTCGAGCACTGCCGGCGTCACCTATGGAACTAGGAGCCACCTCCCCGGCCAGCCGGGCTTGCCCTGCCCTTTCGGTTCAGGATCCCGGACCCTCTCCCTTGGGGTGTGCCCGCGCCCACGGACGGCGACGACGGGAGCCCACCACCGGCCTCACCACCCCGCCGGTGGCCGTGGGGTGCCCCAGCTGCCTCTGCCACTTCTTTTTCCACCCCTGGGGCTTGGATTTTCCAAATCAGGCTAAGGGAACTCGTTAGTATTTTCAGGACTGGGGATTCAACCTCGCTGACTGCAAAATCCCACCCTCCCTCCCCATCCCCAGCCCATCCTGAACTGCTCGTAAAGCCCGGATCCTGCGACGCGAAGCTGGGATCGTTTCTGCTGCCCAAACACCAAGCCCCCTGGTCCTGGCTGCCGGCCATCTCACACCGCAGGTCTCGTTGGCTTTTGGCAAGCCCAGCCCTTCGCTGGTCCCTCTTCAAATTGGGGTGGCTTTTTATTTTATTTTTTTATTTTTTTTTTTTTTTTTTTTCCCCCCTTGGTCACCAGTTAAAGAAACAAAGTGGATTAAATTTACCTGCAATGCCCGGCTTTGCATGACATTCGCAGTACTCTGATTTTTGTGTCCAGCCAGTTGCTGGAGATAGAGATGTCAATTTTAAGTATCCCCTGAGCAAAAAATGTGTGAGTTTGGGGGAGCAAATATTTCCTTTCATGCACACATCCCCACCTGGGGGGGGGGGGGGAGGCATTGGGGGGTGTTCCTGTGCCAACCCAGCCGTGGTGGTGAGGGGCAGTGGGGTGCTGGCTTGTCCCTCCTCGCTGCAGGAGCGGGGGACACCCGCAGTGCACGGTCCTGAGCGTGCACGGGAGCATCTCACCGCAAATAAAGTCTTCCCGTGAGCCCAGTTGGTCGTCTCCCTCCTCCTTCTCCTGGGCTGGCAACGCGGCAAGGCGGGGGCAAACCTGGAGGAGGTTTAATGCTTCCCCCAAAATCTGGGGTGCGGCAACACCTGGGGCTGAGGTGATGGATCGAGGGGTGAATTAAGGGAAAAAAGGTTTGTTTGTTTTTTTTTTTTTTTCCTCTTCAAAAGGCTGTTTGGGTATGATGAATCTGGCGCGGCACGGTTGGGGAGGAAGGACGACAGACAGGTTACCCAAAGCCATAGACAGTGTATTTCTGAGTCCCGTAACAGACCGTGCCCGAAACTCTCCACAAGGTTACGATTGGAAACAAACCCCCGAACGAACAAACCCGAAAGCAAGAGAGAAGGGGAAAGAAAAGGGCAAGAAAAGACACGCACGAGCACTCCACATCCAGAAGCCCCAGTTATTGTCAGTCTCTCTCTTTTTCAATGTCGCAACATGTTTTGGTAAAGCCAGCAAAATGGAGAAATGTCGACTTTTTTTTTTTTCTTTTTTTTTTTTTTTTTTTTCCTTTCCTTTAGTTTTTGGGCCTTTCCTTGCTGGAAAGGTGACGTTAATGCCAAATGGACTCAGCCTCTCCCCGTGCTACCCCGGCCCTCCCCATGCCCGTGATCGGGGTGTGATGGCTGCTTGTCCCCACAGCCTGCGCCTGGGGATGCTGCGGTGACACATCATCCGCACCTTCGCTGCACCTTCACCCCCGTCCAGCCTGGACTCATTGGATTCATTTAGCTTTTCTCAATCTCTCTTTTTTTTTTTTTTAAAAAAAAAAGAACTTTTTTGTTTGTTTGTTTTTAATAAGAAAAATAAAAAAAAATTTAATGCTTTCATGGATAAATGACAGGCAAGTAAAAGCATACCGGTCCTGAGAGCCCTTTCCCGGGGCCAAGCTCTCCAAGGCTGCCGGAGCGAACCGCACCGGTTGGCCTGGACTCCTTCTGCAGGGGAAGGGGGGGGGGGGGGCAAGCACCGGTTTTGGGGTTCCCCCAGCCCCCGCCACGGCCCCCCTGGTCCATGCGTTGTCCCTGCCGGCCCCGGCTTGCCTAGAGGAGCATCACCACCCCCGCTGGTCATAACTCGGTGATCTCCAGAGGGCTCTCCATGATCACCTCCCGCATCTTGTGCAGGGGGGTGGACTTGGCCGACTCGGTGCGGGCGTTGTGGTCGCTGTAGCCTCCGCAGTCAGCGGTCAGAGTCTCCAGCGAACGACCCAGCACCTTCTGGTCATCCTCGGGCAGGCTGTTGAGGTCGGAGGCCAGCAGCGTGCCCGTGCTGCCGTGCACCACGTGGATGCCGTCGGGACCTTTCAGCTCCACCGGTTGCTTGTGTCGGAAGCGGAGGCTGCCCTGGCTGTGGCTGCGCTCCTCCTCCTCTTCCTCCAGCTCCTTCTGGATCAGCTGCAAAAGTTTCACCGAGGGCAGGGGGGTGGGAAATCACCACCGCAGTCAGAGCAGATCTTGGCTTCCCCACCTCCGAACCTCCTGCAAGGCCGGAGCCCAGCAGGAGGGACGGGACCCTCCTCTTCTGAAGCAACCTCAGAGCACGGTGATGAGGACCACCAGCGCGATGGTGATCTCCAGCTGGATCCCTCGCCCGTCGGGTGGGCGCCCCGGGTCAGGAACCAGCTGGGTGGTGTGTCCCGCAGCAGCCCCCACAGTGGTCAAGGAGGGGTTTTGAACCCGGGTTGGGATTTGGGGTTGCGTGAGGGTGGTGGGACAGGAGGCAGATGAAGAAAAGAAGCGAGGGAAGGCTGAATGGGCTGGAGGGGGATAAGAGCAAGAAGGGATGGGGGGGGGGTGGCGGGGAAGAAGGGCTGAAAGGTGTCTCCTGTCCCACTGCTCTCCTCCACACTGTTCATCCCATGTTTTGCCCCCCCTCGTGAAGAGGGAGAAGGCTGCAGGAGGAGCTGCTTCTCCCCACACCAGCCCTCCTGCACCAAAACCCTCTGCCCCAGCCTTTTCGCCTCAAAAACCTACTGGGTTAATAAGCTCAGAGGAGCAGAAGGGAGCGAAGATGTCCCCACGTGTGACCTGCAGCTTCTCGGCCAGCCTTGGCAGACAGGCAGAGAGGTGATGGACAGGGCCCACCCCACAAAGAAGGTAGGAGAGACCGAGGGAGAGGGTGCTGCTGGTGCTCAGAGGAAACACAGCAGGTTCACAAGAGCTGAGGCACTTTGGGGAACCGGCAGCCTCAGTGGAAAACCAGCATCTGGCTCACTCCGGCCAAGCAGAGAACAAGGGGAACCACTGGGTGACGGGGACCACAGCCGTGGGGAGAGCCCACAGCCTTCGGGGCCAGGAAGACACACTGCATCCCAGAGGGCACGGCAAGCATCTCCCCAAGCCCATGCACACCCCATCTACCTCCGAGACCGAGGAGCGGTCCCCCTGACTGGAGGTGGCCTTATGCACCATCCGCTGGGCAAAGAGTTTTTTCAAGCGCATGTAATCATCCAGGACCACCTTCAAGAGAGTGCCCTGGGCGGAGGGGGAGAGACAGCGCGTTACCGAAGGGAGATGGTTTGATCGGAGGGAGGCTGGCCTCATCCCAGAGATTTTGTGAGCGGCATCCCCCTCCGGCGCCGCAGCCGCGAACCTGGAAGCCATAGCGGTAGGAGAAGACCCCTTCGGTGAAGGATGCCCGGCGCCCAATGCTCACCTTGATGGGTCCCTCCCGCATGATCTGCCCCAGCTTGGCGATGTTGTCGTATTCCTGGATGGCTGCCCGCAGGTAGCGGTCATCCTCGGGTTTGGCCGCGGAGGGCTCCCTCCCAAAAGTCCCCTGGGGGAAGAGAGAGCGGCTGAGGAGGCGACGCGCGCGTGGGGCGCGAGGGTGTCCCCAGCTGGGGCCGTGTCTCACTCACGTGGGTGCGGGCAGGGCTGTTCCAGAGGTCGGTGATCTCGCTCAGGTTCTCCGGCAGGTCGTCCTCGTGCTCCGCCTGCGCCGCCAGCTCCAAGTTCCTGCAGAAGGGGTCCAGCCACACCGGGTTGGCCCTGCCCCGGGGGGGGGAAGAAGAGCGTCCCTCAGCGCAAGCAAAGAGCGGCAGCATCCCTAACCCCCACCCGCAGCCCGGGTGCTGAGGGTGTGCCGCCTCCTCCTGCCCTGTGCAAGCGTGGGTTCAGCTTCTCTGGATCCAGATGTGTGTTGACACCCGCCCTACGGCTGTTCTGTCAGACACAGTGTTTTTCAGCTACTGCACCAAAACAGAAGGGTCTCAACTGCACAGGGATGCTAGATACTGTCAGCGCGGTAATTTTCAATGCATATAACGTACTGAAGAATCTCTTCCCTCTAGCTGGCTGCCACTTCTGGCTGCGTTTGGTGATACCTTGCTGCCTTCAAAATTACCCAGTTCGTGTTTCTGTAACAGGGGAGACCAGCCTGAAGTGATGCAGAAGGAGGTACCTCTCGGAGTTAGCTGGCAAGTAATGGCTTAGGAAATTCCAGTGTCAAAGATGAAGAATTATTTCCAAAGTCTATTGTCAGAGTAGATTCTCAACACTTATTCAATTTACACATGATGACTTGAGGACACAGATGACACTGTCATTTTGTCATTTACAGGTGACCCCCCAACACTAACAATAGCTGTTCGCATGAAAACACAGTGTCAGGGAGCTATCTTTTTCATCTGTTTCTTCATTTCATTCTTCTTTTATTGCTATGAGCTTTAAAAATAATTATTTGTGTGCTTTTCATTTGATCCTTCCTGCGTTGCCCTCTCATCTGCTCTTTCCTTCCTATTTCCTTCTAAATCTCTGCACAACATTGCCAGTGGGTGCATTCCTCTGATTTTTTTTTTTTTTTTCTGTTGGCCTTCCCTCAAAACATACTTTCCTAACATTTGGTTCCCTATTAGCCTATGTCCCTCTGCTTACCCCAAGCCTGGCAAGTATTGGCAGAGATGGAGTCACAGGAGAAGGCACAAGGTCTTTTGGCTTTGAAAGCTCGCAAGGCAAGCACCTGTGCCAGGGCTGGGGTCGTGCCCCCCACGGCACGAGTGGCCACATCCCTCCACCGAGAAGAGAGGCATCGTGTCTTCTCCTCCCTGCGCCTCCCCAGCTGCGATCCCGCGAGGCGGCAAACCGGGGAGGGGAAGGAAGGGGAGAGAACTCACCCATCAAAGGAGTACTTGTTGGTGTTCGGCATGTCCATGATGTCCATGAAGCCTCTGTTCCCTGCAAAAGGCAGGGGTGGGGGGTTACAGGGCGGCGGGCTGAGCAGAGAACCACGGGGCGGCACTTCTTTATCGGGGAGCGAAGCCAGGCGACCAAAAAGGCACCGCTGGCGTGAGGAACACGCTGGGATGCAGCTGGTCACGTGGAGCCTGGGCGCTGAGAAAAGCCTCCCCATCGCGCCTGGCCGGGCAGGATTGCTTCTGATTTACACCCCGCTGACATCCCCCGCGTCTCCCTGTGTACCCCCTCCGTGCTCTTCATGCACCCTGCTGTCTCATGCAGCTGGAAAACCCCAAACACTGCTCACCGGTGGAGCCAGCCACTATGGCTTTCAATTTCCTTTTGTGCCTGTGAAAGAAATACAACTAATCAGGGGAGAAAATAAGGAAGGTGCTTGAAAGGAAAAGGAGACACGGATTTGTAATAACGCCACAAACAGTCCCTGTATCTATAAGGACAGTGAGCTCGGTGGGGAGAGGCGCTGTTAGTATTAAAAGCATCATATTCTGGGGGAAGAGGGTCAGTTTCTGAACCCAGGCTGAGTCCCGCCGCAGAAGGCGTTGGGAAGCTGATGCCCTCCTTTACTTGCCATCACTGCCAGGGCCGGGAGCAGCCACATGGGTCCCCCCGGCCCCGTGGGGAGGTTGGGGCCGGTGGGGCAGGGCCTGGGCGCTACTCACACTGTCCGGTAGTACCAGTTCATGAGGATGAAGAGCATGGCAGCCAGGAAGAGCAGGATGGCCAGCACGATGATCACCATCTAGAAGAGGCAGAGGGGTAGAAGCAACTTCTAGCATGGAGCCAGCACCCACGGTGGGCACCCGCCTGAAATTATTTGGGTGAAACATCTCTCCAGGTCATGAAGGATGGGAAGAGCCATCGCCCCACCCGTGAGCAGCAGCCACCTCCAGCCCCCAGCTGGGCTGTTACCTGTAGAGCCGAGAGGTCATCTGGGGCCCGGGCGGTAATGGCAGGCTGCACATCCAGCACGTTGTAGTTCCTGAAGAGGTTCCTCAGCTGCTCCTTGTTCTCATCTATCATCTGAATCACCCTGGGAAGAGAAGGGTTGCTTGGGCATCTTGATGTTAATGAGGCTCCCTGAGGACTCAACGGGCCAGGTGATGGGTGGGCTGGGTGACAGGCCAGGTGACGTACCGCTCCACGTCCATGATGCGGTTGGTGTCCCTGTTCACCACGTGGATCAGCAGCTCTGTCTGCGCGAAGTTGACCCGACCTTTCTTGTCAACATGGAACTGGGGAGAGACAGCAAGGTCTGCCGTGTAGGAGAGGCGTCTCCTCCCGGGGCATCTTCTGATCATGTCCCAAGGGGTGCTTGCGTGGCAAGAGAACCTCAAGCCTGGCATGGGGTCAGTCTGGGCCCCTTCAATACACCCCAGCCTGGGGCATATCTGTCACCTTCAGAGCTCAGAGGTGTCTATGGTTTATACAGACAAGGCACCCTCAAAGGAGACCCATCCAAGCAGCATGTGGAAGGTTACCTACCCCTCAAAGCAACCTCAAAGTTGGATGGTTACCTGCACGTCATCTGTGTTGACGATGGCGCCCGTGATGTTGGAGAGCAGGCTGATGAACTCCTCCTCGAACTGCCTGACTTTGTCGGGGATCTCGTTGATGATGATTTTGACCCGCTGGTCATCCCGCAGGATGTAAATCCCCACAATGGCCGTGTCATTGTGACCCACCAGGTCAGAGGCCATGATGTCCACCACAAAGTAGCCGGGCTTGTAGGCCGTGAAGAGGTCGAAGGTTCGCAGGATCCCATCAAAGGTTCCTGGGGGAAGGATGGTCACAAGCCCAGGATTAGTGACCCTGGCCGTGGGGATGTCTTTGGCCACAGGGATGTCTTTGGCCACAGGGACGTCTCTGGCCATGGTTCCGTGCTCCCGTGGTATGCAGGGTACGCACCGATGCTGAAGATGTTGGCCACCTCCTCGGAGTCGTTGGAGTGCTGCTTGATGTAGCGGATGCCCAAGATGTTGTACAGGACCAGGCTGTTATTGCCCACATCGGCGTCCACTGCGACCACTCTGATCAGCTCTGATCCCACCTTGGCGTCAGTGGCAACCCCTTCAAATAGAGACAGGACAGGGACCTGGGGCTGGGCAGGCTCTCACTGCTCCTTCACCCAGCTGGATTTTCCCTGGAGCATCTCTGGCTCCTGGTGCCCCCCCCCCGCCCCTGGCACCCCTTACCCGCCGTGTACTCTGACTTGGTGAACTGGGGGGCCTGGTCATTGATGTCGTCCAGAAAGATCCGCACCTCCTGAAGGGTCAGGTCCTCGCTGAGGTCCCAGGGCTGGGTTCTGCCTGCCCACTGGCCCTGGGGAGGGGACCAGTTCCTCTGGCTGGACGCTTTGACAAGGATGGAGTAGTACGGCTCCTTCTCCCGGTCCAGGTCTCGTAAGACCTGCAGTTGCCCCTCTCGGCTCAGCTGGAAGTTGCTCTCCTCGTTCCCAGCTGGGTGTAGAAAGGGGTCCCCAGGTGGCTCAGCATTTCTGAAATGCCACCTCGCCCGTTGACCAGGGTAGAAAAGCAGCAAGGAGATGATGGGAGAGATGGAAACCCTTGGCGAGGGGTGTGTGGGGAGGGATGGAGAGCTGCTCAGCCCCTCCCCGCTTGGCACCCACCTGCTATGAAGTAGTAGACGATGGCGTTGGAGCCCTCATCAGCATCCACCGCCCCAGTGACATTCCCCACCACGGTGCCTGGCGGCGAGTGCTCGGGGACGAAGAGTGCCTGGTACTGGGGACTGTCCCTCTGGCAGAAAACCCGGGAGAAGGGAGGGTTGTGAGCATTGAGGTGGCTTTAAATAAAAGCGGACAAATCCCATCCCGCTCCCTGCCATGGTGATGCCCAGCGGTGCATGCTCCATCACAAGTGCTCGCCGGCATCCCCATCCCTGCATCCCCTGTGTCCTGCTCCCTCCATCCTGGTGCCTTACAGGTGGCCTGAGGAAGATGGGCTCATTGTCATCGATGTCATCGAGAGCGATCTGGAGGGGCTGCATGGTCTCATAGGCTGGCTGGCCCTGGTCGGAGGCCACGATGATCAACTGGGGAGAAAAGAAAAAAGGGCCGTCCTGGGAAAAGCCATGCAGGCCAGGAGACAGTGAGAATGGCTGGGTGGGCGGAGGATGTTTGGGGGATTTTAACAGGGAACTGGGAATTGGTCCACCAGGGTGCAACTTCCTGAGGGCACGTGATAACCACCCAGTCCCTGCTAAGGTGTGACATCTTCATGACTGCGGCAGCTGACCCCATCCCCACCACACCGCTCTCCTCCCGCCAGCCGCACACCGGACCCGCAGCCTCGAGGACCGTCCCGGCCGCCCCGCGGGCGCGCTGCTGCCTGGCTCACGTTGTACACCGCCTGCTTCTCCCGGTCCAGCCGCATGGCCGTCTGGATCAGTCCGCTGACCGAGTCGATGGTGAAATACTCCCAGTCTTTGTTCCCCGCCCCGGTTTTCAGCAGGCTGTAGAGCACCGCTCCATTGAGGCCCTCGTCTTCGTCCGTGGCGTAGACCTCATAGACGTTGGACCGCAGGGGGATCTCCTGCTTGCACACATGCAGTCCCTCAGCCTCGGTATTGCACACGAGCCCCCTGCTCCCCCTGCCCCTCCAAACCCCCTTGTATCAGGGTCAGCAGGCTTCTGCTGCCCAAAAACCAGCTGGGGGGCTGGCAACGTGGCACCACGATTCCCTTCAGCAGGGTGGTTGCCCCATGCACACGCTGGGGACTGGCTGAGCCAAGCCTGGCTTCCCGGAAAGGAGAAATATCTTAAATGTCAGCATTTTGGCCCTTGTTTATAAACAGGCTCGGCATGCAGTGACTGGCTGTTTCCTTATTTTGCACACTGCCAGGGTTTCTGTTCCCCAAAGCTGCCCTAGCATCCCCACTTGCACGTATGAAGAGGGGCTGTTGTTGACTCTCCAGCCCCATGACCCAAACATTCTTGCATCATGTTAAATCAAGGTCTTGTTTCATCTCTGGTGGAGACGACAGAGAATGGAACTTGGCTCCAGTAGGCAGGAGCACTCTGGGGCACGGTCTCAGCGTGCCATGACCCTGCTCCCTCTCACGGGGGTTTACCTCCTTGATGTGCAGGATGGTGCCATTGGGTGGGCGGACAAAGATGGGGCGGTTGTCGTTGATGTCGATGACATCCACGTGGAGCATGGTGGTGCCCCAGAGAGGGGGCTGTCCCTTGTCTGTGGCCACCACAGTCAGGTTGAACCTCTCATAGGACTTCAAGCGCCGCCGGGATGTGACGAGCCCGGAGTCTTTATTGATATTGAAAGCCTCTGGGGGGTTAGAAAAAACACATCTCTGATTCAGGAAACTTGGCACCAGATAAATTATGACTAGAAACCGGTATACTGCCTGAAGCACACTCCTCACTGCTGGGAAATCCCTGTCAAGGGGTGATGGAGCAGAGCTGGCTGCCTGAGGCCAGGGGTGTGGATGGTCTCAGGGTTCTCAGAGCATTCCTGCCCACTGCTGTATCCCCGCCACTTGGCAGTGCCATGGGCTCTGCTCCCAGGCCACCCCTGGCTGTGTTTCACTCCTGTCCAGGCCAGCTACGCCAGCTGGGACAGGGCCATAGTCAGAGGAAGGTCAGAGGAGCACATGGGTGTCTGGAAAATGAACTTTCTGCCATTCCTCTCTACATTTATGCAGGCTTTTTTTTGGTTCTCATTACTCCTCGGCATGCAAAGATATACTGGGTTTCAGGCACTGTCACCATCCACCCACAACCCCCTAGCCCTCCTTAGATTTCCCCTAAAGCGTGCAGTGAGTTTGCTCTAAGACACAACTGTGTACATAGAAAGGCCTGATGGGGTGGGGGAGACAAGAGGATAAACCAAGGCTGGGCTGCAGGACGAAGGCAGGCAAAGTCATAACGTGCTGCGCCATGAGGAACTGGGAACTGCGAAGCAGTACTGAAAGGCTCCACACTTTCAGTATTGCTCCTGAGAGTGCGTGCAAAACCTTACTCCAAACCAACTGCAGGAGACGGGATGTAGGTTTGGCCCCTCCAATTGCTCCTCCTTGTAACCCTCCTGATCAGGGAGGAGCCCCCCACCACCGCCAGCACCTGCCTGCTCCGGGGCCCTCGATGCTGTAGATCACCACGCCGTTATCCCCTTCGTCCAGGTCGATGGCGGTCATGGTGATCACTGACATCCCTGCTGGCTCGTTCTCGTAGACACTGGTGCTGAACTGGCTCTTGCTGAACTGGGGCCTGAAGTCGTTGACGTCCAGGACTGTGATCAGCACCTTCCACAAAGCACAGCCGGCTGGGTGACGTGAGGCTGGTGACGTGCCTCCGCCATGACCCACGGCTCCGCTGCAGGGGCATGCTGCCCTTCCTGCTATTCGTTTAGCTCCGCTAGCTGAATTCCTGCCTCCAACAATAGGGGCCACCGTGGCCGGGGCACCCATTCACTCCGGAGCACTTGCAGACAATAGCGTCGCCCTCCCCTGCTCCTCCTGCTCCGTCCCCAAATACCAATGCACTGTCCCTGTGGCACAAAGTCCCCCGCATCATCCACCCTACAGCCCCTGGGATCATCTGCTCTTCCTTCCCTCTAATTCCTCCCCGAGCCACCAGCAAGACTGCTGGAGATGAAAGCCTAAGTTTTAACACCTTCTTGCTGGTGACCATCGCACGAAGGGAGGTGGGAGGAGGAGAGCCCTACCTGCACGGAGTTCTCCCGGCGGTTACTGGAGATGTCCCCAGGGTTGTCCCTGGCCACGGCAGTCAGTGTGTAGTGATCCCTCTTCTCCCGGTCCAGGGCTGACAGGATGTAGATGTCACCCTGCAGCACACAGAGACCTTCAAGTGGACCTTGTCTGGCAGAGCTGGTACTCGAGAAGGGGCAAAAGGTGAGGTGTGGGAGCAAGGCACAAGGTGGGACCATCTCAGCCTCCCCTCCCTTTCCCCTCTCTGTTCCAGCCTCGGTTGGCTCCTTACCGTGTTGGGATTTATCCCAAACTTGCCCTCTCCATCCTGCAGGCTGTACTGGATGAGGGCAAACTGCCCAGAGTCTGCATCCGTGGCCTTGACTGTCAGAATGACCGTACCCAACGGCACATCCTCAAAGACAGCTTTCTGCAAGCAAAAGGAGCAGGCAGTACATGTTGTTTCATCACTTGCTGTTTTAGCAGGCAGTAACCAAGGGCATAGGGTGGCATCCGGGGCTGGGCACAGCTGGACTCAGTACAAGATGTTCACATAGAGTACACTGGCAAGTTGCCCAACTTCTTCACATGGTTCAAGCACAGAGGGAAGAGAAGGTGTCCCTGGAGAGCCCCTAGCTCTGTGTCCATCCTCCCCAGACAAACCCCACGTGGTCTTGAACGGGGGAACCCAGCTCACCTGGTAGGATGGTTGAGTGAAAATGGGATTGTTGTCATTGATGTCCACTATTTGGAGGTACACAGGGATCTCAGCAGATCTGCGGGGTGAGCCGTTGTCAGAAGCTCGGATGGTGAAGTTCAGCCAATGCACCTCCTCATAGTCCACCGTCCTGTTGGCCACGACCTTCCCTAGAGGATGGCAGACCCTGAAATGAGAAACCCCCTCCAAACCACCGATCTGCCCCGGACTCCCACCTCCCCAGGCCACTGACCTGCCGACGGGTCTTCAAGGCAGACGTAGCCTTCTGGGGAGAGGTCCAGCAGCTCGTAGGTGATCTGCCCGTTGGGACCTTTGTCTGGGTCCACCGCTGAGATGGAGATGAGTGTGGTGCCCTGTGTGGCTCCCTCCAGGATCTTCTCGGTGAAATAGGTGACCCCAAAGGGGCGGAAGCGGGGCGTGTTGTCATTGACATCCAAGACATTGACTGTCAGCTTGGCTATGGTGATGGTGAAGACCACAGGGGAAGAGAAGAGGAAGACGAGTGAGAAAGAGAAGGGAAGGAAAGATGGGAGAAAGGAGGGTTGCAAAGATATGGTTATGGGTTATATCTCCATCCCCAATGCAGCCCTGGGATGTTTGGGTCATTCGCTAAAGGAAGGCTCAGAGGAGAACCCAAACCTGATGGGAACTGGTCCAGGACTGCGGGAGAGCTGCTGGCAACCCAGAAGCTACACTGGAGCCTGGGAAAGGCTGTTCCAGCCCCTGGCATCTGCCAACCCTGGGCCCGTGCTCCCCAGGTAGAGTCCATGCTTACCGTTAGGCACGCTGACCGAGCGGTCGATGACTTCGCTGGCATTGTCGTGGACGGAGATGGTGACCTCGTAGGTAGCCACCAGTTCCCGGTTGAGAGGAGTTTTGATCTTCACAGCTCCTGAGGACCCCAGAAAGATGGGGGTCACAGGCTGTGCCTGAGCACTCCCCGCTGAGGACCCTCAGCAGACTGGTCTGTACCAGCCGACCGCTGCACCTTCTGCTGCACTTGCCCTCCTGCCTCTCCCCAAAGGCTAAACGGGGAAACCACTTGATAGCTACGGGAGGAGACAACTTCTCTCGCCCTGCTCTCCATCTCCTGTCTTCCTGCCTGCTCCTCCCTGCCCAGCTAACAGGTTCTCATGCTGTCTCAGCTGGGGTAAGGCTTTGGGTTGTGCGGATGAGGGGGGTTGGGAAGCAACTGCTGCTGCTCCCCTGCACAACCCCATCCATCTTAGCTCAACATTTGGGCGTCTTTAAGAGTCTTGTGCCGTATCCTTTCCAACAAGGGCGATATTCTTTCACAGATCAGCTCTGGGCTTCCAAAATGGACGTGGGGAGCTCCTGGCCCTCCTTCCCCAAGGATAGAGCCCACCACCTACAACGGAGTTCCCCCCTTCCCCCCCCCAGCGAGGGTGCCCGTGTCCGGTCTGCCAAGGCTGAGCAGCCCCCGGCCCGCAGCGGGGCTGCCTGTGATGGAGATGGGTGAGATGGAGGGAGGCGACGGATGGCACGGAGAGAGAAACAAGCACAGACACAGAGACAAACCTGGCGGGCCAAGAGCCGGAAAGGAAAGAAAAGGGTTAGTTAAGTTGGTTGGCCGGGGTAGAGAGGACAGGGCAGGGTGAGACAGGGCAGCTGGAGAAGGAGAGCAGGGAGGCAGGAGGGGAGCATCATCTACCCGTGCCTTAGACACCTACCTCCAGGCAGAGAAGAAGAAGAAGAAGCAGAAGCGAAGAGAGGGGTCCGCGCTGCCCGCGCCGCCCTTCCTGCTCTCCTACCTGTCTTAAAATCCACCATGAATGCTCCTTGCTGATCTGGCACCAGTGCATCCGTGTCATCACGGGCCACGATCTCCAGCAGGTAGTACTCCAGGCGAGGGTTGAGGTCCCGGTCGATGGCAGTCACCTCGGCCACCACGGTGCCAACGGGGGCTGACTCGGGGATGCTGACAGTCTGGATGGGGTTGATGAACTCGGGCCGACAGTCGTTGACATCGTCGATGAAGATGTTGACAGTGGCGGTGCCTGAGAGCGCTGGCGTGCCCTGGTCCACGGCCACCACCGTCAGCCGGTAGGCATCCCGCTCCTCCCGGTCGATGCTGATGTTGGCCACGCGGATGACCCCCGTGGTGGCATCAATCAGGAACTTGTCCTGGCCACCGCCCTCGATTCGGTAATCCAGCTGCTGGTTGAGGCCACTGTCGGCATCTGTGGCTGTCACCTGGATGACGGAGAAGCCTGGGGAAGGGGGAACACAGCCCACTCAAGCGAGGGTCAGAGGGCAGTGGCAACAAGCCTCTGGTCCAAAGAAAATCTAGTCAAGCAAATGTGGGCAGCCCCAATTCCCAAATTTTCCTTTCAACGCCATCCTGGCCAGCCCTGACACTGAGACCTGGATCTTCACAGTTCCAGGAACAAACTCAAGTCTCCCTGTTGCCCACCCTCACATCCAGCCCCAGCCCTTTCCTGACCTGGGGGGCTGTTTTCCAGCAGCCGCACTGTGATGGATGATGGCTGGAAGATGGGGCGGTTGTCATTCTCATCCAGGATGGTCACCGTCAGTCTGGCAGTGCTGTTCAGCCCCCCACATCATAAGCAATCAGCGTGAACTCCAGGTGAGGGTCCTCCAAAGCCTCTCGGTCTATCACTCTACCAGACTTCACTGAAACAATACCTGGAGAAGGGAAAAAGCCCGGTGACAGACCTCATGGTTACCTGGGGGTCCCGGGCTGGGGACGGGGAGCTGCTGATCCACCCCACCTGTCCTATTGTCGATAACAAAGAGGTCCAGGGGTTCCTCCAGGAGCTGGTAGGTCACCACAGCATTGATGCCCTCGTCATTGTCCAGAGCTAGGATGGGTCCATTAAGCACTGTGACCGGAGTCCCTGGGTGGGATGACAAGGGTTAGGAAGGGTGGCAGCCCCCTGAAGAACCCCCCTCCCTGTCCCCTTCCCACCCCGGGGACACATGAGGGATGGCAATGAATGGATGGAGGAGGTGACAGAGCGGGGCCTTGGGGGGCACGAGGCAGCGGGGGGGCAACTGCTACAGCCTTGCAGACCGACTCGCGAGGCCCAGGTGAGGCGGTGGGACGTCCGGCTAAAAACAAACAGACAGACACATCTCTCAGCTGGGTGGCACCAGCACCCTGCCACCAAGGGCATCACCTGGAGGCACCCAAATCCTTCTCCTGGGATGTCCCTCAATGGCAGGACAGGGAGGTTCCTGAGGTCTTGAAGCAGGGAGAGATTTAAATGGCAGGAAGGAAAAAAAAAAAAAAACCAAAACAAAATAAATAAATAAAAATACTTCTAGCTCTTTGTCTGGGAAATGTCTACCTGGACAGGCTGGACTGTTTTATCTCTAACCCCTGGAGGAAAGTGGCTCCAGGCGCCGGTGATGGAGAGATGGCACCCCATCCCCTTCAGGGACGTTGGGCAGGCTGGTGCCCTGAAGGCTGCCCCCAGGGCTTGGCTCAGACCATGGACCCCTCTTCCTGTCTGCAAGTGAGTAATTCCCAAGCAGGGCTCATTTCTCACAGGGTTGTGCCTGACCTGTGCTGGGAAAGGTTTCCACCAGCAGCATGGATCAAAGCCATGGTCTCCTTGAGGCTAACCTCCCCGGGCAGTCGGCAGGAGCCCCTCACACTCAGCATCCTCATCCCACTGATCTGCGGTCTTTCCTTGCCCAGCGTTGTGTCTCCTCCACGACGGCCAGGAGATACCTCCCCTCGCCCGACCCCAAAGGGAGTCTCCAGGAGCCACGTAAGGGATTGAAGAGAGACCTACCTGGGGGTGAGTTCTCCATCACCTCAGCCTGGTAGGAGCTCTGGGTGAAGAGGGGGTGGTTGTCATTCTCATCCGCAATGGAAATGACCAGCAGGTCAAAATCCTAAAGGAAAACGGGGACAAGAGGGTGATGACCGCAACGTCCTTTCCTTGAGCTCACCTCCCACCTCTCCCACCTCCACCTTGGTGCTGGTCAAAGATGGAGCCCTGTGAAACCATGACACTGTGCTCCCTGAACCACCCTGGAGGGTCTGCAGGGACCCTCACCCAGGGACTGGGCATCCATTCCCAGCCTGCACCTTGAAGGGTGATGCATGGGACATCTTGGCAGGGCCAAAAGATGCTCCAGTGTCATTGTGATTGTCCCACTCTCCAGCACAACTTTGTCCCACCTTCCGTGACGTCTACTGCTGATGCACAGAGTCAGCGTGCTATGTTGGACTAGCCCTAAATCCTAGTGGTCCTGTTCTCTGCCGAGGAGGGGTTGCAGACCCCTCCTTGTGACCCCCAGATGCTTTTGAGGGACGAGGCTGCTACTGGAAGTGCTGCGGGTAAATGCACCGCCTGTTTTTGGCCACAGCAGGAACCCCTTCTTCCACCCGTCCTGCTGCTTGTGCCGCTGGAGGCCCTGGCAGTGTCTGTAATTACCCGCCTGGCATTGCGTATGTTCTCGGGGTTGTCCTTCACCGTGATGGTCAGCCTGTATTCTGCCACCCGCTCCCTGTCCAGCGGGCGGTTTACGTAGACGATGCCACTCTACCGAGAAAAAACGAGGAAATAGGTACAAGGGATGTGAGTGAGGTGCACTTCCCCCGGGGCATCTCCTGCCGGGGCAAGGATGCCAGTTAGCACCCATGGATGCCCACCCTCCGCGTCCCGGTATCCCACCCCCCCGGGGGCGTACGGTGCTGTTGATGTAGAAGGCATTCTCCGTGTTGCCCGCCGTTATGTCGAAGGTCAGGAGGGCGTTCGGCCCCTCGTCTGCATCCCGGGCAAGGATGCGAGTAACAAAGCTGGAGACAGGGGCGTTCTCGCTGAGGGTGAGGTTCATCGGGAGGTTGATGAGCACGGGGTCATTGTCGTTGATGTCCAGCACACGGATGCCCACCAGCATCTGCCAGGGAAGGAAGCGGTGAGGGCACATGGCATCTATTTCCATCCCTCCCACCCTTTTTTTGCCCCCTCCCTGGGCAAGAGGTGGGCTTCTCCACTTAGCTCACTATGGTCTTGGGGAGGAAAGTGCCAGGGATAAGGGAAAGGAAGAGGAGGAGAGCGAAGGCAGAGACCAGGAGGAAGGAGCTGGGAATGGAGAATGACACCTTTCAGCCCCCCACACCACCCCAGGGGACTCACCGTGGAGCTGAGGGGGGGCACCCCCCGGTCTCGGGCGGCGATGGTGAGGTTATAGAAAGGGATGTTCTCACGGTCCAGTTCAGCATCCTTTCGTACCCGCAGCTCCCCTTCCACTGGGGAAATCACAAACTCCCCTGCCAGAGACAGAGGGGCTCTGGCTCACGCCGTGCTGCTGCGAATGGCCTGATTCCCCAGGGGAACAGCTCCCTTTTGGAGCCAGGGACAGGCACCACGGTGGGTTTGGGGACAAAAGCACACCCCGTTATGGCAGATATCAGAGGACTGTGGCAGCTGGGGACTATCCTGGACGCACCCCCAGGTACCAGCAGGAGCAGGGGATGGATTGAATGGCCAAATAAGAGGTGCTCATGCCCCTTGGCCAGGCCTTTCTGAAGATGCCAACAGCCCTCCAAGCACCTGCCCATGCCCCGTGATGGCCAGAGCTGGGTGGGCTACACAGTACGGACACCATCCCCCCCCTACACCCCCCGAGATGAGGTCTGCAGCCTGGAAAAAAGCTTTGCAGCGGGGTCAGCTGGGAGACAGGACTGGGCTCTGCCTTCCAGATACCCTGGGCTAAAGTCACCACCTATTCACAGAGGGACAGCCCTATGTTCCCATGGTTAGGGATGCCCACAGCTCCTCTGTCTCCTGCTCCGGGGTGCCGGTGGGGCTGGAGCTACAGCTTCGCCATGAATTGCAGAGCAACTCAGTCCCCAAACACCCTGCAAACCTCATGGGGGTGAGATGGGGGCTGTGCACTTGCAGCTCTCTGTTTCTCTTTCTGTGGTCTGGTTTTTTTTTTGCCTTTACAGTTTAGCAGATTTCTCCCCTCCCTTGCACAAGCTCCAGCCACCCCCTGGCTGGCCACGAACAGGTTAAGTTTCCTGTTGCTCAAAACAGGATTTCCTGGTGTCGAAAGGCTGAATTCGCAGAAGCCTGGGAGGGAGGAGGGCTTTTCTGAAACACTCCCGCCCATGCTCCCACAAGCCAGGTTCCTCCATGGGGCTGCAAAAGGAGAGGTGACACCCCCGTGTTCCCGCTCACCAAGGGGGTCCCCGGCGATGATGCTGTACTCCACTTGCCCGTTGGGTCCTGAGTCGTCATCGTGGGCCAGGAAGGTCCAGACACGTGGGCCGGGCTGCCCTTCCGTGACATCGAAAGGACCCTCGTAGGGCCGTGGGAAGGTGGGACAGTTGTCATTGATGTCATTGAGGTTCACCAGCACCTGCAGTCAGGACAAGAGGATGGAGGGCAGTGAGAGGAGAGAAATGGAAGGAGGGATCAGCCCGCTGGCCATGAGTGTGGGAAGCCATGGATGGGCGACATCACAAAATACCTCCGGTATTTCTGGCTTCGCTGTGTTCACCAAGCGTCCAGCTCACAGTTAAGAGCCTCAAACTCAGTTATTCCCAATCACACCCATCCTACAGTAACACTATGAAACTCCAGCTCCACGCAGGTGGGGCCCTTTTCAACCTCTGGGCCACACACCATGATGGAGAAGTCAATGCAAAAGCCAAATGTTCTCCACATTCACATCCTGAAACCCAAGCTGGGTAGACAGGAAACACAGACATGGAGTTGACCACCAAAGCCATGAGTTCGGAGAGACCTGATCTCTGCAGCCAGCTGCACACTTGCTTGCTCCTTTTCCTCCACCAAGGGCTTCATTCCTAATGCTGGGTAAACCTGAAAACATCTGCAGCTTGTGTCCTTATTCCAACACAAACAACCACCAACGCCACTGGCACATTTCCCTTCTTAGCATCCCTTCCTATGACACACTCTGGCTAGAAATCGATCCTACAGATCTCAAAATGGGATAGCATCAACAGCTTTAGGGCAGAGTAGACCCATGGGGGCTGCTGGTGAAGCTGAGGATCCAACAAACTTGAGTCTTGCTTTTTAACTCAGTCATGCTATGTAGAAGACATTTATATAACTCTATACTATACTATATTGCAAAGAGGGTTATGCCCTTGCTAGGCTTCAGGGAACATGCACAGCAGAGAAATCCTGCCTGAGGAGAAGAATCTCCAGTCACTAATGAAAGGTTGAGCTTCAGTAGTACAGGTGGTTATGAGAAAGATACTGCAAATGAGGAGCTTTCCGACCTCCTGGGTTAAAGGATAGTAAAATCCATCAGATGGGCATTGGCTACTGGTTAAATCTAATCTTTACAGAACAGTATATCTGAGTGTCTGCTCTGTTTCCTAGCAGTGGAGAAAACAAGTGCTGTCACAACTTATCAGGGTGATGGATTTCCCATCGCTCGGGATCTTAAATAATCACTAAACCTGCTCCTAAAAGCTGTGTTTTCAGCCGCTGCTGGCACAAACTCCCGGGGCTGAGCAGGGAGGGTGTCTCCTATCCCTTCGAGCTTTGGTACTGGTTGTTGGAAAGGTTTCCAAGTTCACATCTCTGCTTGGGCCAAGAGCAGGGAAAGCTCCGCATTCGCCTGTGGCCCGCCGGCAGCTACTGCTTTCCCTGCCAGCAGTTAAACCCCAGCTCTCGAGGTTTCCGCTGCAGTTTTCCTGGGCCAGGAAGGCATCTCCAACACATCTGAAGGCTTCCCATCTGCCCAAATGTGAAGCACAGCACTGCCAGGCTTGTAGGGACAGATTTTATCCATGGAAATCTTCCACACTGGTATCTCCCCTTCATTTTTTTTTTTTTTTTTTTTTTTTTTTGCACACAAGAACTTATCTCCTTTTGGGGAACTACAAAATGCTTGGCTCGATATCAGGGTGAGGCATAATGGTCCACCACAGGGAACCAAGGCAGAAGATCTAACCAATCTCTTCCACTTGTAGACCCCAAAAGCAGTCTGGGCATGGACATCTGCCATACACCCTGTCAAATTTTGGTTTCAGTCACAAAGACAGTCAGTGTATTCAACACCTGCAAAACATTTGCTTTGGAGCTGGTAGTCTGCCCTCCCCACACTTTGAGCAGTGCACTAAGTTCAGGCCACCACACTCCAGGAGAAATGGAAGAGCTATAGAGGGAAGCAGCAAAAATGGCTAGAGGCTTTAAATAATGTCCATGCAAAGAATTTAAAAAACAGATAAATAATCTGAAAAGGTAAAGATGAAGCAGAAATTAATGCTCTAGCAATGCTTTACTGTCTACTGTTCCTTCGGGCAAGAAGAGCCAAGGGGACACCTAAAGACAATATAATGCAACGTAAAAGCAATTCCCAGACATTTCTTCTGTTTGTGTCTTTGAAGGACCAAAAAATTGGGCTAATTAACCCATGAGCATCCCTTGCCCATGTCCCTGTTTTGCAGCCCCCATGAGGGACTGGGGTGACAGCGACCGGACAAACTGGCCGCTGCTGGGAAAAGTGATTGGTGACCACTGGGAAGGAGATGTGAAACTGCTCGCATGAGGGGGAACTCCTCAACCCCAAAGAGGCTGCGGTGTCACAACCCTGACGGCAGCTCCTTACTGTGGCAGTCGACGTCAGCCGTCGCGAGATGATGGGGCACTGGTCGGTGGCAGTGACGATCAAGGTGTAGCGCCCGTGGCTGATCTCGTAGTCCAGCTCCTTCATCGTGCGGATCTCTCCCTGCAAGGAGAGGGAAGAGTGGCCGGGAGCTAAGGGAGAGGGACAGGGACATGTCTGGGATGGGGCCGGCATCCTTACTGACCGTGGTGTTGTCAATGTGGAAGGTATCCAAGATGTTGCCTTCGGTGATGGCGTACGCAACCGTGCCGTTGGGTCCCTCATCCTGGTCCAGAGCCTGCACGGTGATGAGGGTGGCGTTGAGCGTGGCGGGACCTTCGTCGAGGGTCACCTCATACAGCTGCTGCCGGAAAATGGGAGCGTTGTCGTTCTCATCCAGGATGGTGACGTACACTGTGGTGGTGGCCTGTGGGACATGGGGACATTGCATTAAGCACCGTAGAGGGCTTGGCTCTGCAACCTCGGGAGCTGGCTGAGGAAGGCTGGACCTGTCGAGGTCAACCGCCATCGTGGGCTCGACCCTGCCAAGAGACACAAAACGAAATGAGCCATGGCTGCAGACACATCTCCAGGTAATGGCTGGGTACAGAGATAAACATAGAGAGATTAAATCACACCCCTGCTCCCAAGCAAAGCACATCTCTGTGGTATCCCTCTCCTTTCCACCCAGTTTTTACCCCTGTTGGCAACACCAGGGAGCAGCCTGTGGCAGAGGGAAAGCCAGAGAGTGATCCTCATTGTGCCTTGCTGCCTTTGGATGAAGCATGTGCGAGTCCTCACCTTGACACTGGGGACACCTTGGCTGCTATTACCGAGGATGGCAATGTGGTAGGATGGAAAATACCCGGAGATGATGCTGCCAGGGCTCAGGGGAGGAACAAAAATGAGCATCTCGGACAACTGGGCTGACCTCCTGCAGGTCCCATCACCTATGTGCTGACCACAATTTCACCCCCAGCCAGGCTCAGCCTGTCCTGATCCTCTTCCAGTTGTACCTGGCCCTGCCCAGGCACTTGGACGTCCTTACTGAAGGCTGTTTTCTGGGCACGTCACCGTGGGGACATACCTGGGCACAGGGAGGCGACAAGAGCGTGCCACCCTGCCTAAGGGCTCAGCTCAGAGATGGGGTCTCGGGATGCTAAACCATTTTTTGGGAGCCTCTGGACTTTGTGCCGGCACCTTCCCCCCAGCAACAAATTTCTTCCAGCCACACAAAGGTTACAGTTTTGATGTGACGATCACAAACGTGCTTGCTGTAAAAACCACAAAGCCACAGCGTAATTAGCTACTTTTCCATTCCACTGCATGCTCCAAATTCAGAGCAGGTTAGCACCAAAGTTTCCCGTGGTTTGCAAACCTCCACGTGTCTCCAGGATCCACTTCCCAGGGAACATCGTTTTGAATCGAGGTGGCCCTCAGACGCAGCCGGAGATTTTGTCGCTGTCTTTTAAATTCGAAGCAAAGATCCAGAAGGAAATATGTGAGTCAGCCCACGGTGCTGCTTTGTTATTTGAGGGCAGAGTAAAAGCCTCCCATGTGTAAATGGGCTGTGGGAAGGGGATGCTTTGCTCCCCCTTTTTGAGGGAAAGCTCAGTTCCCTTCCCTGAGCTGGCAACCCTTTGAGTTACCTGCCTCCCGTTCATCCCAGGAGGGTTTCTGCTTGCCTCATCCTCACAAAGATGGGAAAGAAACAGTAATTACAAGCAAAGTGCACTTTAATGAAGCAAGCTGGAGACTGGCCCCGAGGGATCAGCTCCTGCCAGGGAAGGGCTGGCGACCAGCACCCAGTCCCTCGCAGCTGAGCACCCACACGTCCCCAGCACGGAGACCACCCTCCTCAGCTACCTCCTGTGCACCCCGAAAACACACGCAGAGGGGCCCGTTTGCTCCGAACTAACCCTCCGGTGCCTTAAGGAAAAAACCCAGGAGCTGCACCCACCGCTGCACAAACGGGTGGGGAGTGAAGCATCGCCCGTGGGCAGGGTGCCGGGTTGGGGTGCTGCCCACAGCTCCCTGCCGCATCTCACCTCCTGGGGGTGCTCGCAGTTCTCTCCGTTGCTGCGTGTAATATCTCAATGAAATTTCCTGTGTGGGTGCGAGTCCGGCCGCCGCTGCGGGGCTGCTCAGTGCGTGCGGGTGGCTCAGCAGAGATCGAGCTACCCCCCCGGCCACCCCCGGCAGCGATGGGGGCGACGTCCCACCAGGCTGGGCTGCTGCTGGCCGCGCTCTGCCTGCTCGCTTCCCACGGTAAGCTCCAGCTCGCTTTTCTCTCCTCCCCACCCAGAGAAACTCTCCTCGCTGGGGCACCGCGTCAGCCCGGCTGGGGCTGTGCCTCGGCATGAGGAATTTGGGGCATTTGGGGGGGTTATTTACTTTCCCACCCTGTGATTTTGGAGGGGGGGGGGGGTGGGGAATCAAGCCAGCGTTTCACACGATGCCTGTTGCATCGGGGGAAACGGGCCGCAGGGGAGCAGCTGTTTTAAAACTCTGGGATTGGGTTGTCTTCCTTCCTCCTTCACCTTCATCTAATGTGTGTGGAAGCAAAGCAGCACCCCTTGCCCCTGCCAGTCCCCCTGCCAGGGATCCCAAGCTGGAAAAGCTGCCCCGTTCCTGCATGGCACTGTGCCCCGGCACTGCGGAGGTCCCCAGCCATGCCGCGGTGAAAGGATCCTTCCCTCAGCCCTGGGGGGAGCGCAGAGAGGCGGGCTGTGGGAGCAGGGCTGGGGTGCCCTCTCTAAGGATGCTCTGCTCCGCTGTAATTTCGGAGACGTGCCAGGCAGCTTCTCCGGGTGGGCAGCCGGGGCAGGACCACCGTGTGCGGCCACCGAGTTTCCCTTCCCCCTGAGTGAGCGCTTCCCAGCGCTGGAAGCTCACCGGCCGCTCGCCAGCACGGTGGGGGGGGATGCTTTGGGAGGGGGGGGCTGCTTCATGCCTGACTCCGCACCAGCCCTGGCAGGCAGCGTTTCCGTATCGGGGAACTGGGGCCAGGCAGTGAAACAGGGGCGGTAGCAATTAAAACCAGGGTTCACCTGTGGTCAGAGGGTCAGAGAACGAAGCTGGGAAGGACCATGGTCCCTCCCTGCCCTGCGCAGACAGAGGACAATCATCCTGTTGGGTTTGGCTTCTCCCTCTGTCTGGGGATGGTGAAGTGACTGCCTCTAGGACATCCCCAGGAAGAAATGATACCCCCCTGCAATGGGGCAGGGGGTCCCTTCTCCTGTCTCCTCTGGCTGGTGTGGATTGAAGCATGCTTTGCTTTTCATCCGAGCCTCTTGACATCAGGGAGTGGTTCCCAGCATCTCTGTGGGGCTTTGGATTATCTCCTTTATGCATCTGGGGTGCTGGGACTGAACATCAGGCTTGCTTCAACGCCACAAGCTTGGACACCGATGTTCAACAGGAGCCTGGGGCCAGAGGAACTGAGCTTTGTGCAACCGTGTGCCTGCCAAAACTTTCTGAACCCCTGGCTAATTTTAGCAGGGCTTGATGGAGAAGTAGAGCCCTTGGAGACATCCAGCTCCCACGCAGTTTGGGGATGCTGGCAGCTAGGTGGATGGGGAAGCGGCTCCTCTCCATCTGAGGAATAGCAGCTTTCCAAAATTGCATCCCAAGCTCAAACCTGGCATTGTGACCTTGTCCCCAAGACAGGGCTGTGCTGGAAAAGGAGCAAGGCAGGACCCTCCGGCGGGTGCAGCATCTCCCCAAGGCCTGGATGATGGGTACCCAGGGAGAGGCTCTGCCACTGAAAAGCCATTTGGCTCCTCAGGGTGCAGGAGATGAGGGCTTCAGTAAGTTTCTTCTCTCCTTTTTCCTCTCCCGCTGTAAGTACTTGTGCTGAGGTATGGATGCCCTTGCACGTCTCATCTGGCTGTTAACTCTGAAGCATAATGACAGCAGAGTGGCCATGGGGCTTGTGGCACTCTCATGTGAGTCCATTACAAAAGCTTCCAGAAGATGAATTAAAGCCAAGTTTGTTGCTCCGGCACTGAGCAGCCGCTCTCTCCCCAGCAGCCTCTTCCTCTCCAGAGGCTGCAGAAGAGGTGGTGTGATGTGGAAATCACTTCTTTAAGTCACAAGAGTGTAAATCAAACACTTGCTCGCCAGATCGGGGGACCAAAGTTAGGAGAAGCAGTCAGGAGAGGTTTTTGGCCACCGACACAGAATTTGGCATGAAATCCTGTTTTATTTAAGCCGTTGGTTGGGAAAGCAAGACAGGCTCCTTGGAATTAGCTCTTTTTTTGCATTTCATGTTCGCTGAAAGGAGAGTTCCCTGACTGCAAGCTAGGTGGTGGTGCGGGCACCAGGGATGTACCAGTGCTGCACCAGGCTCTGTGCTGCACCGATGCGACGCCACGGGTCGAAGCTGAAGATATAGAGGGGCCAAAGATGAAGAGGGACACTTTTGGCACCTGCTTGAGACCTCCTCTGTCTTACCAGATGGTGACAAGACAACAGCTCTCAGCTCAGACCTCCACGGGTCCAGGCTCTCTCGGCTGGAGATGCGGAGAGACGGGCATCTGGCTTTATTTTGGCATTTGCCAGCAGCGCTGACTTCAAAGGGGACGGTCTGACCGGGATGGGATGGAGCCAAACCTGGGATCAGGGCATGGAAAAGCCGACAGCACCCGGGGGAGATAGAGATCCAGGAGTTTTAGTGTAAAGATGCTGACAGAAGACATTTCCTCCGGGCACCATCTGGGATCTAGCACGGCTTTAAAGCCTCGGTACATCCTGGGGAGGGAACAACAACCTCCCTGGCGCTGCTATGGGGCATGCCATGCCTCACCAGCTCTCCTCCGCAGCTGTTTTCTCCTCTGTTCGATGGCTTTTGGAAGCCTTCCCCTGCTCAGGAGAAAGAAGGGAAGTCGGTAATGCCGAAGGCTCCTCACACGTGGTAACCTCTGCCCCTCCCCGTGGCCGGGCGCCGCTGCCGAAAGCGTGGGCTGTGTTGACTTTCCATCCAGACGGTTCCCATCAAGCCCCGGAGGTGGAGGCTGGACGATTTAGCAAGGCAGAGCTTTGCAAGCTATGCGGGGATGAGCGGGATGGCCCCGTTTTATTGGAGGGCAGGGGGGTGGTGTGGAAAACAAAGACTCCCGCAGATACTTTTGCAAGGTGTTGGAAGTGCCGCTTCCTCCAATAGAGCCCTGGCTTCCCTTCCCCTGGCTCCCAGGGGGCCCCCGATGTGAATGGGGCACTTCCCGTTGCGGCAGGTATCGAGCAACACATCTGAGGTGCCTTTTGTGCTCGGAGAGCTGGCAAGGAGGTGGGGGGGACCTGCTCCTGCTGCATGGCAAAACCCAGCCGGTGCGGCCGAGCATCCCGGCCCCAGCAGCATCCGAGGATGAGGAGAAGCCGGGATTGAAAACAAGGCGGGCCATGCAAACCGCTGTCCCAGCGCAGCTCCGGGGATGCCCTGCTGCACGTGCCGTGGGTAACAGGCTGGAGCCATCAGCCGGGGCTGTTTGGCAAAGGCCACACCATCCCCGCTTCCGTGGGACTCCTCGGCACCGCATGCTGCAGACCTGGGGGGGGGGGGGGGGGTGTCTGATGGGGCAGATCCCCTCCCCAAACCCCACTTCCCCCTGCAAAGCACCCTCAGGCAGGCTGCTAGGACTCAGGGGCCGCATGGCTGTCCTTACACCATCCTCCTAATAGCCATAAATAACCACGAGGGAGTTAGGGAAGGCCCCGGGTGGTGGTGGTGGTGGTGGGGAATATTTTCGGTTTCGCTCTCACGAGTGGAGCCCTGTGCCGGGGCGGTGACACGGTGACCCTGCACGGAGGAGGATGCTCTCCGGGCAGCCTGGCGACGGGGAGCCTCTCGCCCCGGGGTGGATGGCCTGCGGGCAGGCGCTGCACACCCCGCCTGTGATTGACGACTGCTCGATATAGCAAGTGAAAAACCTCAAAACGAAACAGTGGCGGAGCTAATGGCACAACAGGATGTTACCAAAATAAAAGAACACCTTTCCCCCGTACCACCTTCTCTGTTGCAAATCAGCCCCAGGAACCTCCTTTGCTCAATAATTTAAAGCAAATATGCTTTTTCTTCAGCCTTTGAAGGCGACGCAATGTACTTCTGCAAATGCAAAGAGGCGGCAGGGCCAGAGCACCAAAGACTCACCCATTTTTGCTCTTTTCTCTCCCCTCATGCACAGCTTTCCTCACCCACCAGTACCCTCTGCTGGCGTGCTGGGACGGGACCAGTAACATTCATCGCAGTACACCCCTCATTCCCGGGGCCTCTGCCAGGCCTCCCACCCATGTTTCGCAGCCAACAGAGGTCAGGAATTTCTTTCTGAAAATTGTTTTCGTTTCCAAGCAGCTCCTTGCAGTCAGTGTCAGCCATTTCCCCCTTTCCTCCCCAGGGGCTGAAAAACAAGCAGGGTGGGACCTGCTCCCCACCTGATCTTGGGGGCATGGGCTCCTCCTAGCTGTTTTCTTTTTATTTTTCTTTTTATTTTTTTCTCTCCTTTTTTTTTTTTTTTTTTTTTTTTTTTCAGTTGGCTCAGCAGCACTTGTTTTTCCTCATTCATGAGCCATACCCCTCTTCTCACCCTCTGCATGCTTTGCAGAGGTCTGGAGCCCCATAGCTCTCCCCCACACCTCTGCCAGCCCCGGGCAAACTTCTGCCACCCCACTGCTATTCAAAGCTGATGCTCAACTATATTTAAATCATGCCTCTCCTCCAAAGATTATTTCTAGGGTGAAGCTGTGCTCCCAGCCCTGCTGGGATGTTGCTACAGAGCAAGCAAAGGGCTCACAGCATGCTGCCCCTCTCCCTTGTCTTGGGATGTGGGGAGCTCATGAGTTTTTCTTGCCCTGAGGGCATGGGTGAAGTCTTTTTTACCCTCTGCCTGCAGGCTGATATTGATGCTCTCAGATTTCTCTCTGCAACACTCCCACCCATCCTGCTGCCGCCAGCACTGGTGGGGTTTGCAGTGCTTGTTTTGGGGGGGGGGGGGGGAGGTGGGGATGACCCCCGTTTTGCTACGAACTCAGGGTTAGCCCAGGGCTGTAGGGTCTGACTCGGCTGCCGTGCCTTCTCCCCGGCAGGAGGGCCAGCAGCTTTCCTGATCACCACCCCATACTCGCTCTGCATCTGCCCCGAGGGCCAGAACGTCACCTTGACCTGCCGGATCAGCGGTCCCCTCGCCGACCGCCACGATCTGCTCTACAAAACCTGGTACTACAGCAGCAACGGCGACCAGAGCTGCTCCGAGAAAAAACACATCCGCAACGTCACCGAGAAGGAGCTGCACCACGACCTGGGCAGGCACCACGAGCCGCCGGGCAACAGCACCCAAAAATCCCCTCTCGGGGGGCAAGGCAGCCACCACGGGGTGGAATTTGTCCCTGACCACCACGGTGCCTTTCATATCGTGGTGATGAACCTGACGCTGCAGGACAGCGGGAATTACTGCTGCTACGCCGTGGAGGCCAGGCGAGAGCACGGCAAACCCCACACCCTGCAGGTCGCTCACGGTTTCGTGGAGCTGCAGATCCAGCAAGGTGAGGGGGGGGGGGTGGGTGGGCAAGGGGAGCCCCTGCCAGGCCCCCATCCATGCCAGGGTGAGTCAGGAAAAGGTGGAAGATAAAGGGCTGGTGGGAGGATGCAGCACCAGGGCTGGGGAGGCAGGGCGTGCTGATGCTGAAAGCCCCAAGCGGTGTTGCAAGAGGCAAAGAGCAGCAGATGTTGAAGGTTTGAATTAGGGCCAGAGAGCACTGGAACATTAGAGAAAAATAAAGAGAAAATAAATCAAGAGGATGGAACGCAGTAAAATCCGTGCTACATAGTTTCACTGATCTTCTTCAACCTCTTTCTGGGAGAGAGGAAACCAAACCTCAGCAGAAAAGGAGCTGGCTGGTGGTCCAAGCCCGAGTGCGGGTGCTAGGCGTTGCTCGGGATGCAGAGCTTGCAGATCATCTCGGGGCAGCAGCCCAGCAGGGAGAGCTGCCCATGGAGTCACGAGATGGAGGGAAAGGCATCTCCTGACCTTGATTTGCAGCGTTAGGACACATAATTTTTCTTTTAGACCAAAAAAAAAAAAAAAAAATTAGCCTGCATGGCCAGGGACGGGCCCTGCCGTCATGAGGCAAAATGGGTCTTGCAGCAGGAATCTTAGTGTGGGCTTCCCAGGATTAAACTCTTGCTTTTGGGCTGCTCTGGGCTGATTTTCTCAATACTGGTGAGCAAAGGCAAGCAAAGCTAACCGGTGTGGGAGCTCTGTGGTACCTGAGTGAATCCCCTGAGATCTAACACTCCTTTCTCTTCTCTGCAGGCAGAGAAGGGCTTCAGAACTGCACATTTCATACTGCCACCAGCAAAGGTAAAGGGAAAAAAAAAAACCAACCTCTGTCCAATGCGCTGCTCACCATCCTGGCCTGTGTAGTTCCCTAGGGACGGCAGCTTGCTATAAACACACCGGTGTCCAGATGCAACCTCACAGTCAGGTGTCAGGAGGGTGATTTCCAAGGCTGTCCCCACGGGGTGCATCTCACAGATGCATCCCCAGGCTGAGGAGAGCCTCCTTTGGCCTGTCACCTGGACATGACCCTCCTGAAGCCCGTGGAAAGCATCCACCCTGTAGTTATAAAGCACCTGAGCTCCCCTCTCCCCACCCAAAACACAATGGGGGATTTAGCGGCCGCTGCCACGAGCAGATGGGAAGGGACAGAAAGAATAAAGAGTCGCAGGAAGCTCTTGCAACACCCTGCTGCCATCCCGAGCAGATGCCACCTCGCTCCGAGCAGAGATGCTCTAGCAGGGGAAACCCAAATCTTGCTTGAGCGCTCAGACAACATGAAGCTCCCCCAGCGCTGTGTCTAGACACTGGACGTGCCCACACTTCGCTAGGCAGGTGGTTTCTTGGTGGGTCGCCCTGTCTGCCCCCATTTGCTGGCTGCTAAATGAGCAGATTTTGCTAAAATTGGTTTGCAGCATGGCTGGGGCCAGCCCAGCCATGGGAAACTGTCCCTTGCTCCCCACGAGTAGTGCTTTCTGTCTCAAACCCTCAGTCTCAAGTGCTGGGACGCCCTGTCCTGCCAGGCAAAAAAAAAAAGGGGAAAAAATCTCTCCTCCCACTCCCTCCCCACCCCCCAGATACACACACCTGGAGCAAGAAGCCGCTTCCCCAGGTGGATGTGCAGCAAAGGAAGGCTTGAGCTGAGCCTGCCCTTGATTTAGGCAGCCCCCTGACCCTGCCACAAGTTGTCCCAGATGGACCTTGATGGCCACAGATGTGCTCGCAGGCTGCCAGCCCTTCTGGGGAGCCCCATGGGTAGCGTTCTGCAAGGGCATGTTCGTTAGCAGGGACCTTGGGTAACGAGCCCTTCGATGCTCGAGTACTTGAGGCAGCCTAATTTTGACAACCTGGCCATGGGTCGGAGCCATCACTCTTTGGAATTGCTGGGAGAATTTCTGCTGACTTTGAAGGGTTTTATCAGGGCCCTTGCTTCTCTCCCCATATCTAGAAGACCAAAGAAAGACCTTGGGATGTCCTCCAGCAATGAAGGACTTTGCTCAAGGTCCTAAACTGATGCCTCAGAGCTTATCTCTGCAACTGGCAGTGCATCCCAGCTAGGAACAGACAGCCTGTGCGTGTGGGATCCACGTTTCTTTGGGCGTGGGACAACGGTGGGGTTGTCCCGTGCTTCTGCTGTGGCTTGAGGAAACCAAGGAAACCTCTTCTGTTGCAGATATCACAGCCGCCGCGCTGGCAACGGGCGCCTGCATCGTGGGCATCCTCTGCCTGCCCCTCATCTTGCTCCTGATTTACAAGCAGCGACAAGCCGTCAGCAGCAGACGTACGTACCCTTCCCTCGCCAGCTACAGGTGGGGACACCCATCTCCTGGGCTGTGCCAGCGTGGCCTTGATGGGGTGGGACGTGTCCCACTGGGGTCGGCTGCTTCGGCTGCCCTGAGGCCCACGAGCACTGTGTGAAGTGGCCCAAAGACATGTCCCTGCTGGGTACCTCCCGCAAATCTGTCCTGGGAAGGATGGGGCATGCCTGCAGGCTGCTGGAGGGGTGGGTGGGGTGGGGGTGGGGGGGGCCTGAGATGCTTGCAGGGCACCCCAGGAACGTGCTGGGGACACCGAGACTGCAGAGATGCTGTCAGGCCCCCTCCCTGCTGAGATCTTTCCTCCCCGTCCAAGCAATGGCCAGCTGGTTTACTCACCCCTCCCTCCTATCACTCTACAGCTGAGATAGAAGCTTTGCCTTCTCAGTGCTTGGGAAAAAAAAAAAAAAAAAAAAAAAAAAAAAGCATTATTTGCACTTATTCTCCCTCTCAGCTTTAAAAAGACCCCTTACATGTCTATGGGAAGAGGACTGCAGCAAGCCAGGTCTGCCCCCACTGCCTTAGCCCTAGAAAACCAGGCAGCGCCGAGGTGCAGCCAGCTGCCAGCTCCTGCCCGTGCTCGGCTCCCAGTGATTCCAGTAATTAAGCAGAAAGGGGCACCACCTTAAGGGGCCGAGCCATTTCATCAGGCCTTGGGCAAGCCGGGGGCCCTGCGGTTTCTCTCACCGAGCTCGGCGGGCGGCTGTGCGGCTCTGAGCAAACCCTTTGGAGAAGTGGGTTTTGCAGCAGCAGTGGGCAGGATGCCAGCCACGAGAACGGGAACTGTCCTTTCGACATCCGACCCCAGTCGAAAAGACTGGCCGTGTGCCTTCACGCATCCATTTTGCCACGGCCGGTGTGCAGTTCTCCTGCCTTGTGCTGCAAAGCAACACCCCTGGATGCCATTTAACCCAAGAGGGAAGGCAAAACCCAGGGACATTTGCTTCTGGGGTGTCTCGGACCAGGTTAGCTACAGGTTTTCTCCACCAGGCGCTTTCCATCGACACAGTCTGGGCCAAAACTTGTGTGTCTTGGCTCAGGATGTTCACCATGCAGCCAGCCAGCACACCTAAGTAACACAGCCTGCGGGATCTGCCGTGGCTGTGGTAAAGGGGATGAGGAAATAAATATTGGGGTGCAGCCCAGACAAATGCAGGGGCAGCCGAATGCCGGGGCGGCGTTTTGCAGAGCCCTGGGGGGGGGGTGTTGCAGGAGGGTGGTTGGGTGCATCCGGGCACGAGTGGGGCCGGGCTGCAGCCCAGGCGCCGCAGCTGCGCCTCGCCTCACCCCATGCCGGCAAAAGTGCCTCCTTCCCCCTTCTTCTTCGGAGCCTGTGGTTTCAATCTGGAAGGAGGCTGGGCTGCGGAGGAGGTTGCTTGCGAGCAAAGAAGAGGCTGATGCTAAAGAAGGGGTAAAGGGAGGGAGGAATGCAGAGGAAGAGGATGAATTGGACGTGGGTGAGACACCAGAAAACAGTGCTGGCAGCGTGGCTGGGCTTGACACTGGGCTTCGTGCACTCAAGCCAACTGTTTTGTCTTTGGCAGGTGCCCATGAGCTCGTCAGGATGGAAAGGTGAGGAACCTCACGTGCTTCCAGCTCCCCCCCACCGCCTCGCACTCCCTCTGCCCACATCCCTGACCCTGCAAGGGTCTTGTCCTCCCCTCTCCTCCCCTGGAAGCTGGAGTGTATCCTCGCGGGGCACAGTGAGGGGGATGCTTGCAGCACCCATGCCCGGGGTCCTGTCCCTTTCTAGGCAGCCAGTTTCTGTTCCCTCCCTCCAAGTGGGAAATGCCTCCTTTCTTTTTGCCTGTGCCAAGGGCATGCAGCTCCCCACACCCCAGGAGAGCTCAAAAACCACGGTGCCTTTTGGCTAAGCTTTCCCCGCCTTGCGCTGGGCTCCCCGCTCGCTCTCTGCCGAGGTGCCACCACCTCAACCTGCTCCCTGCCCTGCTTGGTTATACCCAGCGCTCAGCCAAAACCCTAGGGATTAAAAAAAAAAAAAAGGCTCCTGAATTAAAAACGCAAATCCCCACCCCCCTCTCACACCTTCTCCTCTCCCGCAGCAGCGCCCAGGGCATCGAAAACCCCGTCTTCGAGGCGGTCCCCTCGGCGAGCACGGAGCTGCGGCCCCGACCCCAGCTCTCCTACATGGCCACCCGGCAGCCCTCTGAGTCCGGCCAGCATCTGCTCTCCGAGCCTGGCACCCCACTTTCCCCCCCCGGCCCCGGGGACTGCTTCTTCCCGACGCTGGGTGAGTGACTGGCGATGCTGAGCCCCGCTCCGGGGACCGCTGTGGGAGGGCTGGGAAAGAAAGGGGCAGCCGAGGGGGGTAAATGGGAAAGGAGGGGGTTAAATATCAGCTGCAAACTTTGTGTTATGTGGGACGTCAAATCCCAGGGCTTTGGGGATGGGAAGGACCTTGTGTTTTCCATGCATGAGCAGAGTTTGGCGGCTTCCTGAAGCTTATTCCTGCAGCTGCAAGCTGGACTAATACCCCGGGTCTGCTCTTTTCCAGATCCTGTTCCCGACTCACCAAATTCCTTCAAAGCCTAAAGACCCCGGAGGAAACCACATCCCCCAGCCACAGCCGGGAGAGGCCAGGCCAGGCAACCACCACACCACGCTCGTCCAGCCGAGACCCCCCGGGAGGGCAGCGTGGCCACGGGCAAAGCCTTGAAAAATGAAGCTGAACGCAGGAGCCCTGTCCTTGCCTCCTGCCCTGGCTCTGCCCTGGGGCTGGAAGTGAACCTCTCTTGTCTGGATTTTGGTTTTGAACTCCCTATTTCTATGGAGAAGAACATGGTTCTGTACCGCTCACATTTCACAGACTAGCTGAAAATTGGGGATGCAGGGAAGGAAGGACAACCCACACCTGCAAGCGTCCCCAAGGATTTCACTCATTGCCAGGGGTTTAAGCTCTGCAACATCAACCTGTTTCTGCATCTCTGACTGAACATCCTCTCTGGGAGCGGATGGTGAAGTACTTTATCCACTGTGAGACAAAACAGGGTCACTGGCCAACCTTACTACTACCTTTTTCTTTGCAAAACAGGAAGGGGAGAGGCTCCCTGCTGCTGATGGAGCCCTCCTTCCCCACCAGCCTTTTGAGACAGCCACAGACTTACGAGGCTGCCGTGTTTTCAGCTGGACACGTCAGGAAGAGCCTTGTTTCTGTTGCAATATTATCCTCGGCTTGGGATCACCGGAATATTCCTTTCTGTTTGTTTTATAATCAGTGCTGATTAAAAGAAAAAAAGGATGTTTATAGGTTTGGGGTTTTTTTTTTTTTTGTTTTGTTTTTTTGCTTGGTTTGTTGTTTTGTTTTTTTTTTTTTTTTTTCCTCAATGCCTGTAATTTAGAAAGTTCATCTGGAGGGTGCTGGAGGATGTTCCCATTACGTGGCCGAGAGCCCCCGTGGAGAAGCGGAGGCACGGCAGCACGCAGTGGGCAGTGGGAAACGCTCCGGCTGGCTTCCCCAAACCCTCCTGGGGCCACCACGGCCAGAGCAGCCATCCCCAGGGCCACTGCCTTCAGCCATGCCAGAGGACCCTGCTAAATCCTGGGGGACGTGGGTGCCCTCACAGCACCCTCCGTCCGAACGCAGCACCCCAGCATCACTTATCCAAAAGAAGCTGGCTCCAGCGTGACTCAGCCCCCAGCGAGGAGATAAAAACCTTGTGGTAGACACTGATACTCAAAGGGTGTGTTTGTTTTTTTGTTTTTTTTTTTTTCTCTTGCTTCTGTTTTTGTTGTAAAGTGGGGAAAAAATTGCCACTAAGACAAACATAAACATTAGTCATACCAAAACACTGTCAGACCTGAACAACAGCCGTACCAGGCAGCGTGCCTGGGCAGAGCAACCCCAGGACCACGCCGAATTCTCACACTAGGTGTCTGGTGGAAACAGTGTTTGCCTCTGCAACGGGCTGGGGACACCCTGGATTTGATTAATCCGGCTTTGGCTTCAGCAAGAGCAAGTTCAAGATGGTCCGACCACAGGACCGGATAAAGGAGAAGCCAGCAGTGACGCCCCCACCACAGATTTAACTTCCTGAGCATGGGATCTTGTGCTTTATTGCTACCCACGGCTCAGCCCCTTTCCCAGCTTTGCTGGGGAAGCTTGCCCAGTGCCTCCAGTGCTTCCCTCTCCCCATCCCAGTGGCTGCAGCTGGAAAGGCACATGGGGAATTTGCCTGCCCCAGGGTCCTAACTGCTTTGAAACCTCTCCAGGTCCTTCCATTTGCTAATGAACGCACTGTTTGACCACGGAATAAAGCTTTGTTGGAAACAGGTTTCTCTCTGTGCTGCAGGAATCCCGTTTTTTGGGATGCCTCGTGCTGCAGGCAGAGGTGAGCTGAGCAGCCACGTCCTCTGCTAGAGACACTGGTGCAGCATATCGGGGCACAGCGTGGCATCAGGGACCTGGGAAGCTCACCAGAAGGCAGACTTTTAGGGAAAAAAAAGATGATGGCCACCCAGCTTTCTAAACACAGGGGAGCAGGAGCCCTGGCACGCTGTGTGTCGGCACCCCACCTCAGAAGGGAGAAGATGGCATGGTGCTGCAGCTTCAGGCAGGATTTTTATGGTGAAGGTGACCCAGCAAGATGCTCATTCCCTGGCAGACCTCGCCAGGTCCCACCAGCTCTTGGGAACGCCTGGCTGGTGCCCCACCGCCGTTTTTTTGCTGCTGCATCAGCACTCGGGGGTTTGCTCGTGAGCGAGGAGCTGCGGCCCTTCACCTGAACTCTGGTTCACTCTGGTTTCAAAGCGGGCGGACGGGAACAGAAACTGCAGAGGCTGAAGGAGCCCGGGGCTGGGGGCGGATGGAGAGAAGCATCCGGGTGGTGAGGAGCGGCTCTGCCGATCCACCCTGCCTCGCTGGGGCTGCGGGGGCCAGGAGGAGCCCTGCTCCAGCACCTGTGGGTGCCACGGCTCCCTTGGGCAGACCTCCTTCCTCCTGCTGCGGGAAGTTTCCCAAAGAGCAGGGCCAGCCCTCGGGGAGGTGCAGCTTCAGGTTTGCGCCAGGGTCAGACAGAGCCCGGGTCACTCCTGCAATTCCAGGTGAGGATGCCAAGACCTGCCAGCTGCAGCTCAACAGCTCGTGAAGGTTTTCTTTCCTGCATTGCTTTTTGGGGTGAATGTTTTCTTTTTATCATCAGCATTTTTTCCCTTCTGCCCCTGCATTTCCAGGACAGCTGGTCTTGCATGCACCCTTGCTGTCCTGGGTACCACGGATCACTGTGGGACTTCCAAATCCTCTCCCAGCTCTGTCTTCTCTGCCTCTCCCATATTCAGAAGGCCAAACCTTGAAGCACATGAAGGGACCTACAAATTACAAATAATAATTCCCTTCTGTGCACCCTTGCATTAGCCTAGACTTGTGAAACCAAAGTTTCTGGTGGGTGACAAGCTCCCGACAGATGTCATTTCATCACCTAGGCTTGAGACCAGCAGTCACCGAGCAACAGGCAGGACAGCCTTTCACAAGACCTAAGCGTCCTCAAACTCCAAAAAGGGCCGAAACTCCTCTCTCCACTTAGGAATCAGGTCACCGGGCGCTTTGTTTTGCTTCAGCATGGTGGGATTTTGACCGTCGCTGCTGGCATTACTCGCGCTGGTGATGTGGTGCAGAAACCCTGAGGACAAGCGAGGCTGCTGGGACACTGCTTTGACAGCGTGAAGCGATAAGCTGTGACATTTGTCCTCTCCGGCACCAGGAAGGGAAGATCTGGGAAGTGCTGGGGCGATGGGGACAAGGAGGAGCTGGCGGGATCGGGTGCTGCGTTTACACAAAGCTGCCTTTTCTCATTCTAGGGGAAGAGACTTACCTAGACTTAAGCCACAGTGGCAGCACGGCTGAAGAAAAAGGTGGTGATGCACAAGCAGGCGTGTGAACCACTCAGGAGGGAGCAGTTGTAAGTGCAAAGCCTGAAGCGAGAGTTGCAAGCCACAATTTGAGCTTGCTGGTTGCAACCCGTTTCCTCAAAATGTAGAGCAGGGCTTTGCAGTGAGATCGGAGAGATGGCAAGAGATAGCAGGTGGAGGTGGGGAAAAGGAAGGATGGCAGGGTGTTACGCAGGGTGCCACGCCTCCCCATCTCACAATTTGGGTTTGCTTTGTGCACACAGGCTCGCCTCCCCGCGGCGCCGTGGGGTTAGGAGGGACTCAGGGCTGGAAAATGCCCCAAATGTTATTTGCTCTTTCGACTCTCCCGCGCCAGAGTCCTCCTTAAAGGCACAAATAATGAGACTTGTTATTCGTGGAGCGGGGAAGGTGCGAGGGAGAGAAGCCAGGCTGCAGCAAACGCAGTTAGCTGCTGGGCACTCCTGCACACTGGTAGCTAAAAAGCAAGGCGGCCACCCCCCGGGACCGAAGGATGATGGATGGGGTCTCGTATCGGCCTCCAAATGCATGCCCCGACCCTGCTCACTGCAGGCAGGGCGCTCCGGCCGGCAGCAACGCAACTAAAGAGCTGCCCAAATCTCACGTGGCGGGGACCACAGTAGCTATATATAATTTACATACATAATTACCAGAGCTCTTCTCATTTGCAAGCACCAGAGCAGACGCACATAGGTCCACGGTGAGCTGAACCATGCTGCTCCGGCAACCCCCCACGCTCTGAGATGGGTGAGCAACATCCCAAGACCTTCCAGACTCAGAGCATGAGGAGCTGGCGGCAGGACAACTCCTGTAACCACCAGCAGGGATACTATCCATCTTTTTGGCATTTACGGATGGGAGACGGCAGCTCCCCCAGCGACTGCAAGAGAGGGTCCCGCTGAGCCGAAGGAGGCTCGGATTCAAACTTGTCCTCAGGAGATTTGGACTCGGGAGTCATAACCCAGAATGGCTGGGTCACCAAAACATCCCGCCCTGTGCCCGTTCCCCGCCCCACGTCTCAACGCTAAGCTCGCTCCCGCAGTGCTGCCCGGCTCCATCCCTCGGCCCGGGAAGCACGTTTCGGTGGCTCACCGACAAGGAGGGGGTGCCCTCGTCCTCCACGGTGACCACCAGGCTGTAGAAGCTCTGCCGCTCGCGGTCTGGCGGGGAGGGCCGGGTGGCGATCTCGCCGGTGATGCGGTCCATGCGGAAGGTCAGGTCCTCGTTCCCGCCGGTGATGTAGTAGGAGAGGACGCTGTTGAGGCCGATGTCCCGGTCCGTGGCGCGTACCTGGGCCACCGCCGTGCCCCCGCCGACGTTCTGCGGGGGCAAGGCGGCGGGGTGAGCGGCAGAGACACACGGCACGGAACACGTGCGCGTATAAAATACGTAAATAACAACAACAACAGCAGAATTCTAATATAGATTCTAATATAGAGCGGGGGGGGTGTGGGGGGGTGTTTCCAGGCACCGCGGGGCTTGAGGCTTCAAAATCCGCCCTGACACCCAGCAGCCGAGCGGAAGGCTGCTCCCCTTCACCAGCTCCTGGATGCTGTTTTCTGCAGTGCATATTGCAAACGATGTTTTATTAATAGATGCGCCTTCGTGGAAGAAAAATCAACCAAGGCCACAGATACCTCAGCTGAGAATCAGCCACAGGCTTAGCAACGGAAGGCTCTGCCCTTTGCTTGAGTGCTCAGATCTTTTTTTTTTGCTTAGGAACTCTGAAATTAAATCTAATTCCTACCTTAGCTTTTAAAAAGAAACAGAATAAAACTAGCAGGTGACATTTGCTGGTAAGTCACCAAAGCCAGCTGTTGCTGCATGCTGAAATCGCACCTTTTTCCTTATGTTACAGCACCTCCCATTTTTTGCAATGAGCCAGTTTGATTCCCTGCCGCAGAGAGCTGTGCAGTAGGTCCTACCTAGGCTGGCACAGCCTGGAAGAGTGTAAAAACCAGTGTGTGTGCAAAGGTGAAGGCTGTGTAATGGACTCAGCGCTCAGCTAATGATTTTTGGATAGTCCCGTTATGGGGGAAATCAAAACAGAAATTCTGTTCTTCAACCAGCTCTGAACATGTATTAAATAGATAAGAAAATCCTAACAGGGCAATAACTTTAATGCAAAGCTATTAATCATGAGTAGCACTTCCTCGTAGCTAAGTGTCACTGGCTATTACTTGTATTTCATTTTTCATCGTCAAATTGAGAACCCCCCTGGTCCAGGAATTAAACTGTCAGGAAATAAGTTGTCTTTTCTCACGCCTGATTGTGTTTTATTGCTTAATTATCTAGCTCTTGCCGTGCTGCTTCCTGAAAGCAATTTCTATTCTGCACCATGGCGCCTCGGTGGCATTTCCATGGGTGTGTAGCCACTTCTCCTTCCTGCTGATCCCTGCAGCCTCAGGGGCTGAAGTTGCCTGCCGAGCTCTCTGCTAGCCCAAAACTAGGAGGCCATCACAGGTGAGCTTTGCGAGGGGCCACCAACCCTTAAATCACCCAAGATGAGGTCTGACCCGAGTGCCTTGGGGTCAGACCTCACCTTGGGAGGACGGAAGGAGAGGCGCAGGCCTGGGTGCTCACCTCGCTCACGCTCACGTTGTAGCCGAAGGGGCTTTCGATGACGGGGGGGTTGTCATTGACGTCGAGGATGTTCACTCGCAGAGTGTGCTCCTTCCTCCGGGGAGGCACGCCACCATCCGAGGCCTGGATCTGCAGTCGGGGGGTGGATTTTCAAGCAAAAATGCTCTTTTTAAGCTCAAAAAATCCCCCCCCCCCCAGCCTTGATGCTCAAACCAGCAGAAGCCCCAGGAGGTAAGCGGGGTGGTTTGGTGCTTACCCGTAAGGTGTAGTGATCCAGCTGCTCCCGGTCCAGAGGCCGTGCCACAAACACCTCACCGTAGGTGTCGTTGGTGGTACGGATCTCAAAAGCCTGGCCGATGTTCCCCGACGTCAGTGAGAAAGTCACCTGGAAACAGCAGGGGGAAAGAAAAACAGGGCAAGCAGTGTGGTGCTGTGAGGAGGAAGGAGAGAAAGGAGACCCTACAATAATAAACCCAGCACCGCCTTGGGAGTCTCTGAGCATTTGAAAAGGTCCGATGTGTTGGGGTCCACGGGTGTGCTGCCTTATTGCAGCCACCCCAAAGCAAACACCCATGGGCCAACCCTGGTCTCGTCCACAGCCCTCCTATGGTGCAATTTTTGGTACTAAGGGTGATGGGACCCCCTTAAGGCCTGTGTCTGTGGTAAAGAGAATAACAAATGTCAGAGAGTTTCCTGCTCAGCCTGCCAAGGGCCTCGCTGCCATTCCTCATAGCGGGAGAGGCCACAGCTGGTTTTCAGCTTGCCAGGCTCCTTTTGACACGTGTCCCGCAGAGCTCTTTGCCCCCTACAACCCAAGGATGATGTTTTTCCTCTCCTGTTGCACGCCTCGACTGGGGAGCGCTGGTACCCACTGCACAGCCACCCCCTGAACTGCTGGCATCAATGCCCAGAGTTTGCTCTCGCAGGGATGCAGAGGAGGGGAAAGGGTCGGGAAGGTGCTGATGGAGGCATTTCTGTATCCCCAGCCTCACGGGCACCCCCAAACCTGCCGTGCTGGGTTCCCTAACCTGCCCATTGCTGCCTGCGTCTGGGTCGCGGGCCAGGACCATGGCCACTCGCTTGCCGACGGGGATGTCCTCCGCGATGCTGACGAAGGAGTCGGAGGTGATGTCGAACTGGGGGCTGTTGTCGTTCTCGTCCAGCACCGTGATGGTCACCTGCGGGCAAGGGCACGGGGCTCAGGCAGGAGCTGGCCCCCTGCCCACCCAGCAGCAGCAGCCACGCTGACACCCCCCCGGCAAACTCTCAACCCTCCGAGGTGCCAACAGCGTGAGTGTTGTTGCCCATCCCACGTGGGAATGGGCGCAGGTATTTGAGCCCAGGAGCTGAAGCTACATCCCTGTCTGCGGAGGAGGAGGAAGGATGCTTAGAGGCTGGAGAAAGAGCACAAGGCTGCTGCAGCTCTCAAGTGGTGGATTTTTCTATGGAGCATTTTTTTAATCCTCCAAATAGCTGGGCACGGAGCAACTCACACTGCTGCAGGGTGACCCTTTCCTGCTAAGCTTTTCACAAGCAGTGATTTCCTTCGTGCTCACAGCACCGGAGGTTGGGCAGGGTTTGCTTTAAAGCTAGGCGGGCACAGAGAAGACAGAGTTGCGTATATTTAACTAAACCAGGGTGAGCTTGGCATAGAGAAGACCTGGGCTCCCGTCTGGGAAAAGGCACACGGGCGAGTGACAGAGGACATGCTTGGATGGGCACTCCACCGCAGGCGACTGAGGAGTGGGCTACCTCGGCTACAATTAGCCAGAGGAAATGCTCTCACCGCGTTTGTAATCAAAGAGCTGCAACGCGACACAGAAATGAGAGAGGAAGAGCCTTTATGTTCCCGGGGCTCTATTTATGGGTGCCCTGAGCCCCCAGGTGCGGCCAGGCTGAATGCGACAACATCCCGGAGGAAGCTGGGGAGTGAGTCGTGCGCCTCGGGGTGATTCGGTTATTGTTGCTGTTGAATTAAAAACAGAGAGCCAGGAGTGGGGAGAGCCCATTCAGCTGCTGCGGTGGATCCGGCAGCTGCTGTCCCAAGCGTTGGGATTTCTGCTCGCCAGCAACAGGGCGGCCCGCGGGTGCTGGCACCACGTCCCACAGGGTGTCACGGAGGCTGGTGCTTGTGGGATGGGGCTGGAGACCTCCACCCCAGTCCCTCCCCACAGCTCAGTGTGGGGTTCAGGATGGATCCTGCCCCCCAAGATGATGCCAGCACGACAGACACGCTTACCTTCTGTTGGAGGAGAGCAGAGGAGGGGGAAGCAGAGAAAAGAAAAGAACCAAGAGTTAGTGGGGGATGAAGAGGTGTGGGCACACGCGAGGGGCAGTGGGCTAGCCCTGCATCCCACCGTAGCAGTGCTGGGGGCTGCGGGTACCCCCCTGCAGTGATTCAGAGGCCTCTCTGATGGTGCATCCCTTTTTTCCAGAGAAGCTTGGCAGGTTTGCCCCTTGCCTTGGGAGAGGCTCAGACCAGAGCACGGCAGTGTGCGGAGAGCAGAGCCGCTGGCACCCATGGGTGCGGACAGGCAGGGCTTGCAGCCTCACTGCCTTTGCCATCCAGCATCCTTTCTGGAGGATGCACCAAGACACGAGACCGCGGCAGCCCAGCCTCCAGTTTCAAACCACCCGCCCCCCCCCTGAAGCCTTGCTCCTCCAGCTGGGCCAAACCAGCAGAATTTGGGTCGTGCCAGCTGAGCTGCCCCTGCCCGCAGCATGGGGACCAGGCTGGCCCTGCACCCGGCATGCCTCCTGCCCCAGCAAAGAAATGCAAATCATCCCCCTGCTCAGCTGCCTTTGAAACTGCCAAATATAACCCTCTTAAACATAAACCACCGTGAAGTATTTCAAGGTCCCCAAATTTACCTCCCTCAAGACTGTTTGAGCTTGGTGAGCGATCTGCAAACTCTAGTTGGAGGTGTTTTTCCTTTAATTTTTTTTTTTTTAATTTTTTTGTTTTCCCCTGAGAAATCCCACCCTACGACACGCATAAGCTAAAAAGTACTGGTCCATACTTCTGCAAATGCAGGGTTTCCCCCAAGACCCCGGTGGTGGGAGCAGAGAGGACAACTAGGACATGCTGTCCCATGCCAGAGGAAGAAGGAGCTGACCTGAGGGCAGCTCTGCCCACACAGAGGCTGGTGGGGAAATGGGTAGAAGCTACTCACTGCCGTGGAGTCAGTCTTAGGCCCTCCATCATCAGCCACCACCGTCAAGGTGTAGAAATCCCCTTTCTCTCGATCCACGTGGCCTTTGACCGTGATGACACCCTGCCAAGGATGAACAAGAGCCCTGGTGGCCACCAACACTTTGGTGGACAAGGAAGCCAGGAGGGACCACACTGTGGCTACTTACAGTGATCCCATTGATTTTAAAAAGGGAGAGTGCCTGGGCGTTGCTGTTGGGGTCAAACTTGTAGGTGATTTGGTTGAGGTTGTCGATGGAGCGGGCCTGGACCCGGAGCACCTCGGAGCCCAGGGGGATGTTCTCCATGATCACAGCCTCGTAGCTGGTGTTGGAGAACTCCACGGCCTCGTCCAGTTCATTCAGCAGGCTGACGTACACGCTGCAGAAGCCCTGGTTGTAGGGGGGTGCCTGGTCCGTGGCAGAGACGTTCATCAGGTAGCTGGTTTTGGTCTCGTAGTCCAGGTAGTCGATTGTCGTGATGAGGCCCGTGCTCTCGTCGATCTCAAACTTCCCTTCGGCACCCGACAGGATTTTGTAGCTCACCAGACCGCCTTTCCCTAGGACAGGAGCAGGAACCACGGTGCCCGTTGGACCAAGCAACCCCGAAGAGGCAGGCACCACTGATGCCAACCCTGACCACGGAGCAGAGCCCATCCCACGTGGGGTTTTCAACCCAGCCGTGCCAGGATCCACGCAATGGCCGATTTCCCCACTTGCCCCCTCAAGACGGGTGTTTCTCACCCCCAGCTTCCTACCTGTGTCTCGGTCGGTGGCCCGGACCACCGCCACTGAAGTCCCTATCCCCGCCGTCTCCCGCAGCCCCAGGCGGCTGTACTGACTCTGGGTGAACACCGGCACCTCATCGTTGACATCTTCCACGTAGACGATCACCTGTGAAACCCCCCGGAGAAATCACGGGTGAGCCAGGCAGGCTCGTGAACCCTCACCAGCTGCTTACACTCGTGAGGGGAAATATTCACGGCACTTATCTGCTGCAGAGGAGAAACGTTATCTCTGCTACAAACACCACGTGATGGAGAGTGAACACACAGAGTTTAACATCATACATTTAAACAAGCCCCATGGCCAGAGTGACTCAGTCCTTCCCTGGCTGGAGGGAGGTACAATTTGTGTATTAATTCCTCCGTGCTTTGGGATCCCCTGCTCGAAACTTTGCAGTTAGAGACCCTGCAATGTAGAAACGCTGATGACTCGATGGGAAATTTTGCTCAGAGTTCAGCGGGTCGAGCTGCTGCTTCCCCAGGGAACATCCTTTCTCCTCCTCGTTTTCTGCTTGCTGCTGGTGCTGCAGGCACTGCCGACACGGTTCCACTCGGCCAGAGCCCACCCCACCAGTGGGTTTAAAAATAGATGCAACCAGAGGGCTGGGTTCGTGGGAACTGTGGGAAGCTGGTGTGTCACTGCTAAAGATTATTGCCACTGGGTCCTGGCTTATTTACATAGATGCCTGGCCAGGAGGCACGGTGTTCAAATCCCAGCAGCTGAGCCACGTCTCACCAGGCGAGCGGGACTCCCTCCGACAGCAACTGCTGCACCGCTTAGCAGCCTCATCGCGCTGAAATGTCACAAGAAAAAAGCAAAAAAAAACAACACCCCCCCTTCCACCCCGCTCCAACAAGCTCTTCTCCACCCACAGGCAGCCCCTGGAGACTTTCTGTCAGCATTGCCATGTCTGATCTCTCAAACTTCCTGCACGCCTCCAAGGGCTGGAAATGACCGCCCTCTGATGAAGCATCCCGAATATTTTGCATTAACTCGTCCGCCGGCCAGCCCTGCTGCTCACCCCTCGGCAGCCACGAGGCCCTTACCCGTACGGAGCTCCTCATGGGTCCCTGCTCCGTGTTGTAGGCCTCCACCTCCAGGATGTGGGAGGAATTTTGCTCCCTGTCGAGGTGCCGCACACCTCGCATCACCAGCCCGGTGCTGGGATTGATGCGGAAGTGGTTGTGCTCGTTTCCTGGCGGGGGGGGGGGGGGGAGGAAAAAACGAGATGGATGCTGCCCACTGCCACTGCATCAATCCTGGGGACACGCCGAGCCCTCCCCTATCTTGGATGAAGGTTATTGAACAAAACCCAAGCCCCATCACCTCCAGCTACACCAAGGTTTGGCCCCGGTCAAGCCAGGAGCTACGACATCTAAGTGTCCATCCAAGACAAATCATCCCCTGGCAATTCACCCTAATGCTGAAGTTTTGCTCAGGGTTGGGGGAAATGTTTCTGTGGGCTGCAGGGGGTGTGTAACCTCCTGAGGCGGGTCAGAGTCTGGTGCAAACCCACCGGTGCACAAAGGGCCACCTGGACTTACCCTTGACAATCCTGTACCACACTCTCCCGTTAATGCCTTCATCTGCATCTGTGGCTTCCACCTTCAAGAGAAAAGAAAAGCAGCGATGGTGAAGGGCAGGGATTTCCAGATCGTGACAAGCCCTCCTACCCTGCTGAGGCTGGACATCCTGCTCCTCCACCTGAGCCTGCAAGCTTATCAACTGCAAAGCAAAATAAGTTACCCTCCCCTCGTCACCGGACAGCAGGGATAGCGGGCTCTGGAGCCCTCGGCTGCCAGACTGGCTGCAGGGTGGGCTCAGGATGAGAGCTGAGCCTGAGGACCGTGTCACGATGCCCACGGGTCAGTGTGCCCCTGTCAGTCCTGCCCCACGTGCCAATATTTGTCCTGCTGGAGATGCCACTGGGGACAGAGCCTCCCTGCCCCCAGAGCTGGCTTGAGCTGGGCAGGGTGAGTTGCACACAGCCCACGGCATCAAGGCAAGTCACCCCAGCAGTCCTATATGTAAAAATTACCAAAATAAACAGGAATGCAACTAGCTTAGAGCATGCTGGTGGTCTGGAAACGGGTCTGAGTCCTCGCAAGACCCCAAGCAGTGGGTGGGAGCACCCCTTAGCTCTGATGCACTGCACAGCCCATGAATGTGCCGAATAAGTGGTCCACCCCGGGAAACCCAAGACACGGGTCCCCTCTGGTGTCTCTGAACAACACTGCACTGCTTTCCCTGCCAACCCCAGCCAGCAAGCAGCCTGCTGGCCCCAGCAGCTGGAAAGTGGGACCCAGCGAGGGGCAGCAGGGCCTGGGCTTCCTCCCCGGCTGGCATCGAGCTGCTGCATCTCCCCTCCACAGAAACCACTTCCCACAAAGCATCCCAACCACGACTGCAGCGGCGGCTGCTTGCAAATTGCCGAGGCGAGGACATGGGGAATGCCTTAGCTTTTATTCTCTGCCTGCTTCCCCCAGCAAGGCATCTTCTCCCTGCAAATACTACCCAGAAGTTTCCTTTTACCAGGCAGGTGGAGGGGTTTGCGCCCAGACTTGCGCTGAAAAGAGGAAGGGTTGCTGCAAAGGATGCACGTGCAGTGGGGACAGCGAGGCCATTTACTGGGGCTCAGCTTTAAAGCCCTGGGCTGGCTTTCATCCACAGCCCCATACAATGCCTGCAGGAGTCAGAGATGCTTCTCTGAAATGCAGTTTTGAGATGCCTTGAACTGCTCTTGCTCTTTTCCACCAAATCAGCCCGCATCAGCAGAAACCTTAGGAAATGCTGACCCCTGCACTTGCAAACTATCTGATTTCCCACTCCTGTGCCATGCACGCTGTTTTCCTGTGTCCCAGACCAGTTCACGTCTTGCTTATGGCCAGACACGACCCGCCCTGTGCCTTGCTCTGTGTTTCACCGTGGACCCAGCACCTTCCTTTCACTGAAGAGAGCTCTCCCACCCTCAGGGCTCCCCAAGGCCATTTCTGGGCGGGAGCTGGGCTCTCTCCTCTCCCACGCGAGGAATGAGCCCCACAGCAGCAGGCGAGCGATGGCCAGGCAGACCAGCTGCCTTGGCACGGCACTGGCTCCCTCCCGGGAAAAGCTGTCACGTCAGCCCAAACACCGTGGGAGGGAAGCCTGAAGGACCAGAGACAAACCTTTCCAGCTTTTTGTGCCATTCCCTGCCCCTCTGCGCCCAGGAAAAAGCATTTCAAGGCGAGGAAAGGGGAAGGTTTTTCAACACAGTGAACAAACCGCACCCTGCAAACATCTCCTTAGCCATCCTTCTCCCCAAGCATTTGCTGCAGGCAGCTCCAGCACATAAACCAGGCGAAATGTGTCAGCCCAGGTACTGGATTTTTATTAAAAGAAAAGCAGCTTGCATTAATTAAATCAGTGCATGCTCCTGCCAGCCTGCAGCTGCTGCTGGTTTGACCCAGGTGCCGTACTTTGACAGACTCTCCCAAACTTGGGGAAACGATTGCACTTGAGTGCAAGAGGTGGGAGAAAAGCCTTTTCTGCTGCAGGAGCAAGGCACCTTTGTTCAGCCGAGTGCTGGGTGCCTTCAGCTGGCTTCATCCCTTTGCTAGAGCGAGCGGGCTGCAGGCAGAGCCAGCCTTTTGCAGGCCACCTTTCAAAAACCCCCAGCAACTGGAAAGGGGTCAGAAAAGGAGGAGGAAGGAGGCGGGGAGGGGGAATAAAAGGATGGGAAAGAAGCAGGCGGCTTGGCGTAGTTGCTGGGAAAAGGGGGAGCGTGTGGAGGGGCTCAGCCCACGACTGTACCATTCAGCCTTCCCGCAGGGGCAAAGCCCAGGGAAACATGGCTCAGGGGGGCTTGAGCCCTCGCCCCACTGGGACACAGCCCCGGGGCACTGCTGTGCTGGCAAATTCTGGGAAGGGGCCCAGGGGCCCCCTTGGCTTTGCATGCTCGGGCTGTCCCCAGCCTGGCTGTCATCTCTCTCCCACCCCTCCGTTGCCCTCCAGAAGGGAGGAGGGGGGCTGGCAGCCGGCAGAGCGAGTGCGAGAGGCGGCAAGGCAGGCGTGCGGGAGGCAAAGCCCGGGCTCGGCCGGCCAGTGAGAGGTAGGGAGCCCAGTTCCCTGCGGCAAACCCACCCCCAGCCACACACGTGAACCCCGAGGGGCGAGCGAGGCAGAGCGGGGATGTGCCGCTGCCCCCGGTTGCAGAGCTCCTGCCCTCAGCCCTGGGAAAGGGCTGCAAACAGGGTGGGGAGATGCAAAGTTTGGGGTGGGGTTGAAGTCAGGCATCCCTCCTCCCTTCCCCGTCGCGTTGTTTTGTCTGTCCTGGTGATGGGAGAGGGGAAAAAGTCCTGCGGAGGCAGCGCTGCTGGTTAACAGTGGGGGTGATGGGGTACAGCATCACTTAGAGCCCTTTGCTTTTGGTTACCCAACTATCGGTGTCGCCAAGCCAGGTGTTTGGTACCCTCCAGCATTACCTCCTCCTGCAAGCAAGTGGAAATACTTAGTGCATTGGAAAAAGCTGGGAAGCTCCAGAAAAGCGTTGCTAAGCAAGACGGGGAGGGGAAAGAGCTGCTTTTCATCTGAGCTGTATTACAGGCACGGAAGTGCCTGAAGACAGCCTTTAATTTGAAGGAGTTTGAGAAAAGGGGGGGAGAGCATATGGAAAAACTCCTGCCAAACCAGGCAGCTGTGCCAGGCCAGGGAAGCAGCGCCTGGTGTGGGGGAGAATAATGCCGTCTTCTGCTCATGCACAAGGCTAATTTCTTTTTCCTCTCCACCTTCCTCGGGATCATTTTGCTTTTTGCAATTTCTCTTTTTTCTCCTCTGATCCTTGGCTGCCTCATGGCCAGTGCTGGGTCCCAAGCACTCTTGGGGACATCTCATGTTAGAGCTGATGACCCTTCTGGGGAGGTTTGCCTCTCAGCAAGCCTGTGCCGTGGTTTGAGCCCAGGGGGCAACTGAGCACCACACAGCCGCTTGCTCCCTCCTTCCCCGCCAGCACTTGAAGGAAAAAATACAACAAAAGGCTCAGGAATTGAGATAAGGACAGGGAAGGATGAATCACTGGTTACCACCATCGGCAAAAGACAGAGTAGGACAGTGAGGAGCGTTACCACATCTCAAAAACACCTTCCCCCCACCCTTCCCTTCTTCCCAGGCTCAGCTTTGTTCCTGATTTCTCTACCTTGTCCCCCACAGTGGTGTAGGAGGCAGGGAATTGGGGGGTGGGGAGTGCGGTCTGTTCCGCTGCTCTTTCCTCTGCAGGGACAGGGCTCCTCACACTCTACCCCCACTCCAGCCTGGCATCCCTCTTATGGAAAACAGTCCTTCACTGACTTTCTCCGATATAGAGTCCTTCCCATGGGCTGCAGCCCTTCCCAAGCTGCTCTGGCGTGGGTCCCTCTGGGCACGTTGCAGTCTTCCCAGCACCAAACTACAACAGCGGGGGCTTCTTCTTCCCTCAGAGTCCCGGCTTCCTTTGGCGGCAGACCCCTGATCCAGTGTGGGGTCCTCCATGGACTACATGGTTGGCCTCTGCTCCACCGTGGACCTCTATAGGGAAGGGCACAGCCTGCCCTCTCACCACAGGCTGCGGCGGAGGGGGTCTCTGCTCTGGCACACCTCCCTGCCTTCCTCCTCTCTTCCACTGACCTTGGTGTTCACATAGGTGTCCTCCACGCAACTCTTCTCCACATCTCCAACTCCTCCTCCCAGGTTCCCCTTCTTAAATACATTATCACAGAGGTGCAAGCACTGTTGCTAATTGACTTGGCCTCGGCCAGGGCTGGGTCCAACTTGGAGCTGGGGGAGCTTCAAGAAGCTTCTCACAGAGGGCCACTGCTGCAGCCTCCTCCCCTGTTTCCAAAACCGCCCCCACCACACACATAAACCCAGCACAGCCTGTTAGTAACCCAGCTGGATTGCACAGTGTGGGGCTGGGGTGGGACGATGCTGGGAGGGGACCATGCTACGAACAAGGATGCAGGCAGCAGCTCGGGCAGTGGGTACGAAATGCTGTGGGCAAGCGGTTCGTTGCCACGCTTCAGGAAAGGCACTGAGCTCCCACCCCGTGGGAGGGAAGCCCTCGTCCCCGTGCATGCCGTGGGCATGGGGAGGGCTGCTTTTACCATGCCCTGACCTTTCCATTGATAGGACTCCAATTTTGGTGGCTTTTTGCTGAAATTCTGTTGAAATGGCTGCAACTCTGTCTCAGGCAGGAGGTGAGGGGGGAAATCCCCTTTGTCCACGTTAGTACGTTGAAGACTTATTTGCCCTAAAAAAAGTCACCACTCACATGTACCCTACAAAGGTTCCTCAGATCTTTCACGGCACTTTTTCTGGAAGGATTTAGAGATCAGGCAAGGGGCAGCCCAGACCTTCCCTGAACACGCAGCTCTGCCAGTCGAGCTGAGTGTGAGGAGAGGATGGATGGGAAGCAAGAGGAGAAGAGAGCATGGCTGGTAAAGCCTGGGAAAACATCAGTGTGTTCCCTCCTGATAGGTCTCTAAGGGATGCTGTCAGCTGGATTTCAAATAAAAACCCTACAGCCACCACCAACGGAGCAAAAAAAAAAAAAAAAAGACAACCCAGAGAAATTGCCCATGCCTCCTGGCTTGCTTTTAATGAACAATATAAGTTCACCAAGCCAACCCACGTGCGGTTAGTAAATGCCAGTGAAGGTAGCCGTGGTAACCCTGATTTAGGCTGCCTTTGGCGTGCGTGGTAAGCAGCAGCCTTGCCTGCTGGTTTGCATGCCCTGGCCCCGGGCAGCGCGCAGGAGCAGCCTGCCCGCGGAGCAGGGGGGGTCCTGGGGATGGCTGCGGCTGCCAGGGGCTGTTCTGCTCCCCAAACTGGAAGGGAAAGGGCTGAGCCAGGCAAGGAGAGGCCGTGTGATAAAGAAACACTTTTTGGGGTGAAGAGAGGTAAAAACATTACTTTGGAAGAGGGGATGAGAGTCCTGGCCCCTGAGCCTGCTTGCAATATGCACGGGGATTCGCCTGAGCTAAGGCGCTCTCAGATGCCAACCCATTAATTTTTGCATTTCCCATTTTCTTTAGGGCAGACCTGTCTCTGACCCATGGAAACGGCCACATCTCCCCAGAGCCTCCGAGCTCTGACCAGGCTGATACAGTCCTTGCCCTGAGGCTGCCAGCATCGCAGCTTTGAATTCTCCAGCCCAGGTGATGCAAAGCATTCCAGAAACAAATCACATCTCCCAGCCCTAGTGGAAACCTCTCACCTTATTCCCTCCATATCTCAGCTCATTGCCTGCAAGGGGAGAAGCACGGATCCTGCAGGATAGATCTGTCCCCTCTGGGATGAGGCAGGGTCCCAGCAAACCGGAGCTGGGAGCTCACCTACCTAAGTGTGAACTCACATACAGAGGGTACGGCTGGGGCACAGACAGCCCGAGTTCAAGGGCTCCTTAACCTCTGAGTGCTCAGCCTTGCAGCTCTCACCGGGTTTGCTTAAGGTTGTTTCCTCCTGCGTAATTTGGACGGTGAGCGATGCTTGTCTCTTCTGACGTAGCATCTTGCTTTCTGCCGGGGCGTTTCATAGTTTCCAGTTCTTTGATGTCTCCTCTCTCCTTTTTTGAATGTTTTGCCGGTGAATGTCTGGATGCTGCCTACGCAAACCTGCGTGGCTTTGGGATGGCAGCTGCAAGAGCAGACCCAGAGACCCTGGCAGCCCCTGCAGCCCTGCCTTTCCCCCGCTCAGGTCTAAATTTTAAATTGGCTCAATCCAAATCCGTACTTGCCAGGAGGCTGCCCGCCCATGGACCACTCTAACAGCTCTCCATCACTCTTCTAACTCCCACATCTCTGTAGGAAAGTCAGTGTAATAAAGTTTTACCTCCAGCATACAGGCTAGAGCACCATGGGCCAAGCCAAACTGTCGCATTGCAGAGAGTCGGCACAGCAATATTTCCCCAGCTCTCATCTCTGAGCTGGGGAGATGCCTGCCCCAGGCACAACCCATCGGGGGCTGGGAATGGACTCAGGGGGGTGCATGGAAGCAAACCAGTGGGTGCAAACTGCGCTGGGGATGTGAGCTGGGGTCAATCCGAGTCGGTGGGGAAAAGAGAGGACGGTTGCCATCAGGTGTTCGGTAAGAGCTCTCACCAGTGAGGCTTTGGGAAGTTGGTTTGCATCACTGTTTGCAGAACTGAGAAACCCACAACGTGTCTGAACCTGAAACCAGGTCAGCAAAACACCTAACACAAGAAGATTTTCGGCACAAGCAGGGTGAGGGCGTTACACTTCACCCCTGAAAAAAAAAAAAAAAAAAAAAAGGCAATGCTGGTGCAATACTGCAGCTCAATGGGGACTTATCTAGGTGGAGGCCCAACCAACTATCGATTTTCTTTGGGGGGAGAGGAAATAATCAAAAAACGCCAAATGACAGTCAATTCAACAAACACACATTTCTGGGGAACAGAGAAGAACCAAACCCCAGCAGCTTGAAGGGCAAGATTTTGGACTTTCTTTAGTGTATAGTTATTTATTGCTTCCAGAAAAGCTTCGTGCAACGTGCGTGCACGTTCCCTACAGGTGTCATCACCGGGGCTGTGGTACCACATGTATGTAGTACTACCTGTGCTAGATTTCTCTGTCAGATGGTTTTCCACATCAGTTCAGGGCAGTACTTTGCAGGTATAAATTCCACCTCTGTGCTTTGCCTGCTGGCAAAGCAGACAGACTCCTCCTGTCCCCCCTGTGTCGGAGAAAACACGTTCAGGAGGACCTCGGACATCAAGGCAAGACAAAAATCCATCAGGTTGGACAGAGGGTGGCTGTCTGTCCAGTTTCCAGGTGATAATCACCCGTGTCGCTTCTCTGTGTCACCTTATGCACTGCAGGGAAGATGAGCACGGGGGACGCTGGCAACGGGACCTCTGCCACCTCCCCTCTCCTCGGGCTTCTGGTTTCAACCACCGAGCTGGTCCTGCCCAGTCCCGCATCCCCCGAGAAGGCAGACCCGCTGCCCATCATCGTCGCGCTCGTCTGCATCTTCCTCCTCCTGGCAACCTTCCTCATCTTTGTCACTCTCTGCAAGCCAGCGGCGCTGGACCAGTTCGGCTCCGGGCCCCGGGAGTGCATGCCCCATCACCCGGCGGATGCCAGCGAGCCCCGGCTGAGGCTCTGGAAGCGGCTGGGCTCCCTGCGACGCTCCATCAACACCTTCAGGAGGAGTCGGCCGGTGTCCCAAATCCAGCTCACCTGCCCCAGGAGCTCCCTCGCTAGCCAGGACTGGGCCACCGTGGAGTCCACCAAAATGTGATCCTGCTCTGTGGGAACTAAACCACCCCACCCCGCTATTCTTGCTCAAGCTTTTGGTTCAGGCTCAGTTCCCTCTTCCAACAGCCCACAGTATCCTGGGCATCCCGGCAGTGTCCCTCTGAGCAGCTCATTTCCAAGCAGCAGCTCTGCAAGGTGACAGCAGATTTTGCTGTTTCAAGTTCCTGAATGCTTTCCAGGTTACTGTTTCCTGGCAGGAAAGGTGGAGGCATCCGAACTCCACCCACACACAGCTATCACTGGGCAGTTCAAAAAATATTGCTGCTTAATTTCTTTTGGAAAACATCGTGCAAGTTGCGAGACACCTGAACAAACAGCCTGGGTGAGAGCAAAGCAACCTGGCTGCCTAACAAATACGGCCTTAAAGAGAGGCATCCCGGTGCAAAAGTGCTCCACAAAAAGCAATCCTCGGCTGAGATTGCCCCCTGAGATGTCCCCCTGAGCAGATGGAGGAAGGCTCGTGCCCCCTGCTAGTCCCTGTCTCCCCCCTCCCCATGCAACGAGCCGTGAGTTGCTGCGGTTGATGCTCGGAAGGATGCACGCTACAGCTGTCTGCTGGAAACCTGCTTCAATAAATGAGCAGCAGGAGCAGGTAAACACGCCTGTAAATACATTAAAGAGGCCTTTTGAAGCTCACAGCCGCTGCCAGCTTGGAAAGCCACCATGCAAGGCTGAGCTGCTCATTTCTGCTGGGAAAGGGTACAACAGCCAGCAGGTAATCTGATGTGCTTGAAGAAATCAGTAGGAAGAAGAAGAAGCGGTTTAAATCTTCCAGGTCTGCAGCTCACACTGCATTCAGCCATCATGTTCACCCCTTTGGGTGAAGTCTCCAGGCCCGGAGAGGCCCTGTGGTGAACACCAAACCCCATCTCTCTGGATTTCACGTGGTTTCTGACCCTTGCGAGGTGCAGCTCTGCATGAGGACCTCCCCAGGCTGCCTGGGACATTCCTGCTCTCCTCCAGCCCTGGGCTGCCTGGCTTTCAGAGAACGGGATGGGGGAAACCTTCCAAAACTCTTTTGTTGCCATGAGGATGTGGGGATGTATTTGAAGGGGGGAGAACTTTGGTACAAATGGTTTGCACTGAAGGTGTAAATTCAACTAAACCCAGGTGACTGCCCGTTTCCATTTCCCTCTGTTTTTGTTCTGTGGAAAACAAACTTCCCACAAATACTGGCTCTCTTTTGCCATGGGCTTCCAAGGGCATCTCCCTCTTTTGGGAAGCGTGCTCTGAGAAGAAGAACGTTGATGTCAGACTCGTGTTTCCTTCATTCACAGTCTCTCAACTTGAAAAAAAGGCTGCGTTTTAGGACATGGCTGGGCTCCTCTCTGCCTGCACAGCTCTGCCCTGGCTGCAGATGCCTGACCCCAGAGACAGGCGCGGTGCTACAGGCATCGTGTACACTGTACCCGTGGCACAACAGGTGACAAGGAGCCGCGGGGCTTGCGCTTGGGGACAGGCTGCCCCGAGCACCACGCACGGCTCCCAGCAAAGCTTTGTTGCGAGAGGCAAAAGGCTCCTTTCTTCTCTCCCGGTGACTCACCCTGCCATCGAGAGCCAGGGACAAAGCTACCCCTTTCCCTGTGATGGGAGAGGTATTCAAGGCAGGAGGAGCCTTCCCAGGGCCCTCTGCAAAGAGCCTTTGGTGCCCGCTCCAGAAGAGCCCTGGGTTTGAAGGGATGCTGGAAGCCCTCGGAGGCTGAGTGAATGCCTGCATTCATTCAGCGCTCACTGAGCCATTCAGCTCTGCCCACCGCTCCCTCAAAGAGGAACAAAAATGAAAGCAAAGTCCAAATGATTTTCTCCCTCAGTTCCAACCTCCCCCCCGCCCCCCCCCCCCAAGCATCTATGCACTCTTCTCCCTCCCCCTTGAGATCTCCGCTCTTGGCCCCTTTTCTGCTGGGAGGAGGGAGAAAGCAAGGATGCAGCCAGGCAAAGGGGCCTCGCCAACACACAGCTTGGGTTTTGCTCCTCTCACCCCCTGCAGAATTGGGGTGAATTTCTAATCGTTCCCTTGCGCTTTGCCGTCTTCTCCCCAGTGCTCACAGCCTGGGTGAGCAAAGGAGCAGAAGAGCTCACAAGCAAGAACACATCTTGCCCTGTCCCGGGGGAACAGACCACCAATGGGGAGAAAAAAATCTGCCTTGGGCTTCCTGCAGGTCACAGCCACGGTGTCAGGGCACGGAGAGTGGGGGACCCCCCCTTGCCCACCCAAGGGTCCCGGTGGAAGGGAGCCACGTGCCTGCACGATACTGCTGGCGGCCGGGATGTCCTCGGGGACGCTGACTTCATAGCTGCTCTGAAGGAAGATGGGTCGGTTGTCATTGACATCCAGGACGGTCACGTACACGGTGGCAGTCCCGGTACGGCGGTTCCCTGTGGGGCCGTTGTCTGTATGGGAGAGAAAGTCAAGGGGAGGTTTGGTCACCTTCATCTCCTCCTTGCACAGGTGGTGCTCAGCCTTTGGCTGCTGCAAATAACAGGACTAGAATTTCTAAACTAAAATCCTCCGTCTTTTCTGCAGCTTCCAAATCTCACAACTAGAATTTCTGAACTAAAGTCCTCCGTCTTTTCTGCAGCTTCCAAATCTCACACTGAACCGCGATAGTTTTTTTCTGCCTATCCTGAAAGAAAAAGTCAAACCACTCCCAAGCTCTGCCATGGAGCCACTGCCCAGCAAGGCTGGAAAGGCAGCCGGTCGTTAAAGAGGGTTTGCAACTCCATAGATAAAGAGGGTGATGTATGCTGGAAGGGGCTGCTGGAGCTCAGGGATTTGGGAGGTGAAGACGGGCAGGGGTCTGCTGAGTTTTCTGTGGACCCAGATCAGCTCGCAACCAAACAGCACCGGGATGGGCTGGTGTTCAGTGGAGAAGGACACAGCGGTGCTGCTCCTCTTGGTTTTGCCATGAAGGATGGGGCAATGGGGAGCATAGGTTGGGTTTGGTTTTTCCAACACACCCGATGCAAGGGAGCGCTAAACCCACCCAGCTGGGATCTGGTGACTGGGGAAACACGGGCAGCCTGGTACCCACCGGAGGGGCAGAACGGTCCCTTTACTGCTTGGGATCCGGTTCTGCGTGCCCAGCCAGTGCAGCATCCCCACTGCAGACCCTGTGACACCTGCAATGCCGTGCCCCCGAGATTTCTGACCAGGCCACTTATTTCTCCTTTCAAAAGGGACGTCCAAGTCTTCTGTAAACAGGCACATCATTATAAAACCCCGGGGATGACGGCCAAGATGCGTTTGGCGTGCGGGCCCTCTGCCCGTGCCAGGTGGCTCTGGATTAATTGTCATCCACTGAGCCAAGGGCTGGCAGGGTATTAGGGGAACGATGCTGTGGCACTGGCCTTTCTGGGTGGAGGTCGACCCCAGGCAGCATGGAGCCCCTTGGGAATGGCAGGGGGGTGGGCTTGCCTTCCCCAGGGGAAGAGGAAAGCCCTGGGGCTGGGTGAGCCTGCGGGGTGAATTTACCGTCTGCAAAAGTCGTGGTGGAAGCGGGACATGCTAATGCACGTGGGTTGTGAAATGCTAACACCGAACGCGGGCCCTGGTTTATAGAGCAACCTCAGAGGTTGCCGTCTCTCTGGTGGGTGCCCGAGGCAGCTCGGCACGTTGCACGGCCACCCCGCGTGTCAGCGGCCCCACGGGAACGGTGGGAAATCCTTACCGATGGCCTCCACGATCAGCGTGTACGACGCCACGGTCTCCCTGTCCAGGCTCACGACTGTCCTGACCACCCCATCCCGGAAGCCGACGCTGAATTTGCCGTCCTGGTTCCCACCTGCAGCACAGGATGGGGACCGGGTTACCCCTCTCCTGGACGCAGGGAGCAGAGCCCAGGCTGCCGGGGATGCTGCAGCCTGGGCGTGGGGTCAGCCCGGCCATGGAAATCACAAGCGCTCCGCCTGCCCTCCTGAAGGGCTGCGTTTTACAGGGTTTTGAGCAAGGCAAGTGCAGGGCAAGCTTGTATCTCTTCCTAGGCAGAGCTTCTCTAAAGCACAAGTGGGCAGAGAGCTTTCTCTCCGCCACATCAAATGCCGTGCCTGGTTCACAGCGCAGGCAAGGGGCGACGGTTATAGGAAAAGATGAATCATAGAAATGCCAGGTCGTTTCCTCAATGCTTCGGAAGCAAACTGAGGTCACTTTGCATGCGGCCTGCTGTACCTGTGGGACAACACACACCTTTTCTCTTGCAAGGGGGGAGGCTGGATGGGCCGTGAGGTGAAACGTGAGGCTGCTGTTGTTGTGAGAAAAACGTCTCTCCGGTGACGCTTCTATTTTTGCCCTCTTCCTGAGGGCTAAATGCCGCCTCTGCGGTTTGCAAGTCAAAGCGTGGCCAAGGGGCTTCCCCGGCCTCCGGCTGCAGGTGCCGCAGCTGCGGTGCCAGCCAGGCATTGCCAGGGCAGCATCACTGCCCGCCTGCTCCCTGCCCACCCCAACCCACCCGCCCGCCCTGCTACGAGACGCCCTAAAACTCCAGAGGGGCTTCCACCCATAAATGCACATTATGCAGACGCCGCCCTGGCCCTCGCTCCCCGGTGGTGTCAAGCCCATCCTTGTGTTTTTCCTGGCTGCATCCCAGAGGTGTGAGAGGGCAGGGGGGGATGCCCTGGGGGTGAGGGTCCACCGCGAGAAGGGCAAGGAAGAGCAACGGGGCGGTCAGCAAGGCGGGGAGCCAAGTGGGGCTGTTCGGCAGAGGGCGATACCGCCTAAGGTTTGGAGGGGCTGGAAAAGGCAGCGCTGACGTGCAGAACACCCCGGCCAAGGTCTGGGGCAACCCACTCCTTTCCACAACTGAAGCTCCCCTTCGCAGCGCTTTGCGAAGGGTTCGTACCGGTGATGAAGTAGCTGAGCTCAGCATTCAGCCCAATGTCAGCATCCGTGCAGTTGAGCCGGACCACTTTGAAATCCCGGGCCACGTCTTCAAGCAGTGACACGTTGTAGACGGCTGGGAAGAAGGTGGGGTTCTCGTCGTTCACGTCCAGAACTGAAAGGAGGAGCAAGAGCTGAGTGCCTGCCCAGGGCTGCCCCTCCTGCGGATGCCAGGCTGATGTCTACACCATGCTCCCAAAAAACACCTGCCTACTGCTCCCAGCATCCCGGGGAACACTCTGCCTGCTGCTCCCTGCCCTCTGGGTGCCTGCAGACCAGCTGTAAGGACTGATCCCCACAGCTCCAGGCTGTATTTGCTGCCCTCCGATACATACCCATCACACCCCGTGTGTGAAGAAACCCTACAGAACTGGCGTGAACACTAACTTTAATCACAGGCTCATTTCCATCCCCATTCAGAGGAAAATCTGGGTCTTAAATATAAGCTCAGTATTTCCTGGGCATATGGTAGAGGGCTCTGGGATTACAGGACTAGAAACTTCCTTTTCCAAACCCAGGACTGAGGAGAATCCAGGCTCATTTTTTTTTCCCCAGATGATGCTTATCCTCAGCCCTAGGCTTGTGTGAAGCCAGTAAATAGAAATGCATGAAATTAAAGGCAGGCCACATAATAAGAGTCTTAGTGCATTTCCTATATAAACCACATCTCCCCCCTGGTGTTCTTGTCATCTTTTTGGGACCAGAGCAGGGTCTGCAGCTGGGAAGGGCTTGGGAGGGGTGTCAGAGCACCCACCTTTGACGGTCAGGGTGTTGGTGGAGCTCTTGGAGGGGACGCCGGCATCGCTGGCCACCACCCGCAAGTAGTACTCGGCGATGCTCTCCCTGTCCAGCACGGTGGTGGTGGTGATGAGCCCGCTGGTGCTGTTGATGACAAAATCCATGCGGGGCATCCCCACCTGCATGCGGTACGTCACCTGCCCGTTCGGACCCTCGTCCAGGTCGATGGCCACTACCTGGCAGGGAGAGTGGAGGGAAGGGGTGAGCATGGGGGGAGCCCCCTCGTCCCCCGACGATAAAAATCACAGTACTTAAACCTTCCGCGTTTCTTTGCCCCCCGGGGATGCTGGGCTCAAACAAAGGGACCTCAGAGCATCCCCCCCTCCCCGTGCTGGGAGCAAGCACAGGGGGGTGGGATGCCACAACTCCTTCTGCATTCCCACCCCCCCTCCCCGTTTGCATGGCTAGAGGATGGAGAGGACGTATTGCTAGCTTGCTTTGCAGAAGCGACGGCAGCGACGGGACGTGGGGCACGGAGGCAACGGGACGTGCTCACCTGGAAGACAAAGGAGCCTGCGGGAAGGCCCTCGGAGATCTCGGCAACGGAGGGCAGGTTTTGGAAAGTGGGGTCGTTGTCGTTCAGGTCCAGCAGGTTGACGAAAACCGTGGCGCTGCTGGTAGCTCGCAGGGGTGGCCTCCCGCCTGTGGGGGGGCCGGGAATGGGGTCTCGAGGTTAATGCCTTGAGCTGTTTCCACTCCTTTCCCCCTAAAAAGAAGCCCTCGCTCCCTATGCAGACAGGAGGGCAGGGTGGGGCTGGCCCCTCGAGGCACTGACCTGTCCGTGTTAGCCCTTGCACCCCAGCCCGTCGGACTAACAGCACAGTCCCCGGGCAGGGGAAAACTCTCCCTGGCAGCAGGCACACAAGGCAGACCGATGGCTACCTGTGCGTGCAGCTGAAAATTAAGAGCAACACCAGTCTGTGGTTATCTCTGTCTTTCTGGCAGCACAGATGAGGCAATGGCTTTAGCACAGGGCAGGGGTGATGCAAAATTAGAAAGGGGCAGAGGTAAGGTTTATGTACCTCCTTTGCTCTTGGAAACAGGCTGGATAATAGAAAATTATCTTCATAGCTCTACCCTTTTGTCCTAAAAAAGTTTCCCTAAGATACTCTATCTAGAGAAAAATACATTTCACCACTTGATCGGCTCTTTTCCCCGCACTGCTCATTCGACTTTCCTTGATACTGAGAGAGCCAGGCTGAGAAGAGGGGGAGTTTCTGCCTCCCAGGCTCATTGTCAGGGCTTCTACAGAAATGGCTGCGCTCGCACTTTGAAGGCTTCTGGTTTGTTTTAGCAGCAGGTTTTAACCTCCTCTCATCCTGTAACCTCCAAAACATCTTTGCAACTTATGCTCAAAACAGGGAAAAAAAACCCAACTTCATCACCAAGGAAAAAAAAAATCCGGCTGAGAAAAGCTCAACTCAACACGCGGAAACCATCAGGGAGGGAAAAGCAGGGAGGGGGTGAGGAGGGCGACGCCTGCACGACCCGAGCCCCAGCGATTCCTAGCTACGGCCGAGCCGGACAAACCACGGCGGCAAAGAGGAGCGGGGCTTACAGTCAGTGACCGACACCACGATCCGGCGCATGAGCTGGGCCTCCTGGGGGTTGGGGTTCTCGCGGTCCAGCAGAACCCCGCTGGTGCGGATCTTGCCCGTGGTGCTGTTGAGGGTGTAGAATTTGTTGGGGGGTCGGATGCTGTACACCACCGTGCCGTTCTCGCCCAGGTCCGGGTCGACAGCCACCACCTGCCACAGAGAAACAGCAAAACTTAAAGCGGGGCGAGGGGAATTAGCTCTCACAGTGCGTCCCCATGTATATTCACCGGTGTCTAATAATGAGGCTGAGCCGCCAGCAGCAGCAAGAAGTCCTCCTTCCTCCACACAGCTGTATATTTTCATGATGCTTGCAGGGATTTTGTACCCTCAAGACCTCTACTGTGGTGTTAAATCTCACTAAAATTGGCCTGCAAGCCCTGGAGGTAATGGCATGGCAAGAGAGACATGAGCATGCAGCAAGCAAACGGGCTTTTCACCTTTTAAACAAAACCAGCTAGAAAACAAACACCCTTCAGAAAAGCTAAAATAAACGGGAGAAAGAGGCACGCTGAGGAACTTGGGCTGCCACATTGGAAAAGCTGGAAATAATTCACTGGTGGAGCTCTCCTCCACGCCAGACATTCTGTGCTTTATTGTTCTCCCTGTGACATTTTTAATTACAGAGGACATTTACATTAAAAAACCCCCAACTTCATTACACATGTAACTTCCCCAGCCCCTGCTGCTTGTCCCACAGCTGAATTTACATCGTATCGGTGACACAATAATTATTTCCCCAGCAACTAATTGGGATGTCAAAGGCAAGATGACTTCAAGCAGGCACCGAGCAGCAGGGTTGGTGTTGCACGGAAGAGAGAAAACCACCATGCTCTAGCTTGGGCTGTGCTGCCAGACCCTTCTTCCCCCTCCCAAGCCCTTTTCTTTTGCAGCCTTCCTCCTTATATGAGTTTGTGGATTCTCTTCACTTTTCCCTCATTTATTTTCCGTTTCATGCCCGTCATTTTTCTCCTGGCGTGATGGAGTACAAGCCTCCCTCTCTCCTTCTCTTTTATTTCACCAGAGGGACTTGAAAGGCTGTAAATCAATGTCTTTCAGAGAGGTCCTTGAAGGAGGTCACAGGCAAGGCTAAGAAAAGGAGAATTTGGCCAAAACCCATGCAATTTGGAGAGAAAAAAAAAAATTTCCCAGCGGAGAGGAGAAACACACGGGATGGGCAGCAGCAAGGAGGCTCAGGAGTAGCCTTTTAAATGGACTTCTGCAAGATGGTGCTTGACTGGAGGTGACACCGGTTCGGAGGTGACTCCCTGCTCCAGCCAAGTGGGTGACGACCTCGTTGGGTGAAAGGAAGAGGCTTTTAGCACAACAGCTGCCTTCCCTCGCACATACCGTGGTGACGTCTGAGTTGGGGGGGGTCATTTCCACCAGGTTAATGAAGTATGGCTCATCCTTCCATGTGGGATAATTGTCATTGATGTCCAGCAGCGTGATGTTGACCTGCGGGGGAGCAAGCAAGCAAGGCTGCATCAGGATGCGTCCCCCGTGGGTGTACAGCAGCACCAGGTACTGAACGCGTGTTCACCCTCTGGAGGGAAAACCTGCAGGAAAACAACCTCCTGCATCTTCACAGCCAAGGCTCCTTGGCATATCTGATCTTGGTTGGGCTCAGGTGTACTTATTACCCTGCAGTTAAAACAACCGCAGGGGCACAAGGTGTGTTTTCAAGCAGCCACTGCACTGTGGGGAGGGGGGGGGGGGGATGCAAATTGGTCACGGTGGTGGGGGAGAGGGTGCGGTGGGAACATGGCAGGAAAGGAAGGAAAAAGCTGAGTGACTGGTAAAAGGCAAAAAACCCCAAAGGAATAAATGAGAAATTGAGAGAGGGTATGATAACAGGGAATGGGAGGTGCAAAGACAAGAGAGCACGGGAGAGGACGGTGCCCTGAAGTGTTACCTATCTCCAGAAACAGCATCTAAGTGACAGCAGAGAGCCTGTCGGATGCATCCTGTTGTCTGTGAGTCTCTCACCTCCCCACATCACCCATTTCAATCCAGCCTGTGAGTCTATAAAGGCGCCCGAGGGAAGAGCTGCGGTTTGAGGGAAGGGGATGGAGAGGCAGGAGGGAGCCCCGGCGCTTGCCACCCCCACGCAGGGTGTCTCAGTGGAGGTTCTCTGGGGGTCTTCTCTGCTCCCAAGTGATGGGGTCCTGCCGCCGGACCAGGCTGAGCTGCTGGTGACACCCCGTGGTAGAAGAGGTGAATCTGGACACCGCAGTCTCCAGGGATGTGCCCAGGGCACAAGCTAAGGCACCGCCGTGGTCCCTGGGGCAGGTCGGTGACCCACCTCTGCTCCAAGCACCCCAGGTGCTTGTCCATCACCTGGGGACCTTGCAAAGCCCCTGAATGGACCCTTATTCCCACATCAAAAATGATTATAGGGAACAGCTTTGAGTCCTGGGTGTATAACCTTGTTAATGACAGCAGATAAACTTAACTGGCCATCTACTTCTCCCTGAGTTTTAATATTCTTTAACTTTTTAAGAACCACGATGCTTTTTTTTTTTTTTTTTTCCTAATTGCAATCTGTGTTGCAAAAAACTTGTTTTGCCTTTCAATAAAGCTACTAGGAGAACATAATCTCACCTGGAGCCCCAAAGGGAAACCCAACATCTGGCAGGCCATGCTGCCGCCCGGCCAAGGCCGTCATGTGCCTCTGGGAGGTTCCACAGGGAGCTTCTAGTCTGCTACCTGGATCATCCACGTCCTGACGGCCCTCAGCATTAGTGACAATTATTTTAAGAATTTCCCCAGCACAACCACAATATTTCTCTGCATCGCCCGCTGTTGCGTGAAACACCTCTCCTGCAACCCAACCGAGTGTCCCAGGAACAAGAGCACCCAAATATTATGGAATGTTCAAACCAACACGGTGCCATGACTAGTGAGAGATGGATCCCTGGCTTTTGACCTCCTGATGTTTCCAAAGACTTCTACAAACCCTTTGCAAACAATGGGTCTCCCTCCCTGACATCTGCAAAGGCAAGGCAAAGGAGTAGGTTTTGATCTGCCGTACAATGGCCACCAGAACCTTCTGAGGAGCCCAGAGATCACAAACCAGTTGGAAACCGTTGACCCAGGCAGTATGTGAATAGTAGTCATCAGGAACAACTAAGGGCACCTGCAGGGTCTCCAACTAAGCATTTTCTCAAGAGGCATGAACAAAGGGAGCCATAGTGCAGGTGGAATAGGCACCCGTTACTGCCTTTGCACGGAGAACTGGACATGTAAAGCTCTAGAAGGTCAAGTGGCTCCTGGGTGAATGGCTTACCAGGAAAGGGAGCCTGATTTCAAGATCTACACAGCCCAGACAGTCATTCAGCAAGGGCTGTGAGCAGCGGTGGGGGCAGCTCAGAGGGCAGACACGACCGTATGCTCTTTACCCATTCACACAGCTAAAATTAAACGCTGCTAGCATGGGGAACTGAAGCGTCGGTGCCTGGGCAGCCCTCCCCAGTACCAGCCCCAGGCGGGCACCGGCGGCTCAAGAAGATGGGAGTCGTTCCATCCCACACTCACCATAGCAATGCCTGTCTTCTGGTGGTGGCCCACGCCTCCATCCACTGCCCGGACGATGAGGATGTATTCGGCTTTGGTCTCTCGGTCCAGCAAAGTCGTCGTGGTGATTTCTCCTGTAGCCCCAGGAGATGAGAGGGATTAGAGAGGCTGTATGGCGAATAGGGGCACCGGTGCAAAAAAGGGACACTTAAAACTTAAGAGACAGGATCCTTCGTGAAGGGGCCCTTTCCTCTGATGCAGTTTCAAACAGATGGATGCTGGAAAGGGTCAGCTTGCCAGCAAGCTCCTGCAAACTCCATGCTGTGTCTTCCCACGGGAGCCTGTGAAATGACTGCCTGTGATCCCTTTTGCTTGCTCCTGCCCGTAACGAACTGAAAAAGATGCTGGCAAGGGAAGGCAGGCAGCAGCTCCTTAGCTAGTGTAAGCCCTTCCAGCCAAAGCCTTTTCTCAGGTGTCAGTCCCACCAGGAGCCAAGCTTCCACCGATGCCTTTGCCAAAGCTCTCATGGTGACTGAGCGAGTGCTGGTGGCTGAAATCTGGCAAATCCCTTAAACTCGGTATCTCCTAAGCAGGCTGCTTGGGGGAGAGGAGGGAAGGACGGGGGAAGGAGTGAGGGTGAAAGAGGAAAAACGATGGGGGAGAAAAGCAGGGGAAATTCAGGAGAGGGAACTGAAAGGAAGAGCGTGTACAGAAGCTAACCTGAGCGAGCATTGATCCGAAAATGTGAGGAGCCCTCCAGGGAGTAGATGATTGACTCCTGCCCGTACTCCCTGGATCGGTCCAAGTCCGTGGCATTGAGAAACAGCACCGTGGCTCCTTGGAGGGAAGCAGAACCGAGGGCTGTGATGAGGCATTTGCAGCCCAAAGTGGGTGTCCCCAGCTGCCCTGTCCCCTAACCCACCGCTCCTGCACCCACCCCAAACGGGGCACCTGGACAAAGGGTCCCCTCACCTGCACGGGGCCAAGTCTCCAGGTCCCATGACTATGAAACTCTGTTAGGTCTATGGCTTTTGCCTCCCCCAAAAGCCATCACCAACCCAGTTCTGCCTGTGAGACCCCACCCCGGGCCCTTCTGATAGCCTGAAGAAGGAACAGGGGCATGCTCCGTACCTGCCATAATGTCCTCCACGACAGTTATCATATAGGAGGGCTTGCTGAACGTGGGGGGGTTGTCGTTTTCATCCTGAAACAAAGAGAAGGTTGAAAGGCTGGTTGGGAGAAAGGCAAGATGGTCAAGCAGCCACAAAAGCCTGGTACTGGCATGCTCCTGCCCAACTGCATCTCAAAAACGTGACCAGCTCAAGGCATCAGCGTGGGGAAGCTGGCCTTATGGGCAAGGCACCGGAGGTGTGAGTACCCAGATTCACTGCAGAAACAGCTGAAGTTAAAGTAAGTCAGCTGCCAGTGATTTTGCTGAGCCAGACAGTGAGGACAATACTGACTATCTCATCGTCCCATTGTCCAGTGGCTCAGCACTCCAGGTCACCTCGGCCATGATGCCACCAGGCAAACTGGGCTGGCCAGGGCAGCTGCTCAGCTTTTGCTGCCTTTGCTTAAGTGGAGGAATGCTGGAGGTGTTTGCAGACCAAGCAGCTACAGCATTTTCAGGGGAGGAAGCTGGTTTGCATAACATGTTCCCTCCAAGACTGTCTCTGCCAGCGACTACGGCCAGCCTGGTGAAACCAGGCAGGAGCAATTGCTCGAAACATCCCTCCAAACAGATTTCGGACAAGTTTAAAGCTCCCCCAGGGGGGCTTTAAATACTGTTTAAACATTGTTAAGAATCTGCCTTAAATGAACCAAACCCAACCGCTCATGGAGGGAAGGAGGGAGCTACCAGGACATTAAAACACCGTTATGGACTTCGCTGCTTCCCTGGGGCTGCTCTGCAGATGTTTTCTACCTGGAGGCTGCTGATGGACCTGCAGGCTCAGCTGCTCCTGCTGCCACTGAACTTGATATTTGAGGCAATTTCACATGCCAACGATGCCCATCGTACTGCAATTAAATTACCCTCCTCTGCTCTTGTTGCTGGAAGCAGGTGGTCTTTAATCAGCCTTTGCATCACTCAGCTTTCATCACACCTCCTCCGAGGGTAGTAAGGAAATTGCCGGATGCCCCGGGGTGCTGTCCTCACCATCCCTCCTCCTCCTCACAGAGCCGGGTTGGGGACATCACCCCAGGGCAAACCCTGGAGGTCTGGGCAGGTTAAAGGCAAAGGAAGTGGAGAGGCCGAGCACGCATCCACATGCCACCTGCAGCTGGACCTGGGCAAGCTGCGCCGTGGTTCAGGCTGGATGGACGCAAGCCGGAGCAGACGTCACGCCGTTCCGTTAGTGGTCCTGAGTTCATCAGGCCATGCTCAGCACCGCCACGGCCCGGCAAGCCAGCTCTCGGGGCTGCAGGGCCATGCTCCTGGCCGGCTTTCCATCTGGCTGGAGCTGGCATCCACCTGCCCGCCGGGCGGCATGTGGCTTTTCTACTTGAGAAGGACATTTCCCACCCCAAAGCTCCCTGCTGCAAACCTCCCCGCGTGCCTCCCGCGGCACCCGCAGCGATGCCAGGCAGGAGCTGGCACCGCTTCCTCCCCTCCCATGGGAGAGGCCATCCAGCTAAGCAAACAGCTCCCCACGTTCCCCTGACCCTCAGCCTTCCTCCCTACATCCTCACCCTCAGACAGCTACCATATCACCTGCAGGGGTGCCGAGAACCACAGCTGCTCGCACTAAGCACACAACCCCCCCTTTTCTTCCAGACAGACGCATGCTATAAGTCGCTGGCTCGTCGCCCCGATCGGGGCGTCAGTGGCAGGGAGCGAGGCAGAAACTTATTAGCGGTGATATTTCCCCGGATCCTGGCATGGCACGCGCGCGCGCGCGCTATTAGTTCTGATTCGGCAGCTCCCTCTACAAAAGCGTATTGTCCCCTAATGGGAAATCTACAAGGCGAGTTTGACTTCTTTATTAAAAACCAACAACCAAAGGATGAAAAAAAATTACCTCCCTCCACACTCGCTCTCATTCTGCCTTTGCACGGCTCTTGTTCCTCAAGTGCTGTCGTGAAATTTTCTCCTCCTCATTTTCTTCCTATTTTCTGCCTTTTTTTTTTCCCTGTCTTTTTCCAGTTGAGAGAAAAGCCCTTTGGCTGAGAGTGGGAAAAGTGACAGCTACTTAAAACCCACCAGTGTGCAGACTCAACCCGGAGGAGATGACCCACTGAAGTGTGGTCTTTGGAAAGAGGTGTTTATGCTGTCTATAGCACAGTGTGGGAAAGATGTATTTAGCCACTACTAACCCCCCTCAGCACTGCCTTATTCCCCCTCTCCTGAGCACAGTGAGGGAGCTGGAGGAGAGGCCTGCTCATAAGACTTCATTCCCATCCTATGGCACCGTGGACTTCATCATCTTCGCCTTCCCAGACTGACACTGCCACCAGCCTGGCTTAGATCCCATCACTGCGAGACTGACGGGTTATCAAGCAAACTGTCTCCACTGCTGATACCTCCCAACAGACGTCTTCAAACCACAACGTGCCTCAAAGTGACAGTCCGATCTAATCTGCCCAGGGAATGCTGCGATGCTTTACTTCTCCCAGCAGCTACCCCTCCTCGAGGGGGTTTGCACCTATGCCGGTGCGTGAGATGCATGGCAAAGCCCATAGCCCAGCCAGGACAGCCGGTGTTGGGGAGATAAAGAAGCAAGTGTCTATGATTCATTCAAGGACTGATAATTTCTGACACTACATGTGCTAACGCATAGCCAAGCTCTCTCCTCTGCATCTGAGCTGCAGCGAGTGCCTCTGGCTACAGGCATGGAGAGCATCCCAGCCAGGAGGTCCCTGTGAGCGGAGAGAAGGGCTCACCAGGTGCTCAGTGAACCTCCCCAGGCAAAAACAAGGGCAGGGGGTCGTTCTCCACCCTGTCCCCAGCTCTGCTCCTCACCCCCTGGTTAGCTGTGGCTCCTACCACGCCACTTCCAGTGGCTTCCCTGTGCGTGGTGCACGGCTGCGGACAGGGAGGAGGTGCGTGGGGTCAGGACAGCCCGTCTGTGCGTGGTGACACCCCCCTCAGAGACACTCTCACTCACCCTCCATCACTCAGACTTTACCAAACGTCAGGGACAGTGTTTCTTTAACCAATATGTATGACACATATGTACGTGAGACATATATGACATATTTATCTATGAGACACATGTAATTGCAATCCCCGGGTGGGACAGTCTAGCTGAGTTATTGGGGAATTAATGTCACTGCTATGGAGTAACTGCAGGGAAACCACCACAGGATCACTGGGTGCTGTACTTACAAACACCTCGATGGTGACGGGGACGGTGCTGTTGAGCGGTGGGTTGCCGGCATCCTTGGCCATCACAGTTAGGTAAATGACCCCGTTGTCCAGCTGCTCGTAGTCCAGGGGGTGGTTCACGCTGATCACTGAAAGGATGCAAAGCGGGGCGGTCAGGGGAACGTTCACACACCAAGGAGGACCCAGGTGGCCCATCCACACCACCTCCCCAGGGCCAACAGTGCCTGCTCGAGGTGGCAGCGCCCCGAAAACACAAGCACAGGGCATTACTGAGCTCCTTGCACAGGCGTAACCCAAAGCGAGCCACACGCCCACAGAAACACAGCTCTGCAGCAGCTCGGCTCAAGCCCTGCTGCAAAGGAGCATGCTGCTGGGGAGGTCCGGACAAGCAGAGGAGATGCTGGAACAGCTTTTTAAAGCTTGCTGACATGGTCGCTTGCAGGAGTGCGAGTGCAGCCCGAGCTGCTGCTGCTTGCCAGGGGCACCACGATCCCAGGACAAGTGCTTACCTCCGTACCCTTCTGACACCGTGATGTCAAAGTACTCGCGGAAGGCAGACGCCTCCACGATGCTGTACGTGATCTGGTTGTTTGGAGGGGAGTCCTCGTCAGTTGCCTAGAGCGTGATCAGAGGGAGTAAATGAGCAGGGGAGCTGTGCTGGCGTCGTGCAGCGGGAGAGAGCCGAGGGGACGGGAGGTGCAGGCTGGGCGCAGGGAGAGTGGAAAAGTGATGGAGGAAGATGCACTCCTCAGGGGTCCCGAGGAGGCTTGTAAACCAGCCTCTCCTCCAAATCCGGCCTCCCAGGAAGGACTCACTGGGTCCCCCACTCCTGCCTCCCTGCAGCACTCACCCAGCCTGGCCCCACAGAGGGAAAGTAGTGTTTTTGCATCATAGCAAAGTTTATTCTTGTGCTGAAGGAGCGAACAATCTCCCCTATCTGCCTTCCCTCCACAGCAGAGGCGTAGAGCTCCATCAACAGAGCACCTTCCACTCGGTGCCTGCTGACTTTATTGAGAAGGGCAAGGCGACACGGAGGCAGCGCCTCTGCCCTGGGAGAAGCCCCAGGACCTGGGGGTGCTGTATAGGCGTGGGATGTATAGGAGAGGAGAGGAGGAGGGAGGCAGCCCACGGCTGCAGCACCACCCAGTTGCACTTTGCGGTAAAGCACGAAGGATTTCTCAGGAGGACGGCAGCAGGGGTGGACAGGAACCTAACCCGCTCGCATGTCCCCACCACGCATCCCGAGCGGAGGAGCAGCTCCGGTCCCTCACCCGGAGCCGGACCACCTGGGAGACGGAGGGCTCGTTCTCCCGCAGGGCCCCCAGGTATGCCTCCTTCTGGAAGGTGGGGACGTTGTCATTGACGTCGAGGATGTTGATCCTGACGCGCCCCGTCGTCTCCTCCCCGCCGCCGTCCCGGGCGATGACGGTCAGGGTGTAGCGCTGCATGATTTCGAAGTCCAGACGAGCTGTCAGGATGATTACACCCGTGTCCTTGTCCAGAGAGAAACTGAGGGGACAAGAAAGGAGGGGGAAAGCCCTGGTGACCACACGCTGGAGATGGAGAGATGGGGTGGCAGCAGCCTGACAGCTAGCACCGCGGTGTGTAAAGTTCATGGCTTTCTTCTGAGGGGTATTAGGTCCCAGAACATCTTTAAGAGCTCGGTGCAGGTGGTGGGGTAGAAGCCCTCAGTGTTGCTCTACAGGCAGAGAAAGTGGGCTCAGAGGCTCCCAGATCCCTTCTGCTGGGCAGCCCCCATGCCTCCCCCAACCACACACCACGAGTGGGTTGCATGCAATGCTCCAGGGCCAGCAACTCTCTGGCAAAAACATTTATCGGTCCCAAGCAACGCTGGTGCCTGTAGGTCCTGATTTAGCAAAGCGATTAAACACGCTGAGCATCAGGCATGTGGTAAAGTTAACTCCCCTCTTTGGGAGACAGCGTAGTGGGATTTTCATAGGGTATCTTGCACATAGGATGTAATAAATGCCCTTAATTGCCTTTGTAGTGAGGTTAGAAGAGGATTTTGAAGAATCAAACTCATGCTGGTGGTTCAGTCACACTTACTGGTCAGGGTCATCGCTGAAAAAATAATTGACTTTCCCATACGTGCCCACATCATTGTCAGTTGCCTGAAAAAAAAAAAAAAGTTAATTAATAAATGAAGGTATTTATGAGAAAATTGCATTACACACACTGGTGAATCCATTACATCCTCTTTACCTCCTCCTACTCAGGTGCCAGTGGGCTAGCAGGAGTGCAGACCTTATGTGCTGCCTTTTATCCCCCCGGGAGATGCGGGGCTGGGGCTGTCTGTGCTCGCCTGGGTTATCCTGTGCATCCCCAACTCGCAGACCACTCTGGGTCACAGCCCTCCATCGACATCTCTCAGCAGCACTTCCAAAAACTTTGGCATGGAAAATTTTATGTGCACATACTTTCCCTGACATACTAAACTAATCTGGGAAGCACATGTGAAATAAAGGTCTGTTCCGACCCAGACCGGGAACCCAGGAAGTCGTAAAGGTTTTGTGAACCCCTTGGGTTAAATTAAAGTGAAACGACACCAAATGACAGGTTAAAATGTTTTACTTGCGGTAGAAGCAATTTAAACTTGGAAAAGGGTAGTAAGTAATGTGGTCTCTTATTGATAAATCTATAAGAAAGAAAATAAAGGAAAGGAAAGGAGAGAAAGAGAGAGAGTAAAAGAGTCCAGTTCACCACCCAGTTTCCAGCACTTTCTCAGGTCCCGTTATCTTGAGTGGTGGGTGCACCCCCAGTAAAGTTTTCTGTCACCTTTTAAGTTCATCTTTATCAGCTGATTAGCATAGTAGACAGAGAGGCAGGTATTCCACGAGCTCATTCCCATGAGAGATGAGGAAAAGGTGGAACACAGGTTCTGCACGTGCATTGAAGGGGAATGGGGTGCACCGACCCCCTTGCCGATGGAGTCAGTGGTCATGCTTGTCCTCCCAACCTTATTTTTTCCTCAGTTTTTGCTTAGGTCCATCTGGTACTGGTTATTTATCTCTCTTATTTGTCCTTTAACCCGAACATATGGTTTCACTCAGTCCACCTTTCCCTCCTTTGGGTCTTATCTAAGGAATTTGGCAATACAACGGCAAGGGAGTGAAGCCGTGCATCCTTTGATACACTCCACGCTTCCTTGGACAGGGTTCCTTAGACTAATCACAAAGGCCACAGCTTGTCACAAGTTTTCCGTGTCGACGCATGTTTGAAGCATTAATTCCTTCAGTTCCTTACAAGGTCTTCACGGACAATTCTTGCAGCCCCTGTGAAGCCCAAGAGCCAGGACTCTGCACGCACAGCCCTTACCGTTCGTTGCACATTCAAGGCTGACAGTACACCCGGGGCTGCGGGGAGAGAAATAAAAACCTATCCTGCTTCAAAACTCCCCTCCCCAGGCTAAAAAACAGACCTGGGAAAGCAAGAAAAGGGATTTAGACCTTGCTTTCTGCCAGCAGCTCCTGCTGGATAGCCCTTCTGAGGGTGCAACCCCATGGATGGGCTGCTGCCTCTCGGGATGCAGCGGTGCCGGCTCCCAGCCAAGCTGCTGGGCTGGACGCACGTCCACCACCGCCAGCTGCCGAGTGGGCTGGGGTGGGCTGGTCACGGGTGAGCAACCAGCACCTTCCGGGGAAGGTGCGCGAAACGCAGCGTGTCAGCTCTGGATGAGCAAGGCAAGATTTATGCATGTTTTAAAGTCTTTCCTCTAATGAATATATAAAATATGCATGAGCGGCAGCAGGAAAAAGGAGCAGAAAATTTTATTTTTAGGTGAGGAAAGTGGAATGCAAGCCCCAAAATATCCTTCTTCACCCCCAGTATATTTTCTAAATTGAGTCCTGTCTGGATTACTTAGACACCAACAGGCCTGTGAAAAAGCAGGGTCAAAGACACATTTTATGTCCAGATACCATCAAAAGGCTGTATTTTAGGACTGGCACGGAACACAACCCATTCCTGAAACCTCCCTGATTTATCGATGGCCTTGATTACCCTTGACAGCAGAGTAGGAGCTTGAGCACATCAAACCACTTTACCCCTGTGTGCTGCTTACCTGACACACCATGGGGTGGCAGAGAGAAAAAGGCATGAAAACTAACGAGGTTTAATTAATTTTTTTTCTCCCCAAAGGCTTCCCCAGCTCAAGTGGTAATTTATAGAATCACAGCTAGATTTGGGTTGGAAGGGACCTTAAAGCCCATCTAGTTCCCACCTCCCCGTCATGGGCAGGGACCCCTTTCCCCCAGCCCAGGGGGCTCCCAGCCCTGTCCAACCTGGCCTTGAACCCTTCCAGGGAGGGGGCAGCCACAGCTGCTCTGGGCACCCTGGGCCAGCGCCTCACCACCTGCACAGGGAACAATTTCTTCCTTATGTTTCTTCTAATCTAAATCTGCCCTCTTTCAGTTTAAAACCGTTACCCCTCATCCTACCACTTAACTCCCTAAAAAAGAGTCCCTCCCCCCCTCTCCTGTCCCCCCTTTAAGCCCTGGGAGGCCGCTCGAAGGGCTCCCCGGAGCCTTCTCTTCTCCAGGCTGACCCCCCCCAACTCTCTCAGCCCGGCCCCCCAGGGGAGCTGCTCCAGCCCCCCCAGCATCTCCGTGGCCTCCTCTGGCCCCGCTCGAGCAGCTCCGGGTCCTTCTGCTGTTGGGGGCCCCCGAGCTGGCCCCAGCACTGCAGGGGGGTCTCCCCAGAGCGGAGCAGAGGGGGAGAATCCCCCCCCTGGCCCTGCTGCCCCCCCTGCTCTGGCTGCAGCCCAGGGCACGGGTGGGTTCTGGGCTGCCAGCGCACAGGGCTGCCTCACGGGCAGTTTTCCCCCCACCAACCCCCCCAGCCCCTCTCCTTGGGGCTGCTCTCCAGCCACTCCTCGAGGGCCCAGCCTGGGTTTGTGCTGGGGATTGCCCCGACCCACGGGCAGGACCTTGCCCTTGGCCTTGTTGAACTCCATGAGGTTTGCCCGGGCCCCCCTCTCCAGCCTGCCCAGGTCCCTCTGGGTGCCATCCCTGCCCTCCCGCGTGTCCCCCACCACACAGCTCGGGGTTGTCAGTGAACTTGCTGAGGGTGCATCGATCCCACTGTCCGTGTCACCATCAAAGATGTTAAACAGCGCTGGTACCAACACCAATTCCTGCTGCTTTACACCAGCCGAAGGGTGCACTGGTGGAGCCAGCCTTTCAGACCTACTAATTTTCCCAGTTTTCCTCTCCACTGCTAAGTTGCAATTTACTCTTCATACGCATTGCAATTGCGTTCAGCAAAATGGAACAAACCTACCAAAATCTGCCAGGAGAGATGCCTGCTGAGTGAATGGTACCTGCTCCTGGAGGGCCAAGCCCCCTCTGCAGTGCATCTTACTCCTTATAGGACACCAGGGATGACATCTATGAAGGTGCCCCATCCTAGCCAGAGCCTGGCTGCTCTTCTGAATGGAAACATCTGGCGAGGAGGTGGGTTAATCTACTGCCTGCCCACCCCAGCTTCCCTCAGGAAATTAATAATGGTATTAGTTCCCCATCCTAACACCTGCTACCAGCCCGGGTGGCTGCGAGTTGCAGCGGCAAACCCCCAAAGAGCAGCCAGGGCTGGCCAACAAGAGCCCTGGGTCCTCTTTCCCCAAAATCCATGAGTGCTTTGAGCATCCTCTGCGTCACCTGGTACAAGATGGTCCTCAACCTCCCAGCTATTACTTCTGTGCCCACGACCTCTGAACCCCTAGGACCCATTAATCCCTAAGTGCCTGGTGTGAGTGCAGATCCCAGAAAGACATTTTCCATGTACCTGGATTGGCTGGTGATGAGACAATGATTTACAGGGGGCCTGACAGTGCCACAAAGTGCAGGCAAAACTAATTCCCTTCATTTGGCCCCATACAATTGCACTTGTAAGTGCTTACTGTGGTGACAGACAACACTGGGGAAGTGTAATTTTCTTCTGCCGGGGAAAAAAAAATATAGGGAAGGACGAAGGTTAGAAGAAGGTTAGCACAGAGCTGCTTGGCATGGGAAGTGGTGGGGCCCTGGGGAGCTGAGCCAGAAGGGTGGGCTGGACCCTGAGCTGTGGTGATGCTGGGCCAGCCAAAACTGCCAGCAAGGCAAAGTGACCCACTCATGAGGAGCCAGGAGGCCGGGCAGCCTAACTCTGCCCCGTATACCACCTCATCAGCCGGGCTAATTAATTACCCTGATTTACACCAGGGGAGGTGGAAGGTGATGCCTGCTTAATGGCTTTCCTGGCAACTGAACATCATGGACATAATGCAGGGCAACGGAGCAGGTTACTTGAACGTGACAGGGAATATGCAAAAAGCAAAACCCTTCACGTTCAGCATATTTAATTTTCGCTCTACGCTCATTTATGCATTACCAAATGTTTTCTCTCTGAGAGTAAAAAAGATGCTCAGATGCTCAAACCCCTGTGGAGGCGACATGCACCCCCTTTGCAAAGCAATCCCAAGGGCACCCAGGGAGCAGAATACCCCAAATCCCACTGAGCCGATGCCTTTGCAGCGCTTTTCGCAACCCCTGGGTACCAGCTGTTTTCCTGCAGCTCGCCCCCCTCACCCACTGGTCCCCCCCAACCCCTCAGCATGCACGCATCCATCCCTGCAGCCGGGGGAGGAAGGCATCTGGCTGGAAGTTTCCCGGGGTTCCACCTGGAGAAGCAATCAAATGGCTTTCACAGCTGCTCCTCTCCTGCCCAGAATATTAAAGCGGGATTTGCCCACTAGAGCCTGCAAAAGGGCAGGATGAAAACACGGGTCCACATCTGTACTTTTATGAGCTGTCACCGGTGCAGCCCATTTCTAAAAAAAACCCCATTTGCACAGCTAAACTCGGAGAGAGCGGCAAGAAGAGGAAGGCTGGATAACCCACAGGATTAATTTACTGAGCTGCAGCACGATGTGGGCACCCAGCATGTGAATCACAGGTGCACAAAAATACCCACAGCCCAGCTCTCCATCCGTCTCCATGCCCCAAGCACAAATATTTCAGACATCTCCCTTTCGTCCCACCAAGGGCCATCACATCCATCCTTGCCCACCAGCTCACAGGCCAGCAGAGCCAGAGGCAAAAGTGAGGAGCCGGCGAGCGGTTCTGCTCTTGTGGGC